GGGGGGGGGTGTGGGGGGCGTTTAGCTGCTATTGAAGTTTGAAGAGATATGCGATACAACTGTTGTATTTTGCTATGGTACCTATGAGTGCAACTCTGTAAATGATTTGATTGATTGCCATTTTTTTGGTGATACATTTACCTAGAAAGTTTATGCAAGGGAGGATTAGGCATTCTCCCAACATAAACACTAGAGCGAAGGAGAGTAGGGAACTATTTTCCGAAAGCCACCCATCCTCTACATTGAAACATATTTGATCTTACATAACTATATCCTTGTTTTTCCTGTCCTCTTAATCAGACAGCAGAATTCTCTACATTGAAACAGAACTATTTTTTAATTTATTTTGCTAACTTAAGATGCTTGTTTCACACTCTCCAGATGAAGAATGGGAACGAGTTTCTACTCACTGATACTGTTGGTTTCATCCAAAAGTTACCAACTATGCTGGTGAGATTTGCAGCCACACGATAAGCATCATATAGTCACACCTCATCTGTCGTATCATTCTGAATCTTCTGGTAGCTTATTGTTATTCTTGGTTAAGTCGTGCAGGTTGCTGCATTCAGAGCAACACTAGAGGAGATATCAGAATCATCATTGCTGGTTCACGTGGTGGACATCAGGTGATTGGTTAATCTATTGATGCTTCTGACTACCCTAACCTATTTTCTGATTCAATATTTTATCAATTTCAGCCATCCGCTGGCTGAGCAACAGATAGAAGCTGTGGATAAAGTTCTTTCAGAATTGGATGTGTCATCAATTCCGAAGTTGATGGTTTGGAACAAGGTAAACGGGAAAAAGTTCTTACGGTAATACAACGTTTCACCAACAATGGGAAAAAGTTAGATACTTTTATCTTAGATTATAATAGATGTCTTTGCCCTTTTGTCATTGACCTAGCTTATATTTGTTTGCTTTACTGGAATCTCTTTATTCTGTTTCTTTATTCTTCAGAGGGTAGATGGTACAACAAACAGGAGTTCTTCGTTTTTATGGCACTCTTTCATATGTTCTACTAAAAATGGATTTTCAAATGGGCTTCTGTTTTTCTCGTAGCTCAATTGTGTAGCTATTTTTAGTCTTGTGAAATATTTGGCTTGAGAGAAAGATGGGGGTCATTGGAGGACAATAGAAGTCTTGGGGGACGTTTGGTCTTTAGCTAGGTCGAATACCCCTCTTTGGTGTTGGTACTAAAGAGTTTTGTATTTATCCTTCTTTTCTTCTTCTTATTATTATTAATTTGTATTGCCAATTGTATATCCTTTCATTTGCTGTTTTGAAGTTCGGTTTATAACATTAAAGAAAAATCTGTAGCTTCTGTGAGGGATCCTTATTGGAAATTCTATTGACGAATTCTTCCTTCTCAAATTCCAATATGCATCGCTAACTTCAAAATTTCCAACGGCAGGTTGACAAGGTTAGTGATCCTCAACATATTAGATTGGAAGCAGAGAAGAGAGGAGACGTTGTTTGTGTATCTGCCCTGAGTGGTGATGGCTTGGACGAATTCTGTAATGCAGTTCAGGGAAAATTGAAGGTGTATTAACTTTGCATTCTTGAAAAAAGTAGTTTTTCTCTATTCTTTGTTAGCAGCAGAGATGAAGACAAGATAACGAATGATTGTTTTGAATGGGCAGGACTCGATGGTTTGGGTAGAAGCCTTGATCCCATTTGATCGAGGCGAGCTCCTGAGCACTGTGCATCAGGTTGGAGTGGTAGAGAAAACTGTAAGTAAACATAGGATCCTTTTCGATTTTCATTTTTTTTTTCTTATTATACATATTTTTTGTTATTTTTAAATACCTTGAGAGTGCATTTGGTTGATGCATTTTGTCAGTATAATTCAAAAAAACGCCATATTTACTTCCAATATAAAAACTGACCGGAAATCCACAATCAATGTGCATTACTCCTAGCTGTCTTGACTTTCTATTATTACACTAATAGACTGCTCTAAACAAAATAGTAAATATTTTCTGGCAAAAGATGAAAAATAGTGATGTATGATGACCCCACCTTCGGATTTATTTTGATCTCTTTGTTGGGCGCATGGTCACCACTTTTTTGCATCTTGAGTAACTTCCATTGTCTTCTTATGCTGGCAGGAATACACGGAGAACGGAACACTGGTCCAGGCATACGTTCCCCTCAGGTTCTCAAGGCTGCTTACACCAATGAGACAGCTATGTATATCCTGACCTCAGCTTGCCAACTTTTATCATTTCTACTTCTACAATCTATTTTTATTCAAGTTTCCCATGGAAAAATATAGATGCTTTGTTCATACGACACGGAAAGAGACTCCTGTTTGCTCTAATCGTGTAAAAACATGGATCCCCTACCATGAGATTGTAAATATTTGATGTCCTAAATTGTTAATATTTTGATGTGTGAAGAAGTTCAGTGGGCGTGGAATGCCTTCTTCTGCTATTTGCCTTTCTGAACTCACCCGACGACGTAATTGGTATTGGAGCAAGAGTAGTAGTACTAAACCATAGGGTATTTCGTTCATTTACTTAAAGGAAACTCTAGAGACCATCTTGAGCTTGAACCTGTACCGAGGCGGTAAATTTTGTTAGGAAACAGATTCTAAATAGCGAGGCCAAGCAAGCAGTGGCCATGGTTCTATCCCAGATGAGAGGCCAAGCCAAATGGGATTGTGGAAAGAAACAGCCATACACTAAAAATTATTGGTTATTGGGTTTGAGTTTTTATTCTTTTTTGGTTGGTACATATCTTTGGGTGACGCATCATTATCAGGAGTCGTATGCCTGAAGCCATAGGTTAAATAATCGATTGGGTCGGTGATCTGCCGTACGCAGGACCCGGATCTGCACCATACTTGGGAACATTTATGTATAGAGACCTTCTGGAGATTGGGTAAAATTTTGGATTCAGTGAATATTGAAGTCACTGTATAGCTCTGCATATCTCACCCATAAATGGGGATTAATTCACGTTAACTCACCGCGAACACTTCGCTGAGCGCTCATCATCGATGCCTAATCATTTGCATTTTGGCCCCTAATTTCAACTTTCTGCTTCTCTTTACTCGTCACTTTAGTTTCCAAACTAGGCCCATCTTTATCTTATTATTTCAGTCCTTTTATTGTCTTTTATAGTTTTATAAACAATGGTTGTAAGAAGAGCATTTACGAATAAAGTGGCTTACCGAAATACACAAAGTTTCAATTTATCGTATTTATCTTAAACAAGCAATAAAATAATCATATTTTTCTTGCGACAATGAAAAGTAGATGAAAAAAAGAGAAAATATTTCATTAAGTAATGATAGAAAAGATTATATTATATGAAACTAGAATTTATTTAATATAAATATGTTTCACTTCAAAATTCCCTACGATTGACCGATCTGATCTGATTCCAATCCATGAACACAAAGCATAGAAGATATTAGATTAAGATTTAAACTAGAGGCTTCCTTAAATCAATGGCGGAAGTGGATCAGTAGTGAAGCACGTGATGATCAGCAGAAGCCACAATGGGCTGTTGGGTGAGGAAAAAGGAGTTGATGAACAATGGGGTTTGATCAAAATCATAAAAGTTTTGAAGAAAATTATGTTGTTCTTCTTGGTGGTGGTGGTTGTTGTCGTCGACGATGTGGGACAGGATCTGGTTTAGGGACTCTAAGCTATGGGTAAGTTCCACAACCTGCGCTCTCAAAACAGAATTTTGTGCCTCAACGTTGAGAAAGAGTTGGGTCGCGAGATTAATTCTTGAAATGATTTGGTTTTTGTTTTCCCTAAGCTGACTCAGTTGCGCCATCAGCCCGTCCAAGTGCTGCTGTTTTCGCATCCTCGATCTCCTCGCCGATTCCCGATTCGATTGCATTCGTTTTCTTTTCCTTTGGTCCAGCAATTGCCTCAGCTCTTCTTCAGAACCAGAGCTCTGGTTCTGAACCGCAATCTGAGATAATGAACCTGAAGAATTCCCACTACAACAGTCCATAACAAAAACAAAACAACGACAATAACACAACACTTAAATCACTATTATATTTATATATAACTATATATATATAGAGAGAGATTTCTATATTTACACTTGATTGATAGACCCAGAAGCTAAATTCAGGGGTGGGGGGTTGGTTTTGATGTTTTGGGAATATATAAGAAGAGATCAAACTAAAAATACACTAGAATGGGAGTGAGGGGAAATGGTTCATGAGAAGACGTAGAACCAGTGGAGGAATACGACGGAGAAAGACTGAACTAAATGGGTACGGCGGCGGAGAGAAGAGGTTATGATGAAACCGGAGCGGAGGATTTCACTGAGAACTGGAGACATCAATCTGAAGCGTTAACGATAAGATTTCTAGCATCTATATGAAGGAAACAAATTGGATGTGAGGGAAGAGAAAAGAAAGAAGAATCCGGCGGAGGAGAGGGAGAGAGGGAGAGAGGGAGAGAGGGAAGGGAATTCGAAAGTTGGGAGGAGGCAATATATAGCAAAATGAGGGGGAGAAAGAGAAGGAAAATGAAAAATGAAGGGTGGAAAAGAAAAGGAGGCCGGGCATCGGAATGGGAATCGAGTGAAGATGGGGGAGGACGGTGATTGGGCGTGTGCGGTGCAGATGGATTATTCACAACCCTCCAATTCCCTTTGGACTTTCTTGATTTAGGCACAATTCTCAAGTGGAACGAAATAAACAAATAAAGGGTTTTGAACACATTCAATATAGGTTTCCAAAAAACACAAGCTCTTGCTCAATTATTGCAATGGGACGCTGAAAGTTTAGGCGGTGGTTGCAAGGTTTGATTTTGAAACAGTGCAAAAGGCTGTCGTCTCAAAAGTGTTAGTATTCCCCACTATATATGTGGGTAAGAAATGTGCCGTTGCTGTATACAAAAAGCTAAAAAGATAGTGCAAGAGGACAAGGCAAAGGGGCAGAGGAGGCAACCTTAATGAGTCTCCAGTGCCCTAAAGAACTTGACAAATCTGCATGCATAGCCCACCCCCTTCCTCTTTATAAAAGTTTATTTCCCAGCTTTATGAGACTTTGAATTCAGGAAATCGAGGCCTTCGGTTTGGTTTAAGAGGAAAGTTAGTGAAGTGGGATTCTCAAAACAGATTCCTTCTCTTCTGGAAGGATGGTTTTGGAAGAACCAATCAAAATGTTTGGTTTGTGATCGTCGCAAGGGTGTTGTTCTGCGGTGGAATTTCAGGGCCACCATGAAAGGGATTGAGAGCGACACAGACACTTCTTATTACTACCACTCCAAGTTCAAAAACAGTAGTAGTCCACTTCTTGGTACCATTTGTAACCATTTAAATTCACTGCTAATAGATATGATCTACTTTGAGCTTTCTCTTAAAAGGGTTTTCCTTCAAGGTTTTAAAACACTTTCAACCAATGCCTCGTATTATTGAGTGATTGGTTTTAATATCACTTGTAACAACCAATGTTCAATGGTAACAAATATTATCCATTTTAGCTCGTCATGTCTCTTTGTCAGCTACATAGTTTTATAAAGCATTTGCTAGAGAGAGAGGGTTTCCACGTCTTATAAAAAATGTTTCGTTCTTCTCTACAACTAATGAAATTCATGCATGCTGGTAGGGACTATATGCAAGTCGATGTGGCGGGAAGAAAAGATGGGATGTAAAATTAAGGCATGTGGGTCAAAACGAACACTCCCTTTGAAAAGGAGGCAAAATAATCCACCAAGGTGTTTTCAAGAATGTGCTCTCAGGTCGTGCTTTTGCAAAAGCTGGTGTTTGACTGTCGTCCATTTCACTATATTTTTCTTTTCCCAGATTTTTATTTGTAGCATTAGAGAGATATAGACAACTTTTTTCTCTCTTCTTTTTCTTTTCTTAAATTATATGCTTACAAGATATGTTGCAGGGAATCCTAAATTTGCTTTGCAAGTAGGCCTCAGAATCACATTCCTTAATTTTATTTTTGGCAACCGTTTATTCCGTTTCAGTTTGGTTTTTGGTCTAAAAGCTGTTGACATTCGTACTTCCAACAACCAATTTTAAATCATATATATTTCCGAAACAAATACATTTTAAATTTTATGATGGAATTCGGTTTAAAAAGAACTCTTATAGCCATTCTTATAAAGCAACAAACGGGAAACTTATAATTGAAGGAAGCAGCACCAACAACCTATCCATCTAATAATAATAAAAGGGTATTGACTCCAAAGCAAAGGTGCCCTAGCAGTGTAGCACACCCCCATAGAACCATGGGGGTTTGAGATTTACGGATGTTCAACCAAGTTCTACCCTATTTAAAAGGACCAATCTGCCAAATTCTCCGATGGTTTAGTTTGTGGGCTTGTAGTTGTCTCAAGTGCCTCAGTTCACGGGCTCACTATGGTAAAATGGGCTGGGGAAGGTTTTGAATTGTCGGCCCAATTTTGTTTGGTTGGTCACGTGATTTTATTCTAACGTCTGCTGACGTGGCAAACAGCAAGTAGGTTCGCGGGAGTGATCAAGGAGTCTCTCATTCGGTTGAGTTCCTTCGCGCCCGTTGTCTCTGCGAATCGGGGACGATACTGATATTTTACATCCTCGACACGGTTGCTGAGTAATTGGCCATGATTTCGCAGTTCTTCGTGCTCTCGCAGAGAGGCGACAATATTGTATTCCGAGATTGTAAGTTTTTTTTTTTTTTTTTTTTTCCAGATCTATTGTGTTTTAAAGTTTTGAAGTTTTCTCCTACCGTTCATTGAATATCATCGGTTCTCGTTTCGATTTTCTTACTGTTTTCTTTCGCGATTCTATTCTGAATCAAAACGGTGTTATGTTCCATGAAAGACTAAAGCCTTGTAATCTATTTGTTTCGAGGATGCTATTTTTGTTGTTTGAACTGGCGTACTAATCAGAAATTAGTGCTATGTCAGCTTATCAGTATAATATGCGTCTACTATTTAATACTGTGAATGAATAAGATTTCGTAAATTTGCCGTGGTTATTGTTAAATGCATGTAGATCGTGGCGAAGTACCGAAAGGAAGTGCTGAGATCTTTTTTCGAAAAGTGAAATTCTGGAAAGAAGACGGAGAAGGAGATGCGCCACCTGTCTTTGTAGGTATTTTTTTGTGTTGACTGCGTGGAAGTCTACTGGCATTTAGTCTGCTGCATACTCGCTGGAGTGTTAGAATTTGGAAATGCAGATTCAAATCAAAGACAGTTGTTAGACTTATGTTTATGATTTCCTCAATAGACTGGAGTGTTCCCTGCCTTCTGCATCGTAGCTATCATGATATCTATGATATATTCGTGCATCTGTTCCCTGCATTGCTCCTGCTTTGTTGTAGGCTATTTACTGTGTCTTCCGGATTGGACATTGAGTGCAATGTAAGCGGAAATGGCTGTTACAAACCATTAAGTTTTGTGATTTTCTTAATTTGCAGTGAAGTAATAACTATTGCCTACTGTCTATAGCTATTATTGAATCAATGATATCTTTTTGCATCTATTTCCTGGATTTCACCAGCTTGTGCAGGGCTTGGACTATGTGTCTTGTAATTGGACATTGAGTATGTATACTGAAACATTCGTTATAAATAAACATGAAAGTTTTATGCATTAGAGATATTGGATTGTATGCTTCTTGATGTAGATATTGACTTCTCTTCTTGATGAAATATTTTGATTATACGATTTCTCTCATATATTTTAAATATTTACATTTCTTTTTGGCGGCAGAATTTGGATGGTGTAAACTACTTTCACGTAAAGGTTGTAGGACTGTTATTTGTTGCTACAACAAGGATTAATGCATCGCCTTCTCTTGTTCTTGAACTTCTTCAAAGAATTGCACGTGTGATCAAAGATTACCTTGGGGTTCTCAATGAAGATTCTCTCCGGAAAAACTTTGTTCTTGTGTATGAGTTGCTGGATGAAGTTATTGTAAGTTTGTTACCCTATCCCGTTGCAGGATTTAACAAATTAACTTCTTGTTTGCTCTACATTTCTGTGTTGCAAATCATTTATTTTTTGCTTGCTAGTGGTTAACCTTTTCTTTTAAATGCCTCGTGGCCTTAGTGACTCTGTTTAGAAAATATGATATTTGAGAGTAACATACTAAATTTTAAACATGTGCATCTTGTTTTATGGTTTTCATTTGGTATTAGGATTTTGGTTATGTACAAACAACTTCAACTGAGGTTCTGAAGTCATATGTATTTAACGAGCCACTTGTGATTGATTCTGCACGCCTGCCTCCCCTTGGTCCAGCTTCCATTTTTGTGGTATTTCCTATACTATGTGACAATCTTTCTCAAGTTTTATGCCTTAAATATTTCTTCAGTGGACTTTTTCTACTCGTCTCTTTGAAGCAAGGGAGCAAGCGGATGCCAGGTACAGCTGTCACCAAATCTGTGGTTGCAAATGAGCCTGGAGGTAGAAAAAGAGAGGAAATTTTTGTTGACATAATCGAGAAGATCAGTGTCACATTCAGCTCGAGTGTGAGTATTTCTTGTTATTTCTTTACATCTTTCGATATTCTTCTTTGTTATCTTCAACTCAGTTAAACTTATCAGAAAATTCATATTGATGTTTTTAACATACATATAACGCAGAGTTGTTGACTGGTCTATTTTAAATTTACTTTTTATACAGTAGCATTCGCTGCCTTCCTAGTTTTGACTGCTGCAATTGGAATAAGAAGGGAGATTTTTCATGTCGTTTTCTAACTCACGTACAATGGATGGACACTCCTTTTTTTTTCTTAACTGTTCATTACCTTCTCAAAAATTTTGGGTGAATAAAAGATGCACCCTGCACTATTCTATCTGTGTACGTCCCTGGTGGCCCCTGATTGAAAAGCTTTTCTGTGCACCTCAATAGAATAAGTGAACTTATCTAACAATGTGTAGTAATGGTTCATGCTAAATATTTGTATGTTTTTTGCATCGGAATTTTCATAATGAATTATCATTTGTTGACTACAGGGTTATATACTTACTTCAGAAATTGATGGTACCATTCAAATGAAGAGCTATCTTACGGGTAACCCAGAAATCCGTCTTGCTCTTAATGAGGATTTGAGCATTGGAAGAGGTGGAAAGTCAATATATGGTAAGGTTCTGTATTCTGTTAAGGTATTGATTAATAATGTATATTTGAGAAGTGATTTAAGAGGGTACGAACTTCGAGTCTTGAGTNGGGGGGGGGGGGGGGGGGGGGGGGGGGGGGGGGGGGGGGGGGGGGGGGCAGTTGTAAGTTGTAACTAGATGGTAACTGTTTGAGGAAGTAGAGAAGTCACGTGGAATATATATTAGAGCTAGGAAGCTCTAAGGGTTGAATTTTTATTTTCCATTATGTTGTCTGATTGCGAAATACCCTCTTGTTTGTCAATATTTAAAGGCAAATCCTATCATGTTCTATGGGTTATTATTATTATTATTTGCTCTCTTATTCTTGTATATGGTTTTGTGTGTATTTTTAATCTTTCTTGCCCTCTTGTCGTTGTCTTCTATCTGCTGCAAAGATATATTATGGATGACTATAGGCGTTATATTGCCATCTCCATATGTCAATTTGGGACTGTTTTTTGTTATTGATATTCCAAGTGAATGACATCTATTTGCACCAAAGCTTTATGCTTTTGTTCTCTAGAAATAGCAATGTAAGTTGATAAAAGCTTTTTTTTTCTATTTGTTCAATTAGAGGGGAGATGGTTGAAGTTTCCCCTGACAGGGGCGGGAACAGCTTTTCCCCGTGAACACATATGGATAAAGTTTTTATCTATTTAGTTTTTTTTTTTTTTTTTTTTGAGTGCTTACTATTTTTCTCAACCTAACATTTTTTGGGGCTCATCCTGCTTCAACCCATGGTGACAGATTATAGCAGTTCATCTGGTGGAGGAACAGTTATCCTTGATGATTGTAATTTTCATGAATCTGTGCATCTTGATAATTTTGACATTGACAGAACTTTGGTCTTGGTTAGTATAAAAAAGATACACAAGTTATTTGCTTTAGCTTACTTGTGAATTGAGACTCTTTCTTGATTGAATTTTTAAAGGTACCACCATAAGGTGAATTTCCTGTCATGAATTACCGAATGACTCAGGAATTCAAGCCTCCGTTTCGTATTAATGCCTTAATTGAAGAAGCAGGGTCTGTTAAGGTTGAAATGATTTCCCTCCTGTGTTTTAACATTTTTCATGATTTTTGTTATTGAAAATTACTTATTTCTTTCAGGCTGAAGTAATTCTTAAAGTTCGTGCTGAATTTGCCTCCAACGTCACAGCAAACACAATAAATATTCAGATGCCACTGCCAACTTTCACAACAAGGTATGTGTAGTGTGCAGCATATAAAAAGTTCGTTCGTAAATGGCTATCATTTTTTTGTTGTGGTTTGAACTCATTTCTTGGAGTTCAGTTGACTAATCTCTGCGACTTTTATCATTCTTCTAAATTTCTCTTATATTTATGACCTTTCCAGAGTCAGCTTCGAGTTGGAACCTGGAGCAGTTGGAAATACAACTGATTTTAAAGAAGCGAACAAGAGACTTGAATGGGGTTTGAAGAAGGCAAGAAATTTCCCTTAACTTTTTCTCTCTTAAACGAGTTTAAAAAAAAAAAAAAAAAAAAAATTGTCAATAATTTTAGAGAGCCTGTGGCAAGTTATTCTGAGCATATTCTTTTGACTCTTTACTTCCATTTTTAATAAATGAATTGTCAATTTATACATTTATCTACTAATACTTTGTAAGTTACCTGCTTTTTCCCTTTTTGCCACTCCTGTCGTTTTTCTCGTTAACTATTCGGGCATAACAAGATGCCAGTCCCTTATTCTCTCATCATATTAGATGTCTGCATTAAACTTATTGTTACTAATAGGCGTTAAATGACAGATTGTTGGTGGATCTGAACATACTCTGCGTGCAAGGCTCACATTTTCACAAGAATCACATGGTAAATATGTTGTACATCGATGAATCAGATATTTTTCTTGGGAAGTAAATATATGCATTTAATATATATTTTTAATGGCAGGAAACATCGTGAAAGAAGCTGGACCTGTTAGTATGACGTTCACAATTCCCATGTACAATGTTTCAAGGCTTCAGGCATGTTATCTGAACAGAATCAAGTCATCTCCATATGATCATCTCTTTTGGTGCTAACATTCCCTTTTTTTACGCGCAGGTTAAGTACTTGCAGATTGCAAAGAAGTCTAACACCTATAATCCATATAGGTGGGTAAGATATGTGACGCAAGCAAATTCGTACGTCGCTCGGTTGTGAATGTGAATTTAGACTTCCTCAATCTTGACTCTCTTTTTTATTATTTTGAGCTGTACCATCGGTAATCAAAATAAACACTTGCATATGCGGAATTATTTCTATCCTTTTGTGAAGTATTGCGTATGGGTATCCACCATACAAGTGCATCTCTCAAGATAACTGTGGTCTACACTGTCCATAGTGGAAAGCTTAAAGTCGTCGATTTGTCAAACTGCATTCTAAAATAATTAGGAAACTACGGCTTATGGGCTATTTATACGTTCAGCCGGATGGCCCATATTCTAGTAGTTGAACACAGGTCAGTGCTCTGAAATTTACTTCGATGTTCTTAGTTTGAACTTTTGAATTTAATGATGATTAAGTATTAGAATCTAAAGTAATGAGTTTCAAAATTTATACTGATTCTTTCTTCAATTCATAGTCTATTTGTAGGATTTATGCAAATATTTGGGTCCGCAAGTGGAGTTTTTTTGAGAATGGACAAATTCAATGTTGAATGAAATATATTAGCAGGAAGGGACTTGATGAGTAATACCTTTCTGTTAGCGTATAAACATAACATATGGTTAATCGCATGCATAGAAGAACATTGAAGGATGAATAGAGCCCCTGGTTTTATCTTCTTTTCTTTCTATGAACAGGTCAATGCACTCTAAATAAATGTCGATTAGAGATAAGATGCATATGCAAATTGCAAGGTATAGCGGAGAATTGTTTTCATAGCCTTAAATTTTTATATGGTTTTCACATTCATTTCCTACGGATACGATAAGATATTTGCATTGTTTGGTATGGATAGCCAAAAATGGGAGTCCCATCATTTCAATCACCAAAAAGTTAGATTGTTCCTGAAAAAGTCGATTAGAGGTCCAGCGTTAATCTATGATATGTGGTATATTTCAAGTCAAATACAATGAATTCGTTCATTTCTATAGAAAGATGAGCATTTTCTGACCGTGAATAAACCTTTCAAATCATGAAATTTTGTTGTTGGCTGAGTATAAGATTTCATTTCATTGGCCAAGCTGGCCTTGGCTTCGTAGGTTCGTAGCTTTGGATAAGGAAGGCGAATAATTTAGCTTGCTAAAATTAGACATTGATGGCAGCCAACGGACTTTGAATGACGAAGACGACCGCTCTAATTTGGTTTGATTATTGTAGGGGTATCAAGACCGTGGCTATAAAGTTCCATTTTATTTGGGAATTGTAGGGGTCCAATTTATTGGTTCTCACCTTGTTCCACGTGGATAGATGAGTTGTAGTAGAACTTCGTGTAAAAAATTGTACTATTTTCTAATTCACGGGTAAAAGAAGGAAAAAAAAATAAAAATAACAAATTTAGCACATACAATAAAGAAGTAATAAATATAAATTAACATTATATTGTAATTATAGTCATTTCTATATAAAAAGAAAATACCATACTTGGGCACTGTGGAAATCGCTGGGGATTTCCTTGACCTGTTTTATTGTGTTTATTAGTCCCATTTAATTTTATGAACAAGTTACGGGTTGAGAGAAGCTTGTCATAACTTGTGGCCAAAAACAAAAATTCCTGGCTATAATAATTAGACAAGGCATCTAATCTAATCATGCAAGTCCTCATGACAAGATTTTATTTTCATTCCTTGGGAAGACTAAGGAAACGATTTCACTTGGTGTGGACCACTACACGAAAGTTAAAGTTAAAGTGAGAGTCAATTATAATTGATACCAAAAATTCTAATTCCAGAAAAAAAAAAAAAAAAGTTACTTTCTTTGACTCATAGCCACAAGTTTTATACTTAATTACGATTTCGGGTTTACTATAGAGATACTTTTTTAAAAAAAATAAAAAGTAATGAGATTGTGGATAATTATTTCTGAGTTTTATTTTTTATTCATAAAATACTAAGCTTGCTTAGCAATATTTTGGTTTTGTTTCATAATCTACTTCTTAAAACGAATTTAAATTTAAAAACAATTCTAAACACTAAAAAAAGATGCTAATAATAATATAATTTGGTTAATGGATTTGAAAGTTTGTCTAAAGGATGAAGAAATAGATACCAAAATCACCTTTATTTAAAAATAAAAATAAAAATCAATTTTTGAAAAACAAAAATAAAACCTTGTACACGGAAAATGTACTTTTATAGTTTAAAATTTAAGTACTCAAACATAGGAAGCAAATCGAACACATTGTGACCATAAAAATACGATCTTTCTTCAAAAGAATAATAATAATAACCTAAAATTTGATTTGAGGGAAGTTGAAACCATAAGAGAGGTGAAAAATATGAATTAACATTACTACTTTTGGCACCCAACACCATAAAAGCCCTCGACATCTCCATTTATTGCCTTCCAAAAAACCCAAACCAGGATATCAATGGCAGAGGGCCTCGTAATAAAACATGAGCAACTCCCAAAGTGCGAGTATCGAAACGACCCCGTTTTGATTAAACCAATCAGCGAAACTCCGAAGCACATTCTTCCACTTTCCGATGTGGACGATCAAGCATTCCTGAGATTTTCGATAAAGTGTGTTTTGGTCTTCAGAGGATCGATGGAAGCAGAATGGTTGAAACGCGGTCTTTCGAGAGTTCTAGTGGATTATTATCCTCTGGCTGGGCGGCTTAGGACTTGTCCCCAACACCTTCACAAGCTTCAAGTTGATTGCAATGGAGAGGGCGCCTTGTTTGCTGAAGCCTTCTTGGACGTCCACTCTCACCATTTTCTCTCGTTTACTTCCAATCCAGACGCCTCTTGGTCAACCCTTTTGTATAAGCCTAAGGTTGATGCCCTAAATTTCGCCCAACTCCCTCCTCTCCTTCTTCAGGTTATATTTCTTTATTGATTTTTAATATTATTTTCAGTTATTGTTCTATAAATTGTAATATTTTGCTCAATAAAAAAAATAACAAAACGTAATATTTAAAAATTAAAAATTTTCAGGTTACATATCTCCGGTGTGGAGGTATGATTCTAAGCACGGCAATCCACCACTGTTTATGTGACGGCATCGGAACGTCTCAATTTCTGCATGCCTGGGCCCACATAACTTCCCAATCAAATCTCTCCCCTCCACTAACCCCACCGTTCCACAGCCGCCACGTGTTATCTCACCGAGGCCCCACCAGAATCCACTGCGCTCACCCTCAGTATACCAAAACCCCACGCGCCAACTGGAACGTCGACATCACCAAATCCCTCCAATCTCAGCCGTTGATTCCTTCTTCCTCGATCTTCACCACTTCTCAAATCCTCCGTCTCAAACCGTCGTTCAACTGCACCACATTCGAAACCCTTGCTTCGCACACGTGGCGCTCTTGGATTCGTTCGCTCGACCTCCCTCCTTCGCTCCACGTCAAGCTCCTTTTCCCTGTAAATATCCGCAACAAACTTGTCCCCAAAATCCCTAAAGGCTATTACGGAAACGCCTTTGTTCTTGGATGCGCTGAATCTTCTGTTAACGAATTGACCGTCGCAGAGGACTTAAACGGCGTCGTTCGCTTGGTGCAGAACGCGAAATCGATCATCGATGACGATTACATCAAGTCGACGATCGTTCAGCTGGAGGACAAAAGCCTCCAAACCGACTTGTCGGCCAGTTTAGTGATATCGGACTGGTCGAAATTGGGTTTACAGGACTTGGATTTTGGGCTTGGGAAGCCTCTTGTAATGAGCCCTTTGTCCAGCGATGTCTTCTGCTTGTTTCTGCCGGTGATCGGAGATGTTAAGGCCGTGAGAGTGCTCGTGGCGGTTCCGGTGGATGTGGTTGAGAAGTTTGAGTATTACATGACCAGAGAGTACTTTTCCGATGGAGAAACGAACGTTTGAAAGCAGGCCCACATCCTCGGCCCAAATAAGATACAAAATGGGCCTTACAGTGCTGGTCTGACCTTCCCAGTAGGCCCAAAAAACAATTTGTACGGCAATAATTACCGCCGTAAAATTATTGAGTTGTTCTTTTTACCACGTCCAATTATCAGTTGTTCAAGAAGTAGGAATCTCATTGTAATTTTTTCCCCATATGGAGTCCTTAACCTACACAAATATTTAACTCAAAATGAAAAGTAAGCCACTTGGGTAAGAATCTTGAGAGAGAGATATTTTTTCCGGAAAAGAAAAAAAAATAGTTATTTTATTTAAAATCAACAATCTTATATTTAAAGCAAAATTAACCCACCTTATATTTATACGCACATAAAGATAAGCTGGAGAAGAGAATTAGAGGTAATGATTTCTATTTAGGAAAAACAGACAAACGAATAAACCAAAAAAATTACAAAGGTCAACTTGTATAGTATATAAATGGAAAAAGGGGGAAACATTATAATTTAATGTAATGTTTTTTTATAAATAAATGAGAATGGAAAAAAAAGACAAAACTACTGTTCATAGATGCCCCTTTATTCTCTGTTTGTGTTTGCTGTGGTGTACCGCACCATTCCAGATTTGTTTTTAAGGAACCACCGTTTTCTTTCAACTCTTCTGCCATTAATCGGTAAAGCTTTTTTTTTTTTCCCTTTTCTTTTCTTTTTTAGAACTTGGAAAATAAGAAGAAAAAAAAACTATGTCTGTACCATACTTGGTTAAGAAAAGACGCTGAAACATTCCCAACATCCCTATGTTTCTTTGAATAATTACTACCAATAAATCAAAATTAAATTACCAATTTTCCTATTTTCTTTTTATGAAAATAAAATAACTTACATTGTTTTCTATACGTTAATATGAATCATAATTTGTTACCAAATATATGAATTAAGAAAAGATGATAAACTATATGAAATAAATAAATAATACATATGAGTGAGATATTTTATATAGCTAAAAAAATATATATATAATATACTAATAAACAAGGTTCTTTGGGTTGAGGATGACGAGCACGAATTCGAGGTTGACTATTTAAGTAGATAGTAATATGGATTTATAAATAAAAAAATATATCTTCAATGGTACGAGATCATTTGGAGAAACTATGGGAGCTCATGCTCAATGCGAGATCACACCTCGGTTGAGGAGTAGAACGAAACATCTTTTTATAAAAGTGTAGAAACTTCATCCTAGCAGACGCGTTTTGAAAACCTTGAAGGGAAGTCCAAAAAGAAAAGTTAAAAGAAGATAATACTTACTGACGGTGGGCTTGAGCCGTTACGAATAGTATTAGAGCCAGACAGACATCAGGCAATGTACCCGTGAAGAGGTTGAGCTCTAAACTAAAAGGGGGTAGATATGAGGTGGTATGTCAACAAAGATGCTGGCCCCAAAGAAAAGTAGATTGGGCGGTCTCATATCGATTAGAAAAGGAAACGAGTGTCGAGACACGAGGCCTCAATCGAAACATTTTTTATAATAGTGTAAAAACTTCTTTCGAATGGACGCTAGACAATAATATAATATTAAGAGGAGTCGTGTTATCCAAACATTTTTTGAATGTATAAAATAGTGTAAAAAGAAGGGGGAGGGGGGAGAGTATGGCCGCGGAGCATTTATAAGATTTTTGCCCTAAATTTTAGAAAGCAAATATTCTCCTGTTCCAATGTTTTGTCTTCTTCTCAAAAACCCACCTTTACATCTCCCTACTTTAAAGTTAAACCCTTCTTTTAAGGGCTGTGCCACAAAAAGACTTAAAAAAAAAAAAATCAGATCTTTAATTTTTATTATATTCAAAGTGGAATATTATTATTTAGGTAGCGTTGTCAACGAGTAAACAATTATTTATTTTTCAATTATTTTAAAGTAAACTCATTATTTACCATGAATTCCTTTCTTATTTAGATCTCTAACTTTGGAAAAGTATCTTTGAAATTCTTACCCAAATTTCAAACATTCTTTCTAAACCCTTCTAGAATTCATTTCTGGTAGTAATCTGGAACAAGTTTAATTTTCAAGAAGGGAATCATTATTAAATGGACTAGAAAATAATAGGACATTTTATGTCCTGCACGCTCACACACTTATAAAAAGCATCTTCCTGCCAGAAAGAAGAGGCATCTAAAAGCTTGGGGGTACTAAGGGTTACTGTTGGTGTAATTTCTCATACAGAGAAGCTAAAAGATGAATAAGTAAAGAGAGAAAAGTTACCACTTTCAAAACCCTAGAAAACCCTTCACAATAAGCATAACCCCAATTAAAAACATAATTAATAATTATTTTATGTTGAAAACATTAGGCAGAGGAATCTTTCCAGGACAGCAGATCGGAAAGTGGGGTTAAAGGATAGGAAGGTTTTTAATGCGACTTACATACATGAATATATATATATATATATATCGAAAAACAGGCCGCTTTAGTGGGAATGAATGTTTTTTTTTTTTTTTTTAATTAATTAATTTATTTTTAGTATAACATGAGAAGTTGCTGCTAAGATAAGTAAAGGGGCAAAAAAGGTAAGAAGATCAATATAAAAAGAAGAAAAGGTTTAAAAATAAATTAAAAAGAAATAAATAGTCAAATATATAAAAAATACTATCTATTGAATTTAGGGCTTACTCTCATCTCACATTTTAGTCTGATGTGATCCTTAGTGGGCCTTACCTGAATCATATAACTTAATTTTATTGCCTTTTAATTATTAATTCCCCTTTCATTTTTTTTTAAATGTTTTTATAATCTAAAATGATTCGAGGAGTTGAACTAAACAGGAAACAAGCGAAACTTTAAAAAATAAAAAATTGTTTTTTTTTAATTCATTTATATTTTACATTGTAAAATCTTTAAATAAACATATTTGTTGACATTTCATAAAAATCAAAAGTGCTTCTACCAATTACAATTATGTTATTAGAAGATTTTCAATCTATGGCTTCAAACTTCGAATGCCACTTGTACAATAATCTCTCTCATTTTTTCAAAAATTGTATTTGTAATAATCAAATTTTTAAAAAGGGTTATTACTTATTAACATTTAAAATATCTATAATAAATATATTTTTTCTAATAAGATTTTATGATATGGGTGTCAAAATCTAATAGATACGACATATTCTCAAAATATCTTATCAATAATTATGAGAGTCATATCTATATTTCAAATAATTAACTCGATTTAAATTTGTGAAATAAAACTTAAGGCCGTGTCTTCAACTTGGCTCGATTTTGATTTTTTTTTTTTTTGTTTTCTTTTTAAAGATTGAGAATATGTGGGTTATTTTGTTGAACAAATAGGTTAGACAGTAATAAATATGGTGCTTGCCATTTAGGTGGTATATGGGTGTGACAAAATTCAATATTTTCTTTGGCGTCATCATCAAGGCTTCGAACCCAAAGGCTTTTAGCCCCATGGCCCCTCATGCCTCCACACGGACCAAAATAGCATAAATTTGGTGTCCTCTATTTAAACTTTATTAATGTCTGCATATTAGTTAAACTCTATTAATGTTTCGAGTTGATTGTTCATAGAATATGGTTATTTCTCGAGAGAAGTGAAGATAGACGTTGGTGGGGAGCAGGAAGTTACCATTATAAAGCTTCCACTTTTTTACTCATAAGTTTAAATCAGAAAATTCTAATAAATGCGTTAGTCAAAATTGCCTTCAAAAGTTGCTGTGTCATCCAACCCACACAATTTATTTTAGATCAAATTAGTTCTCATTTTCTTATTATCTCAACAAAAAAAAAATATATATATATATATATATATATATATATATATTCCATTTACGGCATTATCTTCTTTGTGCTTCCAAAAAACATGTGATATTTCATAATCTACCCCTACGTCTTCATGGCACACCGTGAGATACCCTAATTCTATACTATTTGTAACAATCTAAGTCCACCTCTAACATATATAGTTCTTTTCTCTTTTAAACTTCTATTCATAGTTTAAAACGCATCTCTTGAAATGAGGGAGAGGTTTCTACGCTATAGTTCCACCACCCTTGAACAAATGTGGGGAGGCGTCCTCTTTCCTTTTAGTTTTAATTTGAGAAGAAAATGGAAAAAGAGGGAAAAAAAGAAGGATAAAATTTAATTACTTAAATTAAAAGGGGAAGAATATGGTTTTTTTTTTTAAAAAATAATTTTTATCATAAAATTGCAGTCTGACAAAATTTGATATTTATTTCGGCGTTCAAGGCTAGACTTTGACGTGGCATGAGTGTTGCTGGGAGAGAACTACTTTTAATGCATGCTACTAACAATGATGACCATGGGACACTCTTACAGAACATAACATGAGGCCTTTGTGGATAATAAAATTATGTCCCCATAATTCCCAATCTTCAACTTCAAAGCTCCACAGTTATATCATTAAAAATACAAATATATATATATATATATTTATTTATATATATTATCCCTTCTCAAGCCTTGGGATGGAAGGCAGCTGGGTTTCTTAATCAGATGGGAGAGGAAGTAATCATCTTCCTGTAATTGCAGATAATTCGGAAAAAAAAGCCCTAATTTAAAGAAATATAATAAAATAATTAAAGTTACTCAGAGGGGTATGGGGATGAACAACCCCACGCTCTCTCTCTCTTTCTTTCTTTCTTTTCAAGGCTACTTTAGTAAGCCAAATATTAATAATAAAAAAAGGGGAAAAGTTTGGTTTAAAGCAAAATATGATGTGTTGGTTTGTGTTGCCTGGGAATTTGGCTATGGCTTCAGATTCTTAACGCTTAGAACAAAGCTATACTACTAGGGGGCCGCCCTTCCTTCAGCTGCTACTCGTTTTTAGTCTCGATTGCTCATCATCTTCTTCTCTTCTTGGGATTTTCAAGCTCCCTTTTTTCTTTTTTTTTTTCTTTTTTTTTTTTAAAAAAAAATTGTTTATATATATAGATATAGATATTATATATTTATTACCTATCACCTTCAGTGGTTGTGTATATGGATTCTGCGGCTAATCTCCATCAGCTTCAAGAACAGCTTCTTGTTCCTTCTTCTTCTTCTTCGTCTTCGTCTTCCTCTTTGCCCGTCATTTCATCGTGTTTAGGCCTTGGAAGCAGCCATGGCTGGACTCCAAACGTATCCCCGTAAGTTTACTTTGATTTACTATATGCTTTTAAAACAGCAATAATTGAGATCTTTGAGCTTGATTAGGGTTTCCAAGTTTTTTGTTTGTTACTGTTGTGTTGTGACAGGAATAGTAATAGTTGCAACTACAACCCAAGAATATTCAATGGATTCACTTCGTGTCCAAGTAGATCAGATTGTGGGCAGAAAAATACAAACAGTTCTTCAATGCTTCAAGATTTGGGGTTTCAGTGGAGTGGCGCCGTGAATACAGGGACCTTTTTCACCCAATCTCTACACGACCCACAAGCTGGAAAAATCAAAGACGAAATCTCATCTTTCCCCAAATTCACACAAATCTTGAACAACCCTTCATCTACAAATCAAGATTTCCATCATTTTCCTTCTACAAATCAAGTAAAGAATAATAGCAACAATGATTCGGATCTTAATGACCTCACCAACAAGCTCTTGATCAAAACCCTTATTTCATCCGGCTGTCAAATCAACGGTGGTGATCCTACCAAACCAAATAGACCCCATTTCGCTCAAATATACCCTAGTATTAATGTCTCTAATTGGAACCTCTCATCTCCGGCGCCGGCGTTCTCAAATTCCTTAGATTTGAACTTACAAACCCCGGCCGATATGTTGCTCTCCGCCGCCAATTTCAGCCACTCGCCGGATAGTTTTGGTTCTTTTAAACAAACGCTTTCCGATTTTCAAGACCAGATGCATCCGCCGCCGGCGAGCCTCCCATGCATTCCAAATAAAGTGAGTTTTTTTTACCCATTTTTTTCAAAAGTTTGATCTTTTGCATTAGAGAATGCAGTATGGAAGGTATTTTCAGCTTTATACATTTGTAATTGTAAATGCATCTGCCTGAATCAACGACTTTTACTTTCCTTTTCGTTTCTTTTCCATCCCTTAAACGCTGATTTGTCTTCGCCCCACTTTCTTCTTTTTCTTTTTGGATTCTTAAAGAGAAAACCCTTCAGCACTGAAGCAACCGAACCTAAACGACCTTGTAACTCCATGGAGTCCAGCCTGAATCAACAATCTCCTCCTCCTAAGAAATCGCGATTGGACTCACGCGCTTCTTGCCCTCCATTTAAGGTTAGAAAAGAAAAATTGGGTGATAGAATTGCAGCCCTCCAACAATTGGTCGCACCCTTTGGCAAGGTAATTATTTAACACATAATATAACATTTATTTAATAACATTCTAAATAAATTTAAATGGTTAATTAATTGATGTAATAAATTATGAATGATTTGACCCACTGGGATTTTTGAATGAACAATCCTAGATACTTCATAGAGTTCTAGGTAGCTCTTTCTAGGATTGGGCACTGTTTTGTTTGTTCGTTGTTCTTATAAAAACGTAGGTTTTAGAATGACGTGTAATGCTGCTGATATGTTGCAGACAGACACAGCATCTGTGCTAATGGAGGCCATTGGATACATAAAATTCCTTCAAAATCAGGTCGAGGTACTTCCTTTTTCCCCTTTATTCTCTTTCTCTTCCCGTTTGAACCGGTGTCGTTTCATACAAACTAACCCTTTAAAATTGCAGACATTGAGCGTTCCATACATGAAGCCCTCCTCCAACAAAATCACAAGGCCAACACATCGGGTAAAAATAAATAAATAATAATAATAATAATAAAGAATTTTGGTTTTCTTCTCTCTGGATTTAATTTTTGTATTATTATATTTATAGAGTTCGGTGGAGGACGGAAATGAAGAGCGGCCAAATCGAGATCTCAGAAGTAGAGGGCTGTGCTTGGTTCCATTGGGGTGCTTGTCTTACGTGACCGGCGACGGCGGCGGAATTTGGCCGCCGACGGGGTCTAATGGAGGAACTCTTGATAAATATAATTAAAATATATTTATTCTCGGATGAGTTTAAGAAAGACTAGGGCTCTGTGAATTAATGGAGCAAATTTGGTCAGTCTGTTTAAATCAATGGAGAGATACAGAAATGGACCAAGTTTGATCCATTAATATTAATCATTTCATGTATTGTTAATGATCCCTTGGATCAAACTTCACATCCTTATTTTGCTATCTGTTAATTATCCTATTACCCTTTAATTAGTTTTGCGCCACCTTACTTTTATTTTACTTAGATTTATATATTAGTAATAAAAATTCTATCGTGGAGAGAAAAAAGATGTGGAAACCTCTAACTAGTAGATGCAATTTAAAACCTTGAGGAAAAATATTATTACTTTCATATAAATTAACTCAACCAAAAGAATAAACTTTCATATATTGAATGAAGAAGAAAATCGACAAATTAGATAGAGAATCACTTAGAGTCTCAATAAGATCATAAGGAAAGACAACCGACCCGATTGTTTTTTTTTTTTTTTTTTTTTTAGAAAAAAAAGAGATATTGTCTTCTTCCGTTAGTATAAATTCGATTGATATCGACAATTCAATTATACAGGAAGGAGACCTAGAAAAAGTTAGCAGAGAAATAAAAAAAAATACATGCTTTTGATGCTATGCTATGCCGACCTTGAATGCTACTCGCGAGCTAGTCAACAACAGGTGCTAGTCACTCTTTCAATGTCATGTTATTGTGGTGGCACGAAAATCTTGAATGGGAGCGGTTAGAATCTCATTACTGGTGTGTGGAATAAAAGTGCATCCAAGCACAACACAACGAAGAAGGTCCAAGATTGCTTCATCAAATGAGCTAACCTTTCAGGGATTGTTATAGGGGTGAGAATAATTATTACTTTCATTAGTTTGAATTTTGCTACATAATGTTTTTTAATTAAAATTATATGGGCATATAATACGATGATAAATAACACAAATGGTTCTTTATGTATCTATTAGTACATATATAATATTGTACAGGTTGGAAATTTTAAAATTTCTAAAATATAAATCCACTTATCAACGCTCCAGATTAATTTGTGATTATATCAGTAACATAAAAAAGTAATAATATTTAAAAAAAAGGATCAATAATTATAAATAACCAAAAAAAAAAAAAAAAGGAAAAAAAGTGAATATTCTATTTAAAATAATTATGATAAATGGATGATTATTAGCACATTCAGTGTTCTCTCTGCATGTGGATTAACGTTTTTATAAAGTCTAATTTGCAAATATTTTACTCCCTCTCTATATATAATTGGAATATGCATGTATTTCAAGAACTTCCTTGTAATTTAAAAGTAGATATTTGATTAGCTGTTTTGGGAGACTCGTTAAGCTTAATTTCAATTTTAATTAATTTTTTTGTACAAAATTACAATTAATTAATTTTTGGTTGACTGATATATGTTATTAGAAAAAAAATAATGTACAATAAAAGAGATAAGAAAGTCGATTATTAATATCACGTCCACTTGAGCTGTCACCGCCGAAGTCCTTGGGAAAAGATATTTTTAGGAGAAGTGGAAGAGAAAATTGATATTTTTAGTCTGCGGGGTAGCCTTATCCAAGAACGTTTCAGGACGGTTGTAATACACGTGGCGCTGATCGAACCCTTTGATCTGGCTAGCCGCCGTCGACGGTGGACAACAGACCCAATTTTGTCCATTGCCTTGCTCTCATCCGAAAAGGTCATAAACACCCTCCAACAGTACTGTAATTTATTTGGATCCTCGTCTTATAGAATCTTAATTAAAAATACTTTATAAAAACTTGAGGATAAAACAAAATGCTTAAGGGTTGTAATGGAAATTTAAAATGAATTTTAAAATTCAAGAGAATTAAATGAAATTTAAAATGGGCGTTTAAAAAATTGAAAAAAGAAGAACAAAAATAATATTTAAACTATAAAATTATTATTTAAAGATGTAAATTATTGTTCCCGAAAGAATAAAAGAATCAATCATTAAATAAATTCGTCCTTTTCTTCCTCGATGCTTCCAGGGGCATAATGGTAATTTAGACTACCTATGAGTGAATGAATCATTATGCAATGGCGGGTGTTATGAGCTCTAAAGTCTTCATTCACACTCCACACTCCTCCATTGAAGAATCCATTTATCTTCTTCCCCGTTTGCATTTCCTCCTTATCCGTTCACCTTGTCGGTTTTGTCCTTCCGAGTTTGTTCTTTCAATTATCTGTCAATTTCCTTCTTCGATCTGTGTCGTTGGTAATTTGTTAACTTAAATTTAGCCATCGATTCCGTTCTTGAAATTTAGATTTTTCATTCTAGAATTTCGGGATGCGGGAATTGTTTTACCGGATCGAGCTGTGATCGCCGTTTGTAGCGTACTAATCGGAGACCTCTGTTACGAGTATTTGACGTGATACGGCCTACTTTTCGTATAAAAGGTAAACGGATCTTCAAACACTTCTCAGTGCTAAGACTGATGATCAAGACTCGCTTTATTTCCCACCGACGATAACGATAGATATCTCTGATAGGTAATGGAAAACGTTGAATCCGACTGTAGTTCATTCGAACTGATGGCTGAGACTGTTTTAATTTTCTTTGCTCGAATGTCTTCACTTCAACTTTCAGTTTCCTTTTTGTAGCGTTCACCAATTATATGCGTTCGAATCGCCAATTCCTATTTCTGTATATTTGGTCAGGATTGGGGATTTTGCACATTAGTTTTATCTGATCATTCACATTTGGGTGAACTGAAGGACGCGAGATGGGGTCTTTGCAAGGACCGGTTGTTTGCCCAACTATGCGCGCCAAGCAAGCAGGATTCTGTACTCTTCCAATAAATCGTTCTTTAATGGCTTTTAGGTTTCGAAGAGGTGAATTATGGGGTTTTGCTGGGACCAACGGTTTGCGTGCCAAGTTACCAGGTATTTCTCAGCAAGGCTGTGCTAGAAAATGCAAGACATTGTGTTGCAGCTTCAATTCATCATCGGACGACAATGGAAGTACAGCAGAGAACTTCAACGGGAAGGATGAAGAATACGTTGAATCGAGCGTGATTGAGGCTGGTATGCTGAGCTGATGGCCTAATTCATCATGATTCGTTTTGGTTTTATGGTGCTATTACCTAATTGAAATGGCCTTTGGTTTGTTTGTGCTGTATAGTTGAGGTGACAAGTGTTGCCGATGAGTTCGTGATTAAAATGAGGGATGGTAGGCACTTAAGGTGTGTTCACAACAACCCTCACGGTGGGCATCTGCCGGATTATGCTCCACATCCTGCAATTGTGTTGAAGATGGAAGATGGGACTGGTCTTCTTCTTCCCATAATCGTGTGTACGTATCGTTCGATGTTCGATTATACTGTCTAACGCATGCTCTTAGTGTTTTTTAACGAATTCGAACTTTTTTGCCAACATTTCATCTTTTGTAGTGGAAATGCCAAGCGTGCTGCTTATGGCTGCTATGCGAAACGTTCCAATTGTATGTTTGCATTGTTTTCTCTTGAGATTGGATATAACATTTTGGAAATCGAATTATATGCCTTTGGAATGAATTTCTAACGGTTATTATTATTTGGTTCCAGGCCAGACCAACTATGTATCAAGTGGTGAAAGAGATGATTGAAAAGATGGGTTATGAAGTATGCTTTGATTCATCTTTCTCTTTTTCCACCTTGTCTTTTGAGTTTAAAGCTTAAGTGGGATGTGGGATGTGGACTGTTTGTAATTTTAGTCGCGAATATTTTATTTATCGATGCAGGTCAAACTCGTAAGGGTTACGAAGAGAGTGCACGAGGCATATTTTGCTCAGTTATATCTCTCAAAGGCATGTATAAGTTTCTCCCTCTGGATTCTGTACTCTTTTCTTAGATAAGTTTAAGAGATTTGAGTTTTTGTGCGTTTCAGATTGGTTGTGAGACTGACTGCATCAGCTTCGATCTCCGACCTTCAGATGCAATAAACATTGCAGTCCGATGCAAGGTAACTGAAATTGTTTCATGCTTACTTTTCTTGGTTGAGAGTAGCAACTCGGGCCAAGTGCCTCTGTGTGTGGCCAAAAGAATTGTCAAAATATTTCAGTTAGTATGTGGCGTTGAATTGCTGAAATATTTAGATGTTTTTCAAATATTAGGCATCTTGCAATTGATGCAGGTCCCAATTCAAGTGAACAAGTATCTTGCTTACAGTGATGGCATGAGAGTTGTTGAAACTGGGAAGCTGCCCTCCCAGGCCCCTGCTACGGATGGCTTATTATTCACCGAAGTGGATAGGTAATAAAAATATTTTGACAATTTGAGACTCCTGGTTCATTTGACAAGAGAAAATGGGATTTAATTGAATTCTTTTGTTTTCAGGCCTAATGGTCAGCCTTGTGCTGAAGCCAAAGAGTTCAATCTTATCAGGAATATGCTGATTGCTGCTGTTGAAGAGCGCTACAGAGATGCTGGTACCTATTCTGTGGTTCATTTATGATCGTTCTAAATGAATTTTACTTCTTTGATTTAGAACTGAAGCTTCCATTCTTTAGTAATGTTTTACCAGAGAGTCGTTGAACGTGTTGGTGTTCATGTGAAAGGTCGAAAGACCGAGAATAGTTAATTGCTTATGTGGGATGACCTTGTGGGTTGTACTTTTCCAAACACAAACAAAATGATATGAGAAAGGGAGGGTTGAGAGAGGCATCTAATTGGCGGGCTTGAGGAATAGTCGAAGCCATACCCAATCGAAAAAGGATGTTATCCAAACTTGACCCGTTGATCCTTTGGCTTTTCCAGCGATACAAAATTATTTATTCAAGTGATTGTCGTTCTGTTTAGATAGTTCTAAAATCATCATAGGTATCCATTTGCTTAGACAAGCCCCATTTTGCCATTGATGTGAGATTATATTCAGCGTGTGAGCTGTACAATATACATTTGGTTCTCATTGTTGGTCTGCATTTCAGCTCAATGGAGGGACAAGCTCAATCTTCTGAGGGCTAGGAGGAATTTGGCGTAAGAGGTAGACCAACTCCTTCATTCTCTATATTCAATATTTCTATCACACTTTTTTGGTTGAATCAAGAGGATGTAGACTGAAAAATACTCTCCGTTTCTTCAGTTACTCCTGGAGAAAGAGTACATGTACATAGAACGTAATTGTTCGGGGCCGAGGTTGGTTTGCGTGGGTAAATTACATTGCCTCTCGCCTCTTTCTACTTGCGTTATGTATTTAGCAAACTCTGTGAATATACGTATAGATATCTATATATATGTGTGTGTTTGCAGATCGTCAGATGTGTTCTTTGTGAAATGCATGATATAACCAAATCCTTTGATGCTTCACAATCATGAATTTGTCAAATGACCAACATTGCTTACATAATTTGATAGCCAAGAGTCCCGTTTTCATTCTAGTAGCTCGCCTAAATCTAGACCTTTAAAATATGATTTTTGTTAGTTAAACAATTATTTAATCTGGAGTAATTAATTTGTAATGGACACACGCTGTAAATGTGTTACTGATAATAACTAATTATTTATTTGCAACTTGAAATGCATTTAAATTATTAATTTGCTTAGTTATTATCGAAGTTGAGATTATTGTGCTTTAAAATGAACTAAAAAGGGAGTGTCTATTAATGTTGAAAGCTTCATTTTAGAAACTACTACATATTAAAGGGACCGCTGAAATAAAAATTAGATTAAAATATGATATTCTTAACAATAAGAAATGAGAAGGGTAAATTTGGAAGAGATGGAATCCCACATCGCGGAGGACCGGCAAGAACTGTGTGCTTAGGTCCCCCGAGTATAAATAATGAAAATTGTTAATCTGCACGATTGGAGCGAAAAATAGAACTAGCCTTATTCCCTCCAAAATGCAAAATGCGATCCGGCATGAAGTTTTCGGCCTCGCTGTCTCTACATGTAAGGTCACTACCATGCTTTTTGCGATGGTTATTTCTTGAAGCGTACGACATACAGTTGATGATTCTTGTTTATCGCGACGCATGAGTTTGATCGGACGACAATTTTCTTTCAAATCAACTTGGAACTGCGCAGCTTCTCTTCCGAGGTAAGTATGAATCTGTTTTTCCGTTCTTCTACAGTAACTGCGTATAAATCTCTGCGAGTCTGTGTAGATTTAGGTTCCGATTATGTCTATGTTATTGATATTGAACATTGTGTACTTCCGCGAAGTCTATCGTAGAATTACGTGTTGCCTCGTTAATTCTGATAATCGAACTTTCTTGTTCCTTGAACTTGAGAAATTATGACAATGATATATCATCAAAATAAGAAATCCTGCTTTCCGGACTTCAATCGGATTATCGCTTGACTAGTACTGCTACTGTACTTTAGAATACTGTAACTTAGAAGAGCAAAACGAGAGAAAAGAAGGTTTGATACAGATCAAAACTGGTTGATCTGTTATGGATTATGTGGAGATGCTTTCCAATGATTGGAACGGGAGAACAAAAACTAGGAGTGAAGAACTTCGATTGTCCGAAGCCTCTTATAGTATCTAGGCCACAGGTGCTCTCTCTTATGAACTATATTTGTCTAGTTGACAAATGTAGCCTCTTATAGTATCTTTCTTTGTTTAATTCGCTTAGTGATCGGTGTAAATTTTAGAGAAAAACTTGCGAAACCTCAATTCATGATCTAAAATAGTACAGAAAATTCGATTTCCGAGATGCGTGTGGCATTTTACAGGAGCAGGGGAATATCATGCACAAACTCTGATTGCATCTGTACGATAAAAATAATTCAGCTCGGTCTATTGCTTGGAAGTTGGAAAGACAAGAGAGAAACATCCGTAAATGAGAAATACGAAAGCAGAGATAGACGGAGTCTAGGACTCTTAATTCGAAATGTGAGAATGAAAATCCTAGGTAAAAAAATTTCTAGTTGATTTTTAGGGGGGTAACAGTAGCAGCAACTCTATTCTGAGGTCTGGCAGTCGAGTTCCTTGTAACGTTGTCACTCTTCATTGCCTCAACTTTATTCAATAGCTCTTCATTTTATCCAAAGACGGAATGTTGCTGAATTAATAGGTTAGTATCTGAAACCACTGAAGTCGCAGTAAGACATATGTAGGTGCAGATCCATGTGCTCGCGTCTCAACAACGCGGGATCCAACCGGTCCAGGTGGTTCATGGTCAATACCACTATCCGCTCGTCTCCACAGCTCGATCATAGGCCATCAATGAAGTTCAATAACCCATACTGAGTAATCTTATTGCAACAAACAATTTGATAAGTAGCTTCCTCGATATGTCATGTAGCTTTGGATACAAAATATTTAGTTTCCTTCAGGTCAGGGACCTACCTTTTCATCTGCAGATTTGGTTTGATTTTCTGAATCTGAACTCCTATCTTGAAGCTCAACAGAACAATCAATGTCCTCAATTACTAATATTGAACGGCTCTCTGTGCCAATCAATAATCTGCTTAAATCTGAATTGTATTGGACTTCCCTCAGATCCATATCATAAATCTTAAGCTTCAGATAGTTAGCAATGGCAGCAACTAAGCTTGATTTCCCTGTGCTTGGTGGTCCATACAACAAATAACCACGTTTCCAAGCCCTTCTTACTCTTCTGTAGGACTCTTTCCTCTCATTGAACTTATTGCGATCTTCGATCAATGCCTTCTTAGTTTCAGGGTTCATGGCTATTGTGTCAAATGTCGCTGGGTGATTGAGGTCGATTGTACCCCAGTAATCAGTGCCACTATAATCTGTTGTATGGAGCTTCACGGCCTTTTTTTTTTCATCTCTAATGGCATTTGCTTCTCGCAGAAGATGCGGAAGGTAGAATCTTAATGCCATATCCTTGTGTTTCTTGTGAAAGCTTAGCTCGAACTGCCTAACATCTGTCCGCTCATGCGCATTACCATCGTGGTTCTTCGCGAAGAAACCAAAACCCACTTAAAATTGAAGCCTTCGAATTTGTCAACCAATTCTTGATTCCTATCTATGATCAAGGCCAATTGCTGCTCTTTTTCTAGCTTGTGGACTTTAAGTCCTCGCAAGGATGAAGTAAGCTTTGCGCCCAAGTAAACATTTGCAGAGTCAAACATCTGGTTGGCGGTAAGCACATCAAGTTCTTCGACAACGACGATCGACTGTTTGTAAGAGCGCATTGGTTCCACGCGGCGTACAAGAACGAAGTCCTATGCCAATGGACGGACCTTTTTGGTTTGGGTTTTTTTTAGTTTAGAAGTACATGGAGTGACTTTTTGCTCAAGGTTATGGTATCGGCCTTTTGCAACCAGCCTTTTGATTGAGTTGGTTACTAGAGGTTTACGTGGAACTACCCAAGCCCATTTATTTGGAGAGCCCATATATCTGACGATGTGGGTAGGGGATGGCCTCACATCGTGCTTGAAAAACTAAAATCAAGGATTAAGATTATACGGTAGATAGTTGGGTCAAAAATGTTACATTTTAAATCATTACCTACATCGATTTCGATTATACATTATTAAATTTCTCTTTCAATACCTCTGTTTAGTATTAGAGCTTTGTTCTTCCTCGAAAAGTATTATTAAAGCATATTAAACATCTTTATCATCAATAGTTTGATGAATATAAAAATTCATCATGACAAATTGTTAATGTTGGCGGGCCATGCACGGTAACCATATATTTTGGGAGTCCATTAATCATTGATAGTTGAGTTGAAAATTTTAGTCAAATAGTAATAGAACAACACTTCAATCTTCAATAATCTAGGAAAAACCTATTCTATCCCATTTTACATCTCCCTATTTGTCTAAAGTTTGATAGGGGTTGACAAGACACACCAAGTCAAAAGGTAAGTAGTTATCTTAGTAAGCATAGATCACACTTTAAGAAATTGTTTTTACAAAGTAGTTTTGAACGTTGAAGTAGTAGAAGATTGCCAATGTAGATAGATAAGAAATTACCCATAAATTAAACCCATATCTAATTTCCTAAACAGATAGTGGAGCTGTAACTATAAGCATCTTTGTTGATAACACATCAGACATCGCACTTGCGACATGTCTTTGGGAGATGACTTATGACATCTTTGCTCTCCTTCTTCCCATCTTTCTTCTCCTCTTTTGCAGGTCCTACACTCAAAATTGCAGCATATTTTCTGAACTTTCTCACCTTCTTGATGACCTTCACAGGATCAGCTTCGCCGATGACAGTGATCGTGTTTTTTGGTGGGATATCGATTTCATCACCTGCTGCTTGCACTACCAACGTGGCAGTTCCACTGCCACTACAGTTTTCTGCAACAACGAATGTGTCAGGTTTTGAAGTACTTAAAGAGATCAGGCCCTAATGGTAATTCAATATTATTATATACACAAAGAAAACGAAAAAAATGCGGTGGAAAACCTTTGACATGGTTTAGGGAAAAGTACACGAGTGATTCTACTGACAAACGTGGCAGAGTAGAGTACTTTCGTATGGTTTACAATTCATTTTTCTGTGCAGGAAGGCCGACATAAAGTTTGGTCGAGAACTAAATTCGGCGACATGAAAAATGTTTTTATGTATCCCACCATGCATTTATTGCTGCTGCAGCAATACCCTCCGACTTATTGGTGAAGTAATTCAAATGGAGGAACAACTTGAGCCGTCTGGTAAGTACAACGTATATCTAATATTAAAACTTTCTTACATGGAAACAATGATTTGACGCCTTATCTCACTAAGAAGTTTACTTTCTATTTTCTAATATGGTCTATTTTAAAATTTTATTTATATTTTAAAAGTAAATGACGTCTATTATTCTTGCTGCATGCTCATCTCTTACTAGCTTCTTGTTCTTAGTTTCTTAATTATGCAGATTGCTTTTCCTTATTCATTCATTAATTTTTTATTTAATAAGTAAATAAATTTCATTATTAGATTTTTGTTTGAGAAATCTATAAAATAAATGCGAATTTATCTAAGTAAATAAATTTCATTCATCCGCTATTTTCTAATACGGTCTATTTTAAAATTTTATTTATATTTAAAAAGAAAATAACGTCTATTATTCTTGCAGCATGCTTATCTCTAGCTAGCTTCTTGTCCTTAGTCTCTTAATGACTCTTAATGATGTAGTATGCTTTTGTTTATTCATTCATTAATATTTATTTAATAAGGTAAATAAATTTCACTATTAGATTTTATTTGAGAAATCTATAAAATAAATGCGAGTTTATCTTTGACATGGTAATTTGCTATTTTCTAATACAGTCTATTTTGAAATTTTATTTATATTTAAAAAGTATATAACATCTATTATTCTTGTTGCAAGCTTTATCTATTAACTGTATTATTCTTGCTGCATGCTTTATCTCTAACTAGCTTCTTGTTCTTAGTTTCTTAATGATCCAGTATGCTTTTATTTATTCATTTATTAGTTTTCATTCATTAATTTTTTATTTAATAAGTAAATAAATTTCACTATTAATTTTTATTTGAGAAATCTATAAAAGAAATGCAAATTTATCTTTGACATGGTAATTTGCTATTTTCTAATATGTTCTATTTTAAAATTTTATTTATACTTAAAAAGTAAATAACGTCTATTATTTTGGCTACATGTTTATTTCTAGCTAGCTTCTTGTTCTTAGTTTCTTAATTATGCATTATGCTTTATATTCCTTCATTAGTTTTCATTCATTAATTTTTTTATTTAATAAGTAAATAAATTTCACTATTAGTTTTTATTTGAGAAATGTATAAAATAAATGTGAATTTATCTTTTCCATGGTAATTTTCTATTTTCTAATATGGACTATTTTAAAATTTTATTTATATTTAAAAAGTAAATAACTTTTATCATTCTTGCTACATGTTCCAGCTTCTTATTCTTAGTTTCTTTATGCTTTATATTCATTCATTAATTTTTTATTTAATAAGTAAATAAATTTCACTATTAGTTTTTATTTGAGACATTTATAAGAAAAATGCAAATTTATCTTTGACGTGGCAATTTGCTATTTTCCAATATAGTTTATTTTAAAATGTTATTTATATTTAAAAAGTAACGTCTATTATTCTTTCTGCATGCTTATCACTGACTGGCTCCTTGTTCTTAGCTTCTTAATTATGCAGTGGTATTTTATTTATTCATTCATTAACTTTTATTTAATAAATAAATAAATTTCCCTATTAATTTTTATTTGAGAAATCTATAAAATAAATGTGAATTTATCTTTGAAATGGTAATTTACTGCTATTTTAAAATTTTATTTATATTTAAAAAGAACGTCTATTATGCTTGCTGCATGCTTATCTCTAACTAGCCTCTTGTTTTTAGTTTCTTAATTATGCAGTATGCTTTTATTTATTCATTTATTAATTTGCATTCAATAATTTTTTATTTGATAAGTAGATAAATTTCACTTTTTTTTTTTTTTTTTTGAGAAATCTATAAAAAAAAAATGTGAATTTACCTTTCACACGGTAGTTATAATTTCATTGATTATATATTAGTTTGCCAAACCCAACTGCAGTTGGGGGTAAAACTTAAGATAACTTCCTTTCCCTCTTTCTAAACTTGTCATATTCGAAATATAATAGGACTAAAGTTCTAATTATATGTTTAATTAGACATCAATTTTTTTTAAAGTGTTAAATAGAATAAAGGCAAGTTTGTATTTTAACATGTATTTGATTATTGTTTTGAAAAATACTTACAAATTGCACGTGATGTTTAAAAGAAAAATGTGAAATGAGTTGTCCCTTTCTTAGTATCATTTTTCTTCGATCTCAATTATTTTTTTATCTTTCTTTCCACCTATTTTAAAATTTGAAACCATTTAATTTTAATTTCTGAAAATATCGCTTTGAATTTCAGATTTAGAAAACCAAAAAACCTAGAACATATCTTGGGTTTTTTAAAATTGGGTTAAGAATTCAAAAAAAGAATTTTAAAGAAAATGGAACACCATTGAAAATGAGGTTTGTTTCTCATAGTTTTTTATGATAATTTTCCTCTTATCAAATCGTGATTATAAAACTCAATTTTAAAACATGAAAAACTAAAAGAGGTTTATAAACTCAATTTTAAAAAATTAAAAACTAAGATTATCAAATGGAGACAAAATTTCTAATGATTGATTACCAAAGCCCATCTAATAACTATTCAATATTGCATGTGAAGTTTTAAAGAAAAAAAGTGAAACGAGTTCATCCCTTTCTTTCTATCATTTTTCTTCGATCTCTATAATTTTTTATTTTTCTTTCCACCTATTTTAAATCTTGAAACCATTTTATTTTAATTTTTTAAAAACATCACTTTGAATTTCAAATTTGGAAAACTAAAAAAGTTAAAATAATAATACATCTTTTCGGTAAAAGTTGGGATTGATTGAAAATGGAACACCATTGAAAATAAGGTTTGATTCTCATAATTTTTTACCATAGTTTTAAAACACTAAAAACTAAAAGGTGTTTATAAACTCAATTTTAAAAAATTTAAAACTAAATGATTATCTAAATAGCTATTTGATTTATAATTTTTTTTAAAAAAAATTGTTCTTGTTTTTTAAAACTATTTCTTAATTTTCAAAACTTTATTGATTTTAAATTTCTTCAAATAGGAGACAACAAAACAAAGGAACTAATAGGTAAAAGAAAACAGAAAACCAAAAGGTTACGAGGGTTTTTTTTTTTTTTTTTTTTTTTTAATTATAAATTATTTAAAGAAAAAAAAAAGGTGGTTCAAGCACCCCAGGATATATTTAAGCAAACTATTTTTTTTTTTTTTCCTAATCTCCTTTTAGAAAATTTAAAGTAAATAATCTAAATTATACTCTTTAATAAATTTAATTCATAAACCATATTTTCTTTTATTAATTTATAATTTATAATCTACTTCATTTCTATTTTAGATTTGATATAGTTTTTTCTTAAGAAAAAAAAAATAGAAAATAGTAATTGTGAGAAATTAAATTTCGTTGAATTTAGGATAGAGAAGGATACCGAGAACTTACGACGAGTCTAAGATCATTCCTCCAGTGTCATTTGAAGACTTCCTTCCAGTTTCAGAAGCACGCCCTCTCAGAACCTTTTCTAGCTTCTGTCGGCCAAATACAAGTTCAATTTACAAACATAAAACTCTCAAATCTAGGTTTTGGAGATGTAACCTGAAAGGAGTAATCTTCAGTCTATGGCCTTGGCGTTTGAATCATCAGTTCATCGGCAAATGATGAAACCATTGCTACCTTGACTATTTGTTACATTGCCACATGAGCGAACCATATATCAAAACCACAAAAAAAGAATAGAACACCTAGAAAGCAAATGAAAACAAATGCTTTCATAAAAGAAATTACTTTTTATACGTATAATAACAAATAACAAACCATTTTAAGGTTTTTAACTATTACAGTAAAATAATTGAAACTATTATAACAACAATAATGATGAAAGAAATTGAGTGCAAAGTGAACCGGATTAGTGAGGAAAAAAATATGCAAGAAAGAAATTAATAAAAGATTGCGTACAGGGTCGTACTGTGAGATTTAGAACAAACATTCGAAACAAACCAATCAATTGCGTTTTGGGAAAACCTCATGTGTTCATTCAAAAGAACATCTTAGTTCCGATTAAAAATACTCCATGGCATGGAAATAATGAACGATAAAATCAAGCCAAAACAGTTCAAGACAAAATTAACATCATTCTCAGAAATTCTCCTCAACAAGTAACAGAACAGATAATTCTAATCAATGTGTGACCCATTCAGATCCCAAGTAATAAAACCATTTCGTTTTGTCCCTTCTCTCCTGCACTAGTGGAATTTTCCACGTCTGACAAAAATATATACTACATATTTAAGAATTTCAAAAGAGTGAAATTTTCCTTTTTTTTTTTTTTTTTTTTTCGCAAAAGAATCGATAGTGGATTCTAACGTACATTAACTAGAAATTAAATCATTAACTTTTTATTGAAAAAAAATCGATAGATGAAACATACCCCAAATGTTGTCAGTAGATATATGCCACGTATGAACTCCATCGATCCCTTTGTTTGACATGAAGATCATGCTTCCGCAGTGGACAATAAAACAGCGGACTAAATCTGCGAAATAAAGCATCCAGATCTGCATATGAGCATCAAATAAGTATAATGAGGGATGCAGGACAAAACAACTACTTGAGGAGCTTCTGGACAAAAACTCAACGAGCAGATGGTTAAATTGAAGATCAGTGAAGAATATGACGCACAAAAAAAAAATGATAACAATCAAATAATTAGGACACAAACAATGAATCTCTAGTAAAATAAATAAATGTCCAATTCATGCTTAACAGAAAAGAAGTACAGCCACAACTTTGGCATGTACCCTTGTTGTGTTGTAAATTCACAACCCTTAGCCTGTAACAATTTTCTGCCTCTAGCGATGTCACAAACATCTGTTTAGTTGCGAACTATTTTGTTCTCTTGATCATAGTATTCTTCCTACTTCTTAAAAGGTTTTAGATACAGGTCTACGAAATTCACCTAAAACTTTGTAGTACTAGCCGACAATGGATTAATAATGAACCACAGAAATGAATTGTAGTAGGCATATACCTTGTAGTCAAAATGAATTGCAGTGGGCATATACCTTAACTCTGATATCTGATGCATAGATCGTAAGTAAAGACTTCCAGATAAGTACTCATCAATAAACGCTGTTGAAACAGTTATAACAAGAACAATTTTGAGAAAAAAGATTCTTTAATAAAATGGTTTCTTTAAAATATAAAAATAAATTAAAAGAAGAAAAATGTTTTTCTTCCATATGAGATGATTGTTAGTTCTTGACAGTTGGATCATGGTTGCCCTTTCAATTACAAATCTGCAATTTTAATTGTAAATCACATTCAAAGGTAATAGAAAATTCTCCAACCGCTTCTCATATTCTCTTTNCTATTTTGTGACTTTTTTTTCATGTTTTTCATTTTTTTTTTTTTTTTTTTTTTTCATTCTAACTTATCTCTGAATGAACAACACCGTGAAAGTTATTTGAAACTTACTTCCTTGCTCCCAAGGAGTTTATCAGATACCAAAAAACCAGTTAGACGTCAGAACAAGCTTCCTACTAATAGAAGTATATATTTGAAGGTAGTCCATGGCAAGAAAAAAATGAGCAAACCTCCAACACCATGAAACACTCAAAACAGTCAATAGATATTATGGCTCTGAACATTTAGTTGATTCAGCAGTAAGCTAGAGAATTTATTGATAATGAGTATATTTACTGTGTAACAAAAAAGTTAGAAGCTTGTATGCATTATATGATAATTCTTAAATGTGTTTAATATCAGCAGAAGGATAATAGTTAAAGAAAGCTCAAAGAAACTCTACCTTGAGAAAAAAATAGAATGGTCAGATTGGAGGAGGAAAGAGTCTCGATGCACATTGACTCGTCCTGCACTGACCCAAGACATTCTTCTCAATAGCCTTTAGGAATTCTCTCGATACAAGGACATGGACCTACCAATGTCGGTAAGAATATACCGTCAGAATTATTGATTTTGTTTTCTTCGAAAGACTTCAATTGTTCTATGATGAAGATTTAATCATTCTTGAGCTATCACTTTTGTAGGTTCACATGAACTATCATTGACTCAACAAGTGTACATTGGCTAAGTTATCGCGTCACTTATCACAATTACTGTTCACAAATATGACGTGGTTCAAGCAAGACTAGCATGAAATGAATATAGAAACGTACCTCAGCATCAACATGGTTGGAATCCAATAACAGAATCACTACATGCTGCACATAGATTCGACACGCAGCATCACAATCCGTGCACGACTACATCTCTCCACAGAAGATGCCTATGCGCGGACAAAGCCATTAGGTTTGAAACACTCACGCAGTGGGATCCATTTCTTGAAGCCATTTGTATCCCTATAACATTCAAAAACTATGAACAGAATTAGCACAGAGATCGGCGGCGGCCACGAGTAGGTTGAAGAAAATCCAATTTCAAAACGAAAAGAAAGTTGCACCGATAATTCACTGTCTTACTGGAATGCAGAAAACAATTCATCAATTTCTCAAAACTTACCGACGATAAAACAGTTTAACAGAGTACAAAACAATCTCATGAACGAAAAAAAAAACTAGAAATAAAATATTGCTAATCACACTTTAAAATGAGATAGAAAACCGATGAAAAGTGTTCAGGAGATTCTTTCACTAAACGATCTCATGAAAGAAAAAGAAACTAGAAATAAAATATTGCTAATCACACTTTAAAATGAGATAGAAAACCGATGAAAAGTGTTCAGGAGATTCTTTCACTAAACGATCTCATGAAAGAAAAAGAAACTAGAAATAAAATATTGCTAATCACACTTTAAAATGAGATAGAAAACCGATGAAAAGTGTTCAGGAGATTCTTTCACTAAACGATCTCATGAAAGAAAAAGAAACTAGAAATAAAATATTGCTAATCACACTTTAAAATGAGATAGAAAACCGATGAAAAGTGTTCAGGAGATTCTTTCACTAAACGATCTCATGAAAGAAAAAGAAACTAGAAATAAAATATTGCTAATCACACTTTAAAATGAGATAGAAAACCGATAAAAAGTGTTCAGGAGATTCTTTCACAAAACGATATCATGAAAGAAAGAAAAAACTAGAAATAAAATATTGCTAATCACACCTTCAAATGAGATAGAAAATCGATGAAAAGTGTTCAGGAGATTCTTTCACTAAACGATCTCATGAAAGAAAAAAGAAACTAGAAATAAAATATTGCTAATCACACTTTAAAATGAGATAGGAAACCGATGAAAAGTGTTCAGGAGATTCTTTCACTAAACTTCCGAGAGAAAGAAAACGGAAAAATAGGAGTCAAGGATCAACTCCTTGGACATATATATCGATGCAAGGTAGACAGACATACAAAAAGAGGAGATGATCCAGATAAGCGAGGACAGGATTGATAGCTTCTTCGCATCTGTAAGTCCAATCAGCAGCATACTCCTGCACCAGTACGATTTTCATCCGGCAGATTCCCTCGCAGTCTAAAATTCAAACAGTCGAGAGTTAAATTCAAGAGAATTGAATAGCACAGAAGAGAAAGAGAGTTTGAGATCTCCATGCACCTGATCGGACCTTTGGCAGATTGCTTTTAGTAGAATCAAGGTCCGCTTCAATGGAACCAAACAACTGAGAAGAGAACGCCGATCAGCCACTCAGCATTTGTAGAAATGAACAGAAGAGAAAGAGAGTTTGAGATCTCCATGCACCTGATCGGACCTTTGGCAGATTGCTTTTAGTAGAATCAAGGTCCGCTTCAATGGAACCAAACAACTGAGAAGAGAACGCCGATCAGCCACTCAGCATTTGTAGAAATGAACAGAAGAGAAAGAGAGTTTGAGATCTCCATGCACCTGATCGGACCTTTGGCAGATTGCTTTTAGTAGAATCAAGGTCCGCTTCAATGGAACCAAACAACTGAGAAGAGAACGCCGATCAGCCACTCAGCATTTGTAGAAATGAACAGAAGAGAAAGAGAGTTTGAGATCTCCATGCACCTGATCGGACCTTTGGCAGATTGCTTTTAGTAGAATCAAGGTCCGCTTCAATGGAACCAAACAACTGAGAAGAGAACGCCGATCAGCCACTCAGCATTTGTAGAAATGAACTTCAGTGTTCAACTTCAGGCGAAGACCTTCACCAGAAGAGAGATCTTTACGCTGTGGATGATATCGTCTTGCGGACGAGTTCGGACTTCGAAGAGAGAGTGAAATCATTTCTTCTGAAGACTCGGAGCATCAAAATTTCTCTCTGCGAGAATTCTCGAAGACTCGTTCACGGAATGAAAGAAACGTGGAATGCGGAGGTTTTTTCAGAACCCGCGTATGCGTACCCGCGCCCGTTCTTCCGCCGGCCCGCGCATTCTCTATTTTATATCAAGTAATTTTTTTTTTAAGGTTATTAAATTATCTAATAATTATCAATTCCGCATTAATCTTTCACAAAATTTTCAACTTCCATTAATGTTTTAAAATTCTGCAGTTTATCTTTAATATATTGAACAATAAATTAAAACTCTCTCAAATAATTTTTAAAACCTTTAATAGAAAGGTAATGAATTATTATTGGTAATAGGAACATTGGTTAATGCATGTATTATTGACCCATAAATTAAATGTACAAATCTATTTAATCCATAAATAAACTAAAAAAATGTTGAATATAATCCTTATGTCTTAAATAAGTATTATTGGAAATTATGCTAATAAAAATAATTCTGATTTTTATTGAAAAAATAATATAAAATTCAAATAATGAATTTATGAGTCACATAAAATCATTATATTTACAAAACAATAATTTGATATACATCAATTATTTACAAAATTATTCAATTGATAGATTTGAACACATTAAAAGAAATTTGAAGCGCTGAACGATTAAGGACTAATTAAAAAAACTATTAACCAAAGTACGTATGTGTATGTGTCAGCCTAATTGACATATACTGTTTTTCCTATAAAAGAAAGTAAACTAAATAAAGTAATTGTAAATTTTAAAGCATAATTTTATTCTATTTTAATTAATGTTTTATGATTAACCAATTGAGTTTCATCGAACTCTTCATTGGCATTGATCATTCTCAACAAACAGCGACGCAATGCAAGCGACAAACAGAAACAAATTGTTCGATTCAGACAAATTAATTTCGATTGTTCTAAATTACATACATGAAATACAAGAGAAAACCCCAAAATCGTATTATGAAGTCGAATTTAAAAGATTACCAGGCCAACTGAACTCTCCGAACTCTTCTATTTTTTCTTCCCTTTGCCGCCGGATTTTCGTTTCGTGGGCAGAATGATTTCCCCTTTAAGGACAGGAATCTCCATCAACTGCGACAGCTCTCCGAATTTCTTGCGGAATTTCTCGACCTGATCGGCGTCTACGAGCAGGGCAGAGCGGCTGCCTAAATAGAAAGGGTGATTTCCCGACCACACATCCACCGAATACTCTTTCTGGGTTCCACCCGTCGTCATCACCAGCTCTCCATTGCAATAAACCTTAGCATCCTCGTGGAATTGGGGGTGAAGATCCTTTTTCCGGCAGGTCACCACCGCCCGGTGACTTCTCGCTCCAAATTCCTGGAAATGGCGCCGAAATTTAGGAAAAAAATAAATGTACAGTCCCCGCTGTCGTAACATTAGGAGTGGGAATAAGGGGAAAGTACCTTTTTCTTCGGCGGTGCGACGACCGGGGAAATTGGGCGTTGAAGAAAGGAATTTGTTAGGTTCAGCGCCATTGCTGCGTTTGAGTGCGGTGAAGTGAGGATAAGAAGAAGATGAGTTCTTCTTCAAGGCATTGTCGCATGGCCACTCGCTCGTCCTTCTCTTTTGGGCCTGCTAGTTTTGAGCCTTCAAATGGGCCTTCCTGATGGAGGCCTGCTTTTCGGGCCCACGTGTAAATTATAATTTCATAGTTTTGAGCCTTGTATTTCTCAAGTTTAATTAATTTGTTTTATGATGTTTTTTTGAATAATATATCAAATTACAATCCATTTGTGCGCACGTGCTTTAACACTATTTATTCTTGGACTAATCAAAGTTAGTATAATAGAAAATTCTAAATTAAATACTGATTTTGTTATGTATGACGAACAATAAACCCATTTTTCTTTCATGTATCCTCCAAGAATACAAATGGAATCAATTGTTTCAATCACATTTATGCCATGTTTTTATCGATGCGACTTGTCGGATCATGAGCCTAATTAAGCACGACTTGCATACACTGAAACGACAATGATATTCGCCCGATTTGTTAATTTCCCCGCAGACCTATTCAACGATCTACATAGTAGAATGCCACGTGTAAGGTCAGAAATGCAGCAACCTTCACGTCATGATCAGGGAGAGATTTGTATTACACGTGTCTCCAATTCAGACAGCTACCCAGATGCGTGTATGCTTACAGGGATAGTTTAGAGAAAAATAAAACTTAATTCATTGTTTCTGTTCCTTTTAATGTTTTTATATATATTTTTTAATTTAGTACGAACAGTTTAAATTTATTGAAATATAATATTTAATGATACTTGTGAGCATGATCATCCTCAATCTCGTTTATTTTATTATTTCCACCACTTTTCTTGAAAATGTGTAATTATAATAAAAAAATATAAAAAATCTTGCAAATGGCCAAATAACAAGTATTCGTGCCGTGTTTTATTGTTCATAATTGGCAAAATTGCACGAACGCCACTGAACTTGCCTTTAACTAAAATTTTATAGTTTAATTATTATTTAGATGGATGTGCTAACAAATTATATTGCTAAAAGGTGGTTTCTTGTAATCTGATAATTATTGAATGTATTTTATATTTATTACATTAAAAATTATTCAAATAACATTTTAATTTTTTGAAGGTTTGGTGTACTGATATTCTCAAAAGTTAACCAATATATTTTTAATCATAATAAAAATGTGAAAAGAGATGGTAATAAAACTTTTGAACAAACAGAATTGTTGATATTAATATTTTGTTGTGAAAGTTTATTTTTTTATTTAAAATTATTATTGAATCAATAAAAAGTTGACCATTTATCCTCGTTGAAAGATAGCTTTGTATATGTTTTCAACGAAAAATTTTAGAAAATGCTGCTGAAACTAATTTTTAAACTTTACTTTTTCCTCCAAACTTAAAGATATTTTTATAAATGAAAGTCTAGTAACAGAGGTAGCCTCAATGAAGGGGAGGGTACTTAATTTGAAGGGAGGTGTTGGATTATGAAAGTCCGACTAATTTAAGCTATTAACATGAATTTATAATTAAATAATACTCTCTCTATTATTATGAGACAATTTTTATATCTTGGACTTGTGATGTATCAATTATCATTTTAACGATCAACTTCTCCCATAATGATATCTATGCTACCTAGTATTGTCATAATATCAGCAAATTTCATTCTTTTAACTAACTGAGGAAGAATTTGCAAATTGATAAAACCCGGCGGGCGAATTTTCCATCTCCAAGGAAAACCACCCTGATCCCCTATCAAAAAAATGCCCAATTCCCCTTTTGGGGCTTCGACTCTCACATAAAGTTCTTGTTTCGCCAATTCAAAAGTTGGCATTTTTAGACCATAAAGTTAGGAGAGTTTATATTAAAGAGAGTAAAAAAATGGTGGTTAAGAAAAGGCCTCAACAACTGCTTTTAGGTGTTAATAATGGAACTGTCATGTATTCCCCGGTGGGTCTTAAGATGATGCAGAATCCGATTTAATGATCACGTGATCTCCTAATACTTAATTTTTGTGATGGATATTAACCGTCCATTTGGCTGGAAATATGTGGCCAACAACTTATATTATTTTAGGTTTTCTGATTTTTTTTTTTTTATAAAATCAATAAATGACGTGACTGTGGGCCGTACACGGCACGGTTAAGATTACCGGGTTAGAAGTTCAATGAATAAAATCACTTTTCTATCGATGAGTTGGATGGGTGTTTTAATTTTAAATTGTTAATTTCTTTCCATATGATTATGAATTTAAATAAGTAATCAAATTAATAGAAAATTTAATTAAATTAAAACAAACACATTATTTGAAAACGTACTTACGTTTCGACTAAAATCCACCAAACCGAATCCTTTAAGAATATAAAAAGAATTATAATACAACCCTAAAATAACCAAACATAAATATTATTCCTTTTTAAAATTAAACATTGAAAAAAGAAAAATATTAAACGCCAAAATCCACATAAACAATTAGTCGAGCATCTCGATTGTAAATTATTATTTTTTGCTATTCCTATAATTTTATTTAAAATGGATAAATAAATAAAGATTACCAATTTTAGATCTTAATAGTACATTTTATTTCTCATAAATGTTTTAAAAATTAGGATTTTAAATGGGTTTAACAATATTCGGGTCATTTTTAAATGTTGAAATAATAAAATAATAAAATAATAAAAAATATATATACTCGTTTTAATTTCCCGAAATTATATTAATCGAATCATAAAACAAAGAACAACAAATCTCGAAGGTTAATGGAATCTGTCGTCACATTGGAGTCAAGCAGAACGCCAATTTATAGTTGTTTGATTTTAAAAAAAGGTATTAGGTGCATATAAATATCTTTTTTTTTTCTCTATTTGTTATAAACAAATCACTACAAGAGGCCAAGTGAGAGCTGACGAGTAGGTCCCAATTGCAATAGCCGTATTCCCGCCGTGTCAAAGTCCCAAGGCGCCCTCTCTCTGCACTCTCCATTATTGAAAGCCAAGATCGCCCGACGATCCTCTGGCGGCTCAAAACCAAATTTAACGACGCTAGTTCAGAGTTTTCACATTCCTCACTAGGATCTTCATCCTTCGATCTTTGATCTATTCCCGCCTTTCTTCTGTAATCTGTTCATTCTAAGCTGTTCCCTCTACATTTCTCTTACAACACTCTCTTTACAGACAGGGCTCCTCCAGCGTTTGATCCTTTTCCCTGCGTTGTACTTCAATCTCCTTCTCAGAGCTTTGGTTTCCCTCTGATCTAGGCTTTTGCGCGTGCTCCGGTCTCGACGATTGCGTTGGGAAGGATCGAGATCTTTCTAAGTTTTTTCTGCACTGTGGTCGACATAACATATTCGGGCAAGCTACTCGGAGATCAGATTTTTCTCTTGATCTGTAGTTGATTTGACAATGGATTCGTTTGGTGTGACCTTGAAGGCCAATACGATGCCGTTTAGAGCCAGCAGACAGTGTGGTAGGAAGGTGCAATGCTCCGGGTTCTGGGGAGAGAGTATTGAGAGAAGCGGAAAGTGCAAACAGATACAGATGAATGCCTACTCGCGGAAGAATTCTTATTCTTCTTCCCATAGCAGGGCTAGAAAGCTTACGGCGGGAGTTGCTCATTCTGTTCTCATGTCAGAAGTTAGTGAGGAAACAACGGTAAGTGGATTTAGTACTTTGATATTCAAAAGTACATAAACTTTTATCGGAACTTTTGACTCCAAATTTTACCTCAGACTTTACAGGCTTCTATATTTGAGACTCCTAGAGCTGATCCGAAAAAGATTGCTTCAATCATACTGGGTGGAGGTGCCGGAACTCGCTTGTTTCCTCTTACCAGCCAGCGCGCCAAACCAGCGGTAACCACCTCTACCAAATTGCTTATATAAGAATAATTTCACAAACTTGGAGAGCGTTTTTAATTGGGGAGATGTATTTAGATGGTTGTACTAGATACTTGATAATAGAAGCTATTGATCCAACCCAGGAGAACAAACTGGTGCATGAATTTAAGCAAATAATTTTTACTTGCAGGTTCCAATTGGAGGTTGTTATAGATTGATCGACGTGCCCATGAGTAATTGCATTAATAGCGGCATCGAAAAGATATTCGTCCTAACGCAGTTTAATTCGTTTTCTCTAAATCGTCACCTTGCTCGTATTTACAATTTTGGTAATGGAGTGAATTTTGGCGATGGATTCGTGGAGGTATGATGACTGTACTTCCCATTTTTACAATCTGCCCCTGCTTTGCAATTGTTTTAATTAGATGGGCTGCAAGTTCTTGGAACCCGGAAGCTTTCTTATGCTCATCCTCTGGATTCATGTTTGAGAAACAGGTTCTAGCTGCCACTCAAACTTCGGGTGAAACTGGAAAAAAATGGTTCCAAGGAACTGCCGATGCTGTCAGGCAATTTATATGGTTATTTGAGGTGGGTGCCTAAAATCTTCTGAGCATGATTGGAATTTTCAGTCAAATTTTTTTATGTATAATGAACGTTTTATCCATTGGGTTTCTGCAGGATGCCAAGACCAAAAATGTTGAGCACACTCTAATTTTGTCTGGCGATCACCTTTACCGGATGGACTACATGGATTTTGTGCAGGTATAACGTGAAGCTAACTAGTTTGTACTTGTATTTGTATAGTTGTGCTCATTTGTTCGTGATTCAATGAGGATTTCTGATGACTTCGTACTTGCAGAGACATATTGACACAAATGCAGATATTACAGTTTCGTGCATACCCATGGATGATAGGTAGGCATCTTTTTTTATCGTTATTTCCATGGATAAAGTGTTTCTTAAAACTCAGATCTTCATTAATGCTTTGTTATTCTGCAGCCGAGCATCGGATTACGGTCTCATGAAAATAGACGACACAGGACGTATTTTACATTTTGCAGAGAAACCAAAGGGATCTGACCTGGAAGCAATGGTTGGTAAAATTGATGCAATTTGTTTGGTTTGTAATTAGCAATATCTTTGTCTGATCTTGTTTTCTATCCATTATATATTGTTTATTGCAGCAAGTTGACACTACAGTTCTAGGACTTTCAGATCAAGATGCTAGAAAAAATCCTTATATTGCATCAATGGGAGTCTACGTATTCAGAACTGATCTTCTATTAAAGCTTTTGACATGGACTTATCCTTCATGCAACGACTTCGGCTCAGAAATTATTCCATCGGCTGTTAAAGACTACAAAGTTCAAGTGAGATCCCTTTTGAGAAATTTTAATCTTTCATTTTTTCCTTGTGCTTGAATTCAGAATAGGAAGACTTTCGACGATAATAGAACTAAGTTTCCCAATGTATCCATATTGTTGTAGGCATATCTATTCAATGACTACTGGGAGGACATTGGAACCGTGAAGTCATTTTTTGATGCCAACTTAGCACTAACGGAGCAGGTATGTATCCCATCGATTGTCTCCTTTCTTTTCCTTTGTATGGGACCAAGAATCATCTCCAGCTTTCTTGCTTATTTAGTTATCTGAGTTAAATATTTATATAGAAGATAAGTACCTTAACTGGCCTGTGAATTTTTCAAGCAACGCCCTCCCTCGGATCAGAAACAACACATGATCAAGTGTCATTAAGCTGATGGCTTTAGTGTCTTTCATGCAGCCCCCAAAGTTTGAGTTCTATGATCCGAAGACTCCATTTTATACATCACCTAGATTCTTGCCCCCTTCTAAAGTTGAAAAAAGCAGGGTAAGACATCAAACTCGAGTTTGCTCTCTGCATCATCCGTTTGATTCTTGTATCTTAAACGAAGTTGCTTTTGCAGATTGTAGATGCAATAATATCTCATGGTTGCTTCCTCCGAGAGTGTAGTGTTGAACACTCTATTGTCGGTGTGCGCTCTCGATTGGAGTACGGTGTGGAGCTTAAGGTGAGCCAGGGTTTTCTTTTGAATTTTCCCCTCCCCTTCGATACTGTAGGAACGTACAAGAAGAATGCAATGGCAGAAGATGGTTATAGATGCTGCAATCTTTTTTTTCCACAGATTAAACTCTTACTATTATTGCAAGAGATTCTGCCATGCCGATATGTAGAGCATCTTAGCTTGTAAAAAGTTGATCATATTTGGATTTGTTGGTTTTGCATTCTAGGATACTATGATGATGGGCGCGGACTACTACCAGACTGAATCTGAAATTGCATCTCTGCTTGCCGAAGGTAAGATCCCAATCGGCATTGGAGAGAACACCAAAATCAGGTAATATTCAGCTACCAATACAGAGCAAAAGCTATCTGCAATCTCTTATTAGTTAAATATAATCGTCACTTTATCATCCGACTGTTTACCATAAACATTATTTGTTCATGGGTTTGGTCTGTTTCTGATTTTCATTTATCTTTTCCGCAGGAATTGCATAATTGACAAGAATGCGAAGATCGGAAAAAATGTAGTTATTGCTAATACTGATGTAAGTATGATATTTGTGTTCTTAAGGGATATTTGGTTCAATAAGTTTTGTTTCATCCATGTTTGTATTTGTACAAAGAAATAACCAATAAAAGGTTAGGTTTGGTTCTTGGGTTTCATAACCTGGGTGGTTTCATATGTGAAGGTTTATATAACATGAGTTCATGCAATTCGGTAGGGAGGGGAAAATTAACACTTTCTAAGAATTTGCAAACTCTATCTAAACCACATAAACCCATGATGTTATTTTGGTCATAGTGCCTAACAAATGTGTGGTTGTTAACTTTTCAGGGCGTTCAAGAAGCAGATAGACCAGAAGAAGGGTTTTATATAAGGTCCGGTATCACAGTCACGTTGAAGAATGCAACAATAAAAGACGGAACCATTATTTAAATCCAAAGAGAAAGCTGAGAGTTGAAAGGAAGCAACTGCTCGAGGCTTTCAACCGACAATGCTCGACAACGAGTAAAAGGCTAGCTTCTTTTCTTATATGTAAAAAGTTGAAAGGCAACACATTCCTGAGTAAGAGAACAACTTTTTATTTCAATCCATATATTATTAGAGACTACAATATTCAAAGCGATTTAGCATTAGTTTTTGGATGAGCAATCCTTTCTCTGTGAGGGAGTTGTTTATTCCTAGCCCCATTTTTGTTCAATTTCCAGGACTATGGCTGCCTCCCTTTAAGGCCTCCCCCTGTGTCTTATGTTTCTGAGGTTGGCATGCTTCTTCCTTATTTTGATCATCTTTGCAGACTCCTGAGATATCAAATTAGCAGTGGAGGGGTCCTCACTAAATACCACTTCATACCCATCCCCATAAGAACCCATCCCTTCAAGTAGAAGTTGCCAGAACAGTGCACCCGTAGCTGCTCCGCCGCCCTTAGCGGATGAATACACAGCTGAGTAAACAGCATGGTAAAGTCGATCCCTTTTATCAGCGCCACCGTCCTTTTTAGACATTCCAAACTCTGCAAAGAGAACTGGCTTGTGGAGAACGTTCTGTGCATCTTGGGTGTGTTCATTGAGCCAAGTGTTCAGGAATGAGAGCTGATCCTCAAAACTTGAACCAGATAACCTTCATCAAATCACCACCACGTTCATTTCAGCTAATAATGGATTGAAGATCTCAGAATAGGAGCCAATGGGAGAAGGGTTTTGTTCTTACCATTCGTCAGGATACGAGTGGACTGTGGAAAAGTCGATTTCGGGTATCTGATTGTTTGCAATGAAATCGGTTCCCACTTGGAAGTTAGGATTCCCTTGATGCCTTGCTTGGCCATAGAATCCTTCCAAACCAACTTCTAATAGGTGTTTCCCATCAATTGATTTCAAGTATGCGGCCATTTCTTTAATCCATGCCTGCCCATCATTTCATATATACAACTTTTTAAATTGGGCTATGTCAGCTTAGTAGGTATAATAAATGTATAATCAGGTGCAACTTTTTGCATTAACATAATTTTACTTGTAATGAGACTTCGTCTTTGGCTCAAATCAAGATGTAAATTGGTTTTGGAACAAATGAAAATATTTAAGGTTGAAATTAAGATAGAAAAGTATTTTGAAGAAAAAAAAATCAGGAAAGATGTAAATATGCCCATTTATCGGGATAAAGAATTTCCATTTAAGGATTAAAGAGAGATTTATCTCCGTTAGTTGAACGAGGATAGATTCTTCCTCTACCCCGTCTCACTATATATATATATTTACTTACTTAGTAAATAAATATATTTTAATGGAAAACTACGGTATATGAGTGGAATTTAAATTTTTAGAAATTTATTATATTTTTGCTTATAAAATATTATTGAATTTGTTTTTATGGTATTTTATTGATTATTTTTTTTTTTTTTGAAATGAACCTAATCAAAACAAAATACATAAACTTTTTTTTTTTCCGAAACTTATTCTGCAAATTTTAGCAAGGAATATTTGTACGAAATTCTTGCGAAAATAAATGTAGATTGAAATAAGAGGTAGGAATGGAGACTAAAAGAAGGTAATACGTAGTAAGAACCTGAACGGTGTTTCCCGAACGATCTGAAAGGCACCTGGGTTCGTTCATGAGTTCCCAAGCCATTATGGTTGAATCATCCTTATAAGTTACTCCAGTTATGGAGTTGATTCTTGTCAAAACGGTCTATATACAATGTGCATTGATCAAACAAAATTATCAATATTTATAAACATACATCCATAAATTCATACACAATTGTCGTTGCATAAATGAGAGATTATGGGTTGTGACGTTACCTTAACATGGTTCTTGTAGAATCCTTTCACCACAGAATTAGTGTAGAAATCATCCTCGGATGAAATGGACTGTCCCTGATTTCTTGCCCACTCCACATACTGTTTTCTCCCTCCCAAATTTGCAAAGTTGTTCACCAAACTCAAGATCAATTTAATCCCATATTTTCTTGCCTCCGCTACCACAAAATCCAACCCCTAACAAAAGCATTAGCCATTTAGCAAAAGAGGAAAAAACAAAACAAAACAAAATAAAATCAAAGCAATGAAGGGACCTGAAACATCTTCTCATTGTATTGCCCAGGAGAGATCTGCAGAGGGTTACTTCCGCCATCATTGAAGGCCATCGTTCTTCCAATGGCGAGGCTATGATTGACGGCTTGTTGATAAGCTAAGGACACTTTGGGTCTCAGTGATGGGTCCGAGGCGAAGGACATTAACCAGTAGGCATTGAACCCATTGGCGTAAAATGGGCTTCCATTCAGAATAAGCTGATGCCCTTTGGTCGTCACAAACCCATCATCTGCTTCTGCTCGAAGCACAAGCGGCAGAAGAACTACGAAAACGTAACTCCAAAGCTTCATCTCTGTAAAACCAAGTTTGTTGAACTGTAAAACGTAACTCCAAGACCAAGTGTTGCGGATTAACTTCGAACGTCGTTGTTTATTTATTAGTAATTATCATTAATATTGTGGTTGTGTTGCTGCCATAAGTGAGAGATCATGTTCGATTCCTTTATGAATTGTCGTTTATGAATATTGGGAAATAAATTAAAAACAAATATTTGTTTTATCCATTAGTAGATTAACCTATTTAATATATTGTTTTTTTTTCTTTCCATTTTGTGGCTGAGAGGGATTGTGCGAAAAGAGAATGTGGGAACCAATTAATAGAAAACATTCGAAACAAAGACCAAAGATGATTTTCTACGCAAGCCCAATTTTACATAATAAACAATATCTCAATTATAAAATTTAGAGTCCAATACGGTTGTAGTTTTTTAAGATTGATATTATCATATGTTTGATGAGGTTTTATAAGGGATAAACTACGCTCTTTTGGATCAAAAGTAGGTTTGAATGGTAGGTGGAAAGTAGGTTTAAATGGTAAATAGAGTTGAGTTAAATCCAAAAATTATTGAAAAGAGTAGTACTACGTGTTTACTCGGGAGAATATCATAAAGGAACCAACAAATGGGCCCAAGAGTTAGAGAACCAGAAAAAAGGCCCATTTAGTTTTTTTAAGTGAAGAATTTAATTTCAAACAGTGAAAGTGACATTTGAACAAATGGCTTAAAGAAAAAAGAAAAAAGATTTTAAAAGAATTGTGGTAAACCCAAAGTTATATTCTTTTAATTTTATATGTCAATAATAAATATTAGTATTGTTACTAACATCCGCCCTTCTCAAAAGTCAAAATTCTTTTTAGGACTGAATCGGCATCGCCTGGTTCGTATAGTTATATTGCTCGGACTCTTGGAACAGATTCTGCCGGTATTCCGCCATTCCCACCAAAAGCAATGGCGGCGATTTGCTCTCACTCCACCCTTCGATCAGATAAAAACTCACTCCCTACTCACTCCTACTCCACTAGGTCTCTTCGGCGATCGGTAAAGTTTTTTGGCGAGCTTTCAGGTTTCTCTGTCGCTTCTCCGCCTAGGTTTCCGGCTGGTTTTCCTTCAATTTCTTGCCAGAGCTCTGCGACTTACCCTCCTTCCGTTGTATTGCAAGGTGCATGTCTATTTTCGTTAAGGCTTCGTTGTTTGCGATTTTTTTTTTCTTTTATAAATTTCATTTCAACTAAGGTGTTTGCATTTCCTGCTTAATTGTTACGGCTGTTGTCTGTGAGTGATGATAATCTGTCACTGTTCTTATGTGGTTCGTGAAGTTTGATAAGTTATAGTTATTATTATCAGACGGTGCATACGCCTCTTTGTGCGGTTGGTATCTGTTTGAATGGTGCTCTGTATCTAATCAAACCTCTCCTAAACCAATTTATCTCTGTCGCTTGCATCGGCGATGTGCAAGATCGGCTCTCTCAGTGGCTAGAGAACAGATTATAGTGTTTTCTACTTTCAACTTTTCCTTGAGGGATTCAAGTTTTTGAAAATGCATTGCTATTCTATGAATAGACGGTTGTATGCTTTTAATTGTCTGACGTTTGTTCTCTGTTGCATTATTGTTTATCACAGTGAAAGCCGAGAAGAAGGATTTCCTTCACCTTAGTGATTTTGATAAATCTACCCTCTTGAAGATCTTAGACCGTGCGGTTGAAGTTAAGGCGCGACTAAAATCTGGTGATAGGACATTTCTCCCCTTTAAAGGGAAGACAATGGCTATGATCTTTGCAAAACCATCCATGAGAACCAGAGTCTCATTTGAGACTGGCTTCTTCTTGCTAGGGGGCCATGCCATATATTTAGGGCCCGACACTATCCAAATGGGAAAAAGAGAGGAAACTAGGGATATTGCTCGTGTTTTGTCTCGCTATAATGATGTCATCATGGCCCGAGTTTTTGGTCATCAGGTATTGTGGCCAGTTTATTACCTTCTTAATATCAAGTGACGATATCTGTGATTGGTGTACGCAGAGAAAATTTTGCTTCGACAAAATTGGTGTTTTGTCACAATTTTAATGAAGCAAAAATAAGGGTGGTTGAGTTTTAGGGCCTATTGGTTTGTTTCTAAATAATTTTACTGTTGGAACAGCTTATTGATTTCTTATGTTTCATTATTCCGTTGCTATTAGTAATCCAGATGTCTCTCTACGGGTCGTCAAACTACCATTTTGTTGCAGGATATTCTTGATTTAGCTAAATATGCCACTGTGCCTGTAATTAATGGCCTGTCGGATTACAACCATCCTTGTCAAGTAATGGCTGATGCACTCACTATGATTGAACACATTGGCAAGTTAGAAGGAACTAAGGTTTGGGTTTTATTGGTTATGTTTCGTTATAATTGTTATAAAATGTACTTCAATTATATTTTTCAAATGAATTGAACAGATGATAATGAAAATTTAGGTTGTGTATGTTGGAGATGGAAATAACATGGTGCACTCGTGGTTGTTGTTGGCATCAGTTATACCCTTCCACTTTGTTTGTGCCTGTCCTAAAGGTTTTGAGCCTGATAAGCATACGGTTGAAAAAGCCCGGCAGGCTGGAGTTAGCAAGATTGAGATTACCAATGATCCCAAGGAAGCAGTGAAAGGTGCTGACGTTGTGTACTCGGATGTCTGGGCCAGCATGGGACAGAAAGAGGAGGCTGAATATCGGCGTCAAGCGTTTCAAGGTTTCCAGGTACTTGTTGGAGTGTTTTCTTTCTAATGAATGCACTTCAAGCTAATTAATTTTGTCAATGAAGATGTTATTAAAAAAGAAATTTGTTAATAAAGATGGACATGCAATGATGGTCGGAATCGATACTAAATTATCTGGTTTTTATCTTTTATGCCATTATTTGGGGTGGAATTTGTTTTTTTTTTTTTTATATAAAAAAGATGCTTCTTGTCTGTCCTTTTTCTGTGAGTGAATACCGCTTGGCTAATTACTAGCCCACCTTTTCGCCTCTCCTATTGTATCTTTGTTAGCTATAACTTGGATTGACAGTAATACTCGTTGTGATGAAAAAGTGTAGTTGGTGCAACATGGCCTGCACAAGTTAATTTCATGAATACAATTGTGGGTCAGTGGGTCTGGAAGGGATGTACCATACCCTTTTTCTAGCCGAATGAAACGTGATTTCGTGACAAAATGCCGAAATGGTGGCTAATGAAAAAGCTACTCTGAGCTCGGCTTCAATTTTTAGGCTGAATAAAGTTTTCATATCTGAAGTTTGTTGCACAGTAGACTCACTGGCCAAATGTATGCCCTACCCAACTAAACTCAAACCTTCTCTCTAAACTCCCCATAGAGGTTTACTCTAGATTGTCCACCCTCTATGTCTGTGGACTCATGAGATTCTATGAAAAAATCTCAAATGAACTGTAACGGTAGAACAACCAAGGCTATGGTATATTGAAATTGAGATAATTTCTCGTGTCATGGTTCTTTTTTTTCCCCTCGTATATGAGGGTATACTGAAATTGTGGTGTTCTCCGTGACATTTTGGGACCATATACAGAACAATCGTTTGACACGAACTTTGGAGAGCAGCGCTTTTTGGTTCTTCCATTTTTATTTTTGATATTTCGGTTGCATGTTGTATATAACCTTAACGGAGCTGCGATGGCATTCTTTGCATTATTGTTGCAGGTTAACGAAGAGCTCATGAACTTAGCAGGTTCAAAGGCTTACTTCATGCATTGCCTACCAGCCGAAAGAGGCGTAGAGGTAACAGATGAGGTAATTGAGGCTCCCAACTCCATCGTCTTTCCACAAGCTGAGAATCGAATGCACGCACAGAATGCTATAATGCTTCATGTTCTTGGCTTGTGATTGTGTAGCACCCAATACTGGGATATGCCAATTCATGTTTCAATAATAGCATGCCAAAGTTGGCCTTTGAGTCTGTACTATTTTTTGTACTGTCTTCTATTTCTTGCACGCTACCTGGAACCGACTTTTTGCAGTACGGATTAACTTTCGGAGCTAGAATTTGTCATGAGCCTCGACCTCCTTTTGGCATTTCTTGTTTAGTTGAAACGTTAATGACCCAAGCAAATGTAACTCAAATGTTTTATATTATGTCAACATTTTGTTGTGCCAATTTGTAGTCAACTTTGATACTTTTTATATTATGTCAGGATGAACGGAACGAGTTAAGGTAATTTTTTCTTGACTGCAGCGGTCGTTCTGATAACTGTTGGGAGGTTCCGGCTGCTACCCACATGGGTCTTTTAGCCCAATTTGTAGGGCCGAGCCCATGACTGTTATAAGGCAGTCCGGACGTTGGACGGGCCCGAAGGCCCAAATTTTGGGAAAGAATAAACCGAGTAAATATTTTAATATACGTCTGAAAGAAAATTGAACTGAAAAATATATTTCATGAATTATGCTTAGATTCAGGTTATTTTATTTAAAAGTTATGTTTAAACAATGTTTGTTTTGTGGAATATATGTTAAATAATTGAAAGGGCAATCTAAGGGTGAAAGACGACAAAGGGATGAAGGAAATCTAGAATGGGTGGGCCAAGGAAACTGAAAGTAGAAATAATGGGCCCAGCCCAATTCAAATCATAGACGAAGAAAATGGAAGTTCAAGTTGAAGGTTGCAAAAGGGCAAGAGAACCTGGTTGGGCAAAAACTGTCACAAATAAAAAGTACCGCCCGACAAGATAGCGGAAAGCCTGCCCCCACGTTTCGCTACCTTCCCAACAAACTTACCTTCTTTGCTTTTTCTCGCAATTTGCATACTTTACACTGTGATATATATATATATATATATCTTACCTTCACCCATCATTTTAGCTTATGATCTATAAATTTTAATAAATAATAATTTAATTATTATAAATCATCAAAATTATTTTAAATAACATGCATATGATAATTTAATCCAAAATTTGAAACTTAAAAGTCCAATCATTAGCTTAAATTCGGGTATTAGATTATTATTATATCATAAATATCAAATAATAATTTTCCATTTAAATCACAATCTCCAAATTATGAAGACAACATGAATTTGAGGCAACCATACTAAAAAAAAAATGATGCAATCTATTTCAATTAATACATTTCTTTTAAGAAAAAAAAAAAAAAAAAAAAAAAAAAAAAAAAAAAAAAAAAAAAAAAAAAAAAAAAAAAAAAAAAAAAAAAAAAAAAAAAAAAAAGGTACAATTCTATGGTTGAATGCTATTTCCATTTTTATAGGTTTTGATCCATGACGACATTAGCTGTCTTGATTTTTCTAATTTTTCCTTTTCAAAAAATCCTTATAGCTTTATTTCATTAATCATAATATATAATCTTGATTTAATCAAATCATTTGAATTGACAATCTAAATAGACCATCATTGATTTGATTATAGTAGGGCTCATTACTTCATTCATTACGGTCAATTCATGTATGGCCTTATTTCTACCTACCTAATTAATGAAAATTTAAGCATCATCATCTAATTATTGTATTTCAATATTACATTAAAAAAAAAAAAATCTAAGCTAATTTTTTTTTATATAAAATATTTAAATAGTTATTTTTGTTAACCATTCTAAGTCTTCCAAAAAAAAAAAAAAATCAGCTCCTATCCTTTAAAGTTAAGATCTAAAGCTTTTAACATGTATAGAGGCACGTTCTCTATACAAATTTCTACCTGAAAATTTTTCGCTATTGTATTGACCCAAAACTTTAGATCTTAACTTTAAACCTTTAAAGTACGGTAGGCCATCAAGGATGAAATCAATCATCAATTAATTGTCTTCTTTAGGCTTTCATTCAGACTTTCTCTCAAAGCTTTAAAACACTTTTGATAGGGAAAAGTTTCCACGCACTTATAAACAGTGTTTCGCTCTCCTCCCAATATGCATATCAATATCAATAAAGTATGAGTTGAAAACAGAGATAAAGACGGAGAATAATAGAAAGAGGGGTGAGAAGGAGAGGGTGGCCAGAAATAGGGTTATCCAAATAGGAAGGGAAAGTGGGAGGGAAAAATAATGTCAAATCAAAAAGGAGAGGACACAAGGAAAATGGGCGCTTCCATGTTGGCTGCTCAGGCCTTCCCCTTCCCTACTTCCATGCCTTTGCTAGCTATTTTCGATGATTCGAGATATCTCAATCGTGTAATATGAATGTTATCCTCACAAACACCTCCAAGATCTGATTGCATATCTTCTTTATTTTCTTCCTTACGTTTGGAATTATGTGTTTGTCCAAACCCCCACACACCACGCAGACACCCACCAAACCCTCCACCTGAAAAATGGCTTCTTTTCCTCAGCCTTCTTTCTAAGTTGTTCACTCCTTTTTTTCGATTCTTCTCTATCCGCTATCCTCTTTCACCTCATCTTGGTACTTAGTCATACCAATTCAATTATTACTCACTCCCAATTTCTTATATATAAATTATAACTCTTAGAAGAGATACATTGAGATTACATTTAAATAAGAGCAATCCTTAGAATGAAATGCATATTTCTTTTCAGCAGCTCAATCGTAGAAACTTCATGGCCAAGCGTACTTATGAGATCCCACTTTGGTTAAACATTTCTTATAAGAGTGTGAAAATCTCTCCCTAATAAACGCGTTTTAAAATCAACATACTAACGACGATACGTAACGAACTAAAACGAATAATATTTGCTAGCGATGGTCTTGAACTATTATAAATAGTATCAGAGCCAGAAACTAAAAAAGTTGGATTGTGAGATTCTGAGTTGATTGGAAAAGAGAATGAAAAATTCATTATAGATGATTGGAATAAAATTTTTCTTAAAAAAGCATGTCAGTGATAATAAAATATAATAAAATAACTTATATTGATATATGGAAATAGTTATCACCGGAAGACATTACATAAACAATTCATTCATAATAGAGTATAATTAAGGGGAGAGGCTAAGTTGTTAGCATAACTTTAAAAAGATAATAGTTTTTCTGTAACAACAATCCACTATGAATTAACTATGTGAAGTTGATTGTTTTTTTTTGCTCTTGTGAGGAGGGATTTGACCAACTCTTTCATATCAATTAAGAGGTAATTGGGACTTAGCTGATTAAATGTATTTTAAGGCCATTCTATTATACGTCAATTTTAGCATTAACTAAAATAATATAACTTTTAAAAAATTACGAACGAAATTGGAAAAAGAAAAAAAGAGACCCAAATCTATCGGTAAAAAAAAAACAACTTTTAAATATTAAATCTTACAGAAATTTTAAAAAAAAAAATCAACAGAGGGGTTGAGGAGCTTGGGGATTCTGATAAAATCTAGCTGGCGTGCACTGGACGAGCCAGCTCAATCCCAGTGCGATAACAAATGAACATCTGTCAACCACATCATCATTATTAATAATAACGAGAAATAAAATAACAATAATATTAGTACTGTAATCTGACGTGGTTTTCCACATGTATGGTGGTTGAAACCTAGGCAGTCGCCTGCACGTGCAATTGTGACTCCCTCTGCCACACTTTACTCACTTTGTCTCTTTTCTCCCTTACCAATTCACAACTCAACTCTCCTTCATCTTTCCTATTTTTACCTTATTTTTAGATTTTTAATTTTGAAAATATATTTATTTTGCTACTATTTTTTTTTTCAAATATATAATTCAAGAATAGAAAATCACTTAAAATACTATTCTTTTCTATCTTTAGTAATTAGAGAACTCCAAAAACACTGAATTTATTTGGATTTGATTGAATTTGAATAAAAAATTATGAATTTATTGTTAACTTAAAAAAAAATATATAGTTTCGTTTACCATACAATTATATATATATATATATATATTATATCATGCCTTTAACAGTTAAGTATTTTTTAAAGTTTAATACTTTTCATTATGCTTATAAAAGCAACATGCCACAGAGATGCATTTTTTTTTATTCTTTTAAAAAAGTGGGAAGCTATTTGTTAGTTAATCTTTAAAAAATAATTTGAATTTTTATCAACCAAAACAATATATTAACACTCAATTGCAATATTAAAAAAAATCAATTAAAGTTACCGTCTCTTTGAGATACAATAAAAGAAAAATGTCCCCATAATAAACACAATTATTTAAATATCAATAAATAATTTATTGGGCACGTTTTCTTTACGTATATTAAGAATCCTAACGTGAGATGTAGCACAACCACTTAAAGAAGAATGCTATTTAAGATTATTATAATACATACGAACGAGTGTGACACTAATTATTGAACTATGGCAATCATAAAATATATTTTACAATAAAGTGGGAGGATATAATTTGTTACATAAGAATAATAAAATAAGGTGATATTGGGACACGTGTGAAGTAGATGTTGGATGTGGAGTACATAAGTCCACCCGCACGTGGTCCAACAATGGCACCATCCACGGAGATGCAAAAAAAGAGAAGCTGAAATAATGAGAGCCTCGATTCCATTCGTTACCTACCCCTAATCTATATATCTCTCCCCCACTTTTAAAGTGAGATTATACCAATTTAAATTATAAACATTATTAACATTAAAAATATATAAAATTAAAAAAAAATCAATTGAAAACTTTAATTTTTGTATTTAGGAGAGACCTGAGTTTTAATAAATATTAAAGTAAATTAAAATTTTAAAAGATTATTAGATACGGAGGTGAGAGTGTAGGCAAAAGCTGCTCAATAAATACTCTACAAACGTGTCCCGCGGAGCTTCGACATCCTTCCCTTTAGCCAGAATTGCACATTTCCCACCATTTTTAATTATAGAAATCGTTCCAAAATCTCGTTTTCGATCCTTCCCCGAAAAAAGGGAATTAAAATCAGATAAAATTGGTAGTATAAAGTTTTGTTAGATTGTTAAATTTCAAAATATTAAACAAATAAAAAAAAAAATCTAATTTTGATGATTTCAAAAATATGTTTGCGGATAAATTATTATAATAATGCGACTTCACATGTGGACGGACCATTGCTCTATGCAATTACCCAAGAAAGTGCATCGCACTTCCTACAGAGAGACTACCACAACCAAACATGGACCTTATCACAACTGGCCAATAAAAAGCATCCACGTCAGCAACTAACATACGGAACACGGACTGTCATTGAGTCAGTGGATGAGGTTGAGAAACGGGTTGTTAGAAAAACGTTTATTAAGATGACGATGAAGAATTGAGATTCTCAGGGATGAAAATCGAAGAGCCGTGTATGTGGCTCTGGCTCTGGCTCTGGCTCTCGCCGTGACGGAGGTTGAGGCGGCGACAGTAGCGGCGGTGGATACCGGTGATGATGGAGGAGACGACCTACTGTTGTGGAATAACAGAGTCTTAAAGAATTTTTCTAACTTTTTATCTTTTAGCCTCTCTCTCTCTCTCTCTCTCTCTCTCTCTCTCTCTTCCTTCAAAGGACGTTTGAAACTTCCGAGACATTGCTGCCTTTTCGATTTAAAAGGGCAATTCAAGGTGGAAGGAAAAGGCTAGTTGCTATAATTTCTTTAATTCGATCCATCAAAATCCTCCGAGTATTGCAGATTCTCTTGTATATTTGTTTCTCTCGTGGTTTTCTCCACTGCTGTTCTCATTTTTGCGGTATGTGCCTCCTCCTTGTCTTCATCTGTTTGTCTTTTTGTTTCTTCATTGAATGATTGTTCGGTTTCGTCTAATGCACCGGGAATGTGAGGAACGCGATTGGAATTTTCAGTTTCTACTTTCGCATCGTTTGATGAGTATTTCGGTTTGTTTTACGTGTTGAATCTGTTATTTCAATGAACCGACTCATTTAGGATTGATGAATTGAATGTATCGTGCGTGTTTGTTGCTATTTTCCGTTGAGTTTGTTGAATTGGAGTTTTTAATTTGTGTTTAGTGAATTGAATTCTGCTATCACGATGCCTCTGAGAGGCATAGTTCGTGAGCAGAGTGAAATACGAGAAGGCAGTGAGAATTCTTCGAGAAAAGTGAGGGAGGGAGTTCAAATGCGTCATCTCGGGAAGTCGCATATTGTCCCGGAGCAGCCTTCTTCTTCATCTTTTCCGGTTCCGATCGAACAGAGCCGTTGGGCGAGTTTAACTCCGGAGCTTCTTTTAGACATAATTCAACGAGTGGAAGCGAGTGAAACCTCTTGGCCTTCCCGCCGGGATGTTGTTGCCTGTGCTTCAGTTTGCAGGTCATGGCGGATGATTACAAAGGAAGTCGTAAGGACTCCCGAACAGTGTGGGTGGATCACTTTCCCAATTTCTCTGAAGCAGGTATTTTCAATTCATCCTCTGCTATTTTCAAGCCAGTTTTTGAGTTCCTTATCGACCGAGGCTTTAAGTTCTAGTCTCTTCTTCTTCTTTGAATTTGACTTAATCTATTAGCCGGGACCAAGAGACACTCCGATCCAGTGCTTCATCAAGAGAGAAAGAGCAACGTCAACGTTTCGACTTTATCTCGGGCTAAGCCCTGGTATCTCTCTTTTTTCTTCTTCTATCAATTATGTTGCCTCTCTATGATTGTCCTTTTCAACTAAGATTCTGGATTACGGGTCCTTTTGGTGAAATTCATCTATGGTACAGAATAAAGCTATCTTTCTTTTTCATTGTGAAGCATCGTATCAAAGCGTGTGAAGTTTTAAAATATGCAACAACTTCTCCCTTTTTCTCAATAAAGTGAAAAATGTGAAGAAAGTTCTGTAGCTGAAATCAGTTCTTCATATAATGGTTCAAAGAGACCATTGTTTGTTATCATAAGGAGTCTTTGATTCATTATTTTACACATCTAATCAGATCTTTTTTGTTTCATTTACAGCCCTGTCGGGTAATCTAAGTAAACTTTTGCTTACTGCAAAAAGATTTCGACGAGCCATGAGTACAGAGTTCATTGTATCATTAGTTCCAGACGACTTCTCTCGAGCAAGCAACAATTACATTGGAAAGTTAAGGTAAGCAACATGTACATTTGAGGGGGTTGCTTTGTTTTTCATAAATGAACTGAGAGTTGATGATGGAATAGGTCAAATTTTCTGGGGACCAAGTTTTCAATTTATGACAGTCAGCCTCCACATGACCCAAAACTGCGAACCAGTAGATCAAAGCGAAGAATCCATTTGAAACAGGTTTCTCCAAGTAAAACTCCGACGAACTATACAGTCGCTGCCGTAGCTTACGAGCTGAACGTCCTCCGCACGAGAGGCCCGAGACGAATGAGGTGCACCATGCATTCAATACCTGTTGCAGCCGTGGAGGAGGGTGGCACTGCCCCAACTCCCACGGAGTTTAAGGACTGTATCAATGAGCATCATTCATCGACATCGATTTGCGAAGGTAAGAAGCCGATAATCGAGTCTCCGAAGCCTCAAGAATCAATGGCTCCATTGGTATTGAAGAACAAAGCTCCGAGATGGCACGAACAGCTTCAGTGCTGGTGCCTCAATTTCAAAGGGCGCGTCACGGTAGCCTCAGTGAAAAACTTTCAGCTGGTTGCTGCTGTGGAGACAAGTGAAAATGTGTCTGCAGCTGAACAAGAGCGAGTGATTTTGCAGTTTGGTAAGATTGGGAAGGATATTTTTACGATGGATTATCGGTATCCTCTCTCAGCTTTCCAAGCCTTTGCAATTTGCCTTAGTAGCTTTGACACCAAGCCGGCCTGTGAATGAACCATTGCTCAACTTGCTCCAATATTTTCCAGCTGTATATATTATTTTGGAAAGAAGCTTCGTTTAGACATTGTATTCAATAATCAGGCAACAATCTGTGATGAAATTGTGGGTAGTAAATTATGCTCCAAAGTCTTTATTATCCAGTCCGCCGAAGACACCAGGTTTCAAGCAACACTTCAAATACCCCAATTTTCAAGTTCATATTTTTTACTGTCTAATATTTTTCCTTGGATCTCAGATTAAGTTCTAAAATTTCAGGTGGATCTCAGATTAATTTTTAGAACGGTTAAATATTTTAATTTATAATCTAAATTTTGTATTAAGAATTATTTTATTTAAGTATTAAAATTTTATAGATAATTTAACTAAAACTTGACATTTATCCTTCAAATACTTCATACTAACAAATGGTATCAAAGCGATGACATCGAGCGGTGTGCCAGCAAAGATGCTGGGTCTAGAGATGGAGTGTGAAATCCCACATCTTTGTTAGAGCATCTCAAGAGAGACGAATGATGAGATTCCACATCTGTTTGAGTGTCCCCAAGAGAGATGAATTGTGAGACTCACCAGCGATTGGAGAGGAAATCCTTAGTGGACGCATTCTAAAACCCTGAGGTGAACTCTCAAAGGGAAAGCCTAAAGAAAATAATATCTACTAGCGTTAATGGGTTCTAAAATCTTAAGGGAAAGCCTGAAGGGAAAGTCCAAAAAGTAAAATATCTACTAGCACAAATGCATTCTAAAACCTCGAGAGGAACCCATGAAGAGAAAGTTCAAAGAATACTATATTTAATGGCGCGAAAGCTAAAGAGTAAAATACCTACCTGCGCTAAGCTTGAGTGCCCGTCTGTACATTTGACTACAAGTTGTACAAATAAAATATGAACAAAGATCCAGAATTTTTGTGAAGAGTAGAATGTATTTAGCATCATAAATTGCCTTAAAAGGATGAGCCTACTCTTTTGCAATGGCGTAGGGTCCTATGGCATCAAGAAACGAACCAGACCTACCGTGGAGGCCAACGAGCTTTATTCCCGTTGGGAACGAAAATTTGGTTCCATCTTCAACACCAAACGGCCCATGACTTTTTTTATTTGTTTCCAATGTCAGTGATCGGATAACAATGAGTGCAATACTCCATTTACTTAAGTCACTATAATAGCCACGAATTGAGACGAGATGTTCATCTTGATCAAAAACAACCTGCAATTACACATCACTTAGTTGCAACAGGATTTAATCTTTGAAGAATTGGAAGAACATTGATAAAAGAAGACAGACCCATAATTTCCTACTAGTTACAAAGAATCCCAATCTGATTGAGGCAAACAAATTTAACAACAGGAGATTCATAAGAAGTTTTGAGGGTAACCTCAGATCTTGAACCGCCATCTGAGCCGTGCATTGTCGACCATGTCAACTTCCCATCCTTCTCATACTGAATTTGAATGGAGTAGATCAATTCTTGATGATTAATAACGAATGCTCTGATCTTTGTGAAAACTTTTTCGTTCCAAGGACTTCCACCTCCACCTCCATACGGCCCAATCGTTCTTTGAATGCGCCCGCTATCAAATGACCAAATAATTTTCAGTTTCACAGAATCTAAGTTCAAAAACACTTGGAGTCGTAACATAATTTATACATTCTAACTAACTCAGAAGTAGACAAGCCTATTAAAAATCATGGACCTCCACACTAGTATAATATTGTCCACTTTGAATATAAACTCTCATGGCTTTACTTTTGGTTTCTCCAAAAGGCCTCATACCAATGGAAATGTATTCCTTAATCAGCCCAATGTGATGGAGATCCTCAGCCTATGTGAGACTCCCTCCCAACAATTCTCAACAATCCTCCCCTCAAACAAAGTATACCATAGAGCCTCCCCTGAGGCCTATGTAGCCCTCAAACAGCCTCCCCTTAATGGAGACTCGACTCCTTCCCTGAATCCCTCAAACAAAGTACACCCTTTGTTTGATCCTTGAGTCACTTTTGACTACACCTTCGAGACTCACAACTTCTTTATTTGACATTTGAGAATTCTATTGACATGGTTAAGTTAAGGACATGACTTTTATACTATGTTAGAAATCACGAGTCTCCACACTGGTATGATATTGTCTACTTTGAGTATAGGCTCTCATAGCTTTGTTTTTTGTTTTCCCAAAAGGCTTCATACCGAGATGTATTATTTACTTATAAACCTATGATCAACTCCTTAATTAGCCAACGAGGGACTCCCTCCCAACGATCCACAAAAAGCCCACAAAGCCAAGTATGGTTCACTGGATAAAAGCAGCTGGTAATACATTTATAAACCCTCTCTTTGTCATAGAATAAAGAACTTGAAGCAAACTAACAAACCAAGCACAAGACAGATCACAAAAGAGAGTTAAAAGTGCATCATTGGGCATACTTACTTTTGAATAGTGTGTTGGTGGAGTCCAATTCCACGAGAGGAAAAAGAACGGTTGGTGAAAGCCAGGCTCCCCTGCACTACCTGCCTGTGGTAACACAGCCCAATGGCGTGCACCTTGAACTTGCAATTGGAAATGCATTCATAGGCCAACTCCTCAGTACATGATTCACCACAAGCCACACAATCCTCTTCCTTCCCTTTCATCCCAAGTTTCAGCGTGTGCTTATGAGCTTCATGCTTCTTTAACTTCACGTAAGGAAACATGCCAACAGCACAGTCCAAATGTGCAGCAAAACTGCACTTTTGGCAGCTATAGAACCACGGCCCCGGCTCTCTTTCTTCCTCACAGATATCACAGCAATACTCTTCTTCTTCATCCTCAACAAATGTCAGGTCTAAAGGATGTGGATCAAATCTGTATCTTACTCCAATTGGCAGTGTCGCACATCCTGCATCCAAATGGAAGTTGCAGTCGACACATCGAAACGCCATCTTGTCCTTCACCCCCTCCTTACAACCTTCACATATGTGGTCATCGTTTGAGCGGTCAAGAGATAAGGCGTGTTGGTGACCAGGGTGTTCAAATGGGATCTTGATCGAGGCGCATCGGGTGTCAAATGTGGAGAGACATGTTTTGCAGTGGTAGGCAAAGCCATTGAAATGTTTGAGACAAGCTTTGCATTGGAAGACGAAATTTGGGATTGAGATGAGATTCAGCCTATGTTGATGGAGGAAGTTCCTTTTCTTTCTAGGCAATTCAAGACATTCTTTGTGGGCAAAGAAACCGCACTCCTCGCAGCCGTAAGATGGACCTGAAAGGCGCTTCATACACCCATCACAAACTCTGTCCTGCCTGAGTTGCTCCTCAGTGACAAAGGCTAAACGATGATGATGAATGAAATGTTGAATCTCAGAGCCGGAAACCTCAATCTTGGCGTTTTCATCATCGGAAGAATCAAGATCATCCACAGTGAAGTTAGAGTCAACGCGTTGCTTTCGAGCACAATCCAAATGGACAAAGTACTTGCATTTGTAGCAACCATATGCAGCATATTCGGTCTTTATTTCTTCCCCACAGATCTTACAATCCATCTTGTTGCCTACAAAATCAATCCCATCACGAAAATAGGTGAGGCTAAGATCATGAAGGCGGTGTCCAAATGTCCCCAAAGTTAATGGCAATTCAGCACATTCTTTATGAACCGAAAGATGGCAAATGGTGCAATACCATGAGAATCCATTTCCTTTCTCACCACATGCTCGACAAACGAACTGTATCTGATTCCTAAATTTGGTGAAGATGTGTTTATGATTGAAAGATTGTAAGCAAGCGACATGAAGGTTGAATTCGCATGGGGAACAGTTATAGATGAACTCTCCGCAGTCATTTTTGCAACTGTTACAGATGGTTTGGGTATGGGTAACATCGGCAAGAAGAAATAAAGGGTGCTCGTGAAAATCAGAGTTTAGCATCTCGCGCGGCAGCTCGGCACATTGTTGATGAAAATGGGCGTCACAAATAGAGCAAAAGTAATAAGAAGAACCTGATTTTATAAGCAATCCACAGACAACACAAACAATTTCATTGGTTGCTATGTTTTGTTCTCGCTGAAGGGTTAACGTATGGGGATGGCTGAAATGTCGAAACTCGTTATCGGACGTCTGCCGTACACCGCTGGCTTTGGTGTCGGCGATGGCGCATTTGACGTCAATCTGAAAACCGCAGCTGCGACACAGATAAACATCGCCCGACGGCATTTGCCAACAGGCATTACAGATGTGGTTGTTGGTGGCTCGAGAAAGAGGATGTTGGGGGTGGAAGTGGTTGTGGATTTGCGGAGGAAGGTCGATGCAAGATTGATGGATATGGAAGTTACAGACTGATTCGGAGCAGCTGAACGCCGGCGGATGCAATATTCGACGGCATCTGGTGCAGAAAATCACTTCATCATTCTTCCCCTCTTCGATGAAGAACAAAGGGTGCGGATGGGGATTGTTCAGAAGGTCAAAATCCATAGCGATCTCCTCCTTTTTCTTCCACTGTACATAAACTAAACAAGAGCAAGATCAAAGCTAGTAATCAGAGCTTCCCGACATTAAACAAATTAGTTGCAGAATCGATTGAGATACGGAAGAATTGATGGAAAATTGGGAGACTGAGGATGAAGACAAGAGTGAGATCGGGAGCGAAAGTACGGAGATGTGCGCATCCTTTGCCATAAGAATCTTGATGGTTTTGGGTTAGGAATGTGATGCTGATAATCAGAGTGAAGAAATGTGAAGAATGAGTAATCACGGTGGTAATTTCAAATTTTAAAGGAAGAAAAAGATTGATGAACAATGTTTTAAGTGGATGGAATGTGGAAGAGTTCGGTTTGAACCTGATCAAGTTTTCGTATGCTTTATCGATTGGGATTAGTGTGCTTCGGGACTTAAAAATATAATTTCATGAATCTCAGTGGAGTCATTAATTGAAGAATATACAATCAAATAAACTAAATTAGGATTCACCTATACCTCATTGTTTATTTACTCGGAAGGTTCGTAGTTGTGGGATCTCACATCGGTTGGGGAAGGGATGAAGCATTCCTTGTAAGCGTATGGAAACTTCCCCTTGTAGACGCGTTCTAAAACCGTGAATCTGATGAAGATACGTAACGGGTCAAAACAAACAATATTTACTAGGGATGGGCTAAACGATTTGCCAGTAAGGACGCCAGTACCCGACCCAAAGGAATGAATTTTGAGATCCCATTCCTTGTACATGTGGAAACCTCTTCTAAAGGTGACGACGATATATAATGGGCTAAATTGTGAAACAGTTTTTCATATCATCTTTTAAAATACTGTCATCTCAAGTGTCTTTCCATATCAACCTTAATTTCTAGTAAATTTCTTCTCACAACCTCCTCACTAGAGATCAGAGATGATTTTGAGGCCCTACGCAATGAACTTTCAACATTAGTTTTATTTCTTATACAAGGATTTAAGGTTTAGCCACCATTGTAGACTTCGTCTTGGAATCTACATCGGCTAGATGCTCAGTCAGATTGATTACATTGGCCACTTCTTCTACAATGAGTTGGAAAGAAAATGATCGCTCTTCAATCAAATTGTTCTCATCATCAACTAGATCATCCTTATAACTCTCGTCCAGACCAAAGTAGTTTTATCACGTCCATATGTGTGTGCCAATATTAGATAAAATAAATTACCAATTAACAACAAAAAGGAAGTGCAGTGGTTTCAATCAATTGTTGGATGAACAAATAATTTCTTATATAACAAGAAAAGTATAATATATACTTTTGAGAAGAAATCGTTGGCACAGTCAACAATTTTACACGTAAAAAAAAAAACAAATTTAAAAAATATATATATTTAAATATTTCTTTTATGAATAATGGATAATTAATGTTCCACCAACGTAAATACAATTTATATTAATTTAACTAAAACAAAGTACCTGCTATCGATTAACAAATCATAAGCTTAAATCTTCAGACATGTATCGTGTTAGAACTAAAAATAATAATATACACTCAAACGACTTCAAAATTTTGATATTATCGAACATTTTGTAAAGAAATAAGAAAAAGAAGAAGTTATTTTGAAATATAAACATATAATAATATATGTTTGTTAAATAAAGAAGTCAATAAGAAAAAAATAGAATACTTTCAAACCAAACAAAAATACATACAAAATTCGGTGTTAATTAGGTACATAATCGTGTGGAAACATACAAATACAACATCATGGTGAACACAGAAGTAGAAAGAGCGTAGGACTGACTAGTAGTCTTGAATTGAAAGGGCGAGAAGGCCAATGGCATCGAGATACAAACCAGATCTGCCATGAACGCCGACGATCTTTACCCCAACAGTTGGGAATGAAAACTTGGTTCCATTTTCAACCCCAAATGGCCCATAAGTTCTTTTGTTGGTTTCCAGAGTCAGGGATCGAATCACGGTGGCATCCAATCCCCAGTACTGTAGATCGTCATAGTACCCATGGATTGTCACAAGCTCCTCATCTGGAAAATCTAGAACAACCTGCACTTCCATTTCCATCACAATATTTCTTCTATTTTAGAAACAGCAAGCCAGTAATTAAGAACAAACAAGCCAGTAATTAGAACAAACAAGCCAGTAATTATGAACAATCAAGCAAGTAATTGTGAACAAACAAACCAGTAATTATGAACAAACAAGAGTCAACAGGAAAAACACACAAGAACTTGCGAGGGATTTGGGCTAACCTCTGACTCGGAACCTCCATCTCCACCATGCTTCTCGGACCAAACCAACTCCCCATTCTCGTCTTCAAATTCCATTTGAATGGAGTCGATCCACTGTCCATGACTAATAACCAATTGCCTGATTCTCCTAAAACCCACCTCCCAAGCTTCTCCACCTTCACCTCCACATTCTCCTAGGCTAAATTTCTCAGCCCCCAGCCCTTTTCTGCATGACACAGACAATTACATATCATAACTCCTCAATGGTATCATCAAAATATAGCTTAAGCTAAGCTAAGCTAAGCGCACATTTGGGTTTGAGTTGTATGTACGGACACCCCAATTGCATCCAGACACGAGCTTGATCTTCCATGAATGCCAACAATCTTTAACCCTGTAAATGGGAATGAAAATTTGGTTCCATCTTCAATCCCAAATGGCCCGTAAGTTCTTTTATTGGTTTTCAGAGTCAATGATCGAATCACAGTGGCAGCAATTCCCCACTTATGCAAGTCACTGTAGTAGCCATTAACCAAAACAAGATGCTCATCCAATTCCAGAACAACCTGTTTTCCATTCCAGTTATTAACATTTTGTTTGTAAACATCCACACACGAAGCTATAGCTAGTAAGAAAAACTTGATGAAAGTTTTGGGCTAACCTCTGATCGGAAACCTCCATCCCCACCATGCTTCTTGGACCACATTAACTTTTGATTCTCATCCTCATATTCCATTTGAATGGAGTCGATCCAAAGTCCATGATAAATTACCAGCCGTCTGATTGTTTGAAAAGTCTCCTCCCAAGGATCTCCACCTTTGCCTCCATATTGTCCCAAGTTCAAGTGCTTCGGCTGAGACTCAGGCTGGAGCCCAATTCTACATGTTATGTTAAGATATATTTTAATAATACATTGTATTATTGTTTCATTTAATTATTATATCAAGCAAAATTGTTATGCCCTTCCGATCATATCAAGATATGACAAACATACTTTTGAATTGTTTGGACATGAACTCCAATTGCATTGAGGTACCGACCAGATTTTCCATGGAACCCAACAATCTTCGATCCAGTTACTGGAAATGAAAATTTCTTCCCTTCATCAACTCCAAAGGGTCCATAACTTCTAATGTTGGTTTCCAAAGTCAATGATCGAATCACAGTGACGTCGTATCCCCAATTAAGTATGCAGCCATAGTATCCGTAAATTGAAATTAAGTACTCATCCGGATAATCTATAACAACCTACAATCCATTGGTTCAAAGAAGATTTGGAGTTTAAACTGATTCAGGTATGGTAATTTAATAATCTAGAGCTTTGCTCTGACTGACCTCCCATTTGGAACCTTCGTCTTCACCATGTTTGGGCGACCAAAATGATTCTCCATTCTGATCATACTCAATCTGAATTGAACAGATCCACTCTCTCTCATAAACTACTATCCGTCTGATCGTGGAATAAACTCCGTCGTCCCAGGTGTTAGACGCCGCCGGATTCCAGGAACCTTCGTCTTCCTGCAGTAAGAAAAAGTGGAATCAGAAATTGACTGCAGCTTCATCATCACCTTCCAAATGAAATTTATACATACCATAAGGCTCTGTAGAATTGAGATAGCAAAGGGCTAAGATCTTGAACGAAAAAGAAGAACATTGTGGATATCAATGGGGATAGTATGTAAAATGGCATCTGCCGGCGAATATATGATATAATATTAAGGAGCTGGAAAGGTAGACAAATGAGACTTGTTCCGGGATTGAGGCCTCTGTTCCTATTATATAAGAGTTGACCGGCAAGACACCAAATAAAAAACTCACAGTTCGCCACAGGATTTTTTTTTTTTTTTTTTTTTTTTTTTTTTTTTTTTTTTTTTTTTTTTTTTTTTTTTTTTTTTTTTTTTTTTTTTTTTTTTTTTTTTTTTTTTTTTTTTTTTTTTTTTTTTTTTTTTTTTTTTTTTTTTTTTTTTTTTTTTTTTTTTTTTTTTTTTTTTTTTTTTTTTTTTTAAGCCCCATGGCAGCTAGAGTCAAATGGACTTGTAAATTACAAAATGTGCATTTAGTCTGTGGCACCTAGGTGCATGTAACGACCTGATTTTCGAGGGACTCGCGTCGGACCGTTATTCAGTGACGTGAAAAAGTATAATTAAATGCTAAATATTTAAAACCTTTAAAACACATGCATGCAATTTGAAATTTAATTAAAATATAGTAATGAAAGTTCTTCTTGTACAGAGAGAGACGAGAAAGAGATCACTAAAATACATCAGTACGATATCAAACGATTTAAAATACATGAAATGCAGGATTTAAAGGCAAAGCACAAAGAAGACTATAGACTCAAATGTGATGGGATTCTCTATAGCCAACAGCCCACGTGTGCCTTCTATCTCTTGGTTCATGGTCCTAGGACCTCCAGCCCTCGGAATACTCTAATTGTTTCTACTAGTCTCTCTTCTTAATCATCAAATCTCAGGGACCTCGAGGCGTGACCTCGATACTCAAGATTCATGCATTTCAGGAATCGACCAACTCTCAAGTGTACTACTGTAGACCCCTGTCACTCACGACAAGTTCACTTAAAAGAAACTAAATGGCAAGCTTCCTGTAAGTCCCTACAAAGTACCATCAACAATAAAATGACCAATTCTATAGTTACGTGAACCCCTGACAATCGAGTCAAGTTCACGATTAGAGGTTAGTTGGCGAACCCCTAATCGTCCCCGGATAACCATAACTCATATGCATGAACAAAAAATCTCGACCAATTCTAATGTACCAATGTGGACCCCTGTCACTCGTGAAAGGTTCACTAATAGGAAATTAAATGGCAAACTTACCACAAGTCCCCACAAGGTACCCTCAAGAATAAAATGGCCAGTTCTATAGTTACGCGGACCCCTAACAATCAAGTCAGATTTACGATTAGAGATTAGTTGGCGAACCCTTAATCGTCCCCGGATAACCGCTAACTCATAGGCATGAGCAATATCTCTTGACCAACTCTAATGTACCAACGTGGACCCCTGTCACTCGTGATAGGTTCATTAATAGGAAATTAAATGACAAACTTCCTGTAAGTCCCCACAAGGTACCATCAACAATAAAATGACCAGTTCTATGGTTACGCAAACCCCTGACAATCGAGTCAGGTTTACGGTTAGGGGTTAGTTGGCGAACCCCTGATCGTACCCGGATAACCGCTAATACTGTAACATGCGTGACGGAGGCATAATTTAATGATCTAATCATGGAAAGCTAGTCATGAATGTCAGTTCGTAAGGTATCTGCATACGCGTTTCAGTAAAGTTTCAGCAAACATACATAATCAGATTCAACATGTCTCATCTCAACTCATTCTATGCTCAAACTCCTAAAACATACTTCTTTTACCATAATTTCATGCATACTATGAGCTAGCTAAATCCAAAGGTTACGAGGTGCCATTTCCATCTACTTGAAAATCGTAACACTTTGTTCGGATTTGCATCTCCAGAGGGTTCCAAAATTCGCCAACTCCTCGGATAATTCCTAAGTTGGTGCAAAAGGAGGAATACCATGAAAATGGTGCCAAGATTGGAGTTAAAGCAGGTGAATTAAATCGAATGGGCCAAACCGACCCAATTAAGTCGGGTCGGGGCGGCTGGACCTCTGCTTGGGTCGGGCCGACTGCTCCCCGGTTCGCACGCCCATGGTGGGCAAGGCGGGACGCACGCGCCTGCATTGGCCGCATGCAGGCCCGCGCTGGGCCACGCGAGGCGGAGGCCCGCGCAAAACGCGGAACCCTCGTTTTCCCCCAACCCCTCCTGTTTCTTTCACTCACCTCTACATGCTCGTCGTCGGCTCGCCCTCTGATTCGTTTCCGACACCCACAATCCTCCTCAAATCTCGCAGATCGTCCTCCTGCAAACACTAGCAACTTGGCGTTCTCCCTTCGTTCGACCTTCCTCTTCAGTTTGTATCCATCCGAAGTCGACTGCCGAACACCCGTGGATCTAGAGCTTAAGTTTCTCCGGCGAGCGTGGGATTCAGTCTCCTACCTCCGGTGCCTTCTCCTTTCGACAAGTTTTTGTCCTTCCTTCCTCAAACGGCAAGCCACCTTAAGCCCACTCTCACCCCTTCCTTCCTCAAACGACAAGTTTTTGAGGGATGGGATGTTAGGAGTGACTGAACTGACTGCGCCTGTCATTTCCTTCCTTTCTCTCTCTCTTTTTTTTTGTTTATTTTATTTATTTATTTAGTTATACCTCCCTTGGACTGCTGGGTATTACAGTGCATTAATCTCCATTTAGAGCGAGAATGGAGAGGGATTAAAGGATTATATTTTCCTTCCTTCTCAACCGCACCCATTATATATAAATGCATAAAATTATTATAACATTAAATATATTATACTTATATATATGTATCTTATTTCGGTTTGTTTGAGAATATATATTAAAGATTTTTTCTATATTCCATGTAAAAATAAATGAAGAATTTTAAAATGAGGATTAAAAGAGGTGGTCGGAACGCATCTCTATGTACAATCTAGACTTTAACTATGAAATAATTAGTTGGCTTCACACTTTTGCAAATACAATTTTTTTTTTACATGAATTTATGTTAATTATTTAACGAAAAGACATAATACGATACAATGTGAAGCTAGAAGTACCGCACGTAGGCCAACGGCCTGAGAAATTGCTCGAGGAGGCTCTGGTTATGACCTACTCTTGAATCGACACTACGTAGAGTCCAATTGCATCAAGATACCAACCAGATCTGCCGTGAAAGCCCACGACCTTCGACCCAACAGTTGGATATGAAAATTTGGAACCATCTTCAACTCCAAATGGCCCATAGGTCTTCTTATTGGTTTCCAGAGTTAAGGATCGAATCACAGTGATTCCAAGTTTCCAACTAAGAAGATCACTGTAGTAGCCATGAATGGATACAAGATGCTCCCCTGGAAATCCCAAAACAACCTGCAATTCCATTTGAACACTATGACTTCACTGAAAGTTTCGGTAAGGATTAGCAAATTATGGAGAGAGGAATGAATAGAAAGGAGGATTTGGGTTAACCTCTGATGGGGATCCTCCATCTCCACCATGCTTCCTAGACCACACTATGTTTCCATTATCATCTTCATATTCAAACTGAATGGAGTCAATCCACAATCCATGACGAACCACAAGCCGTCTCATTGACCGAAACATATCTTCCCAACCATCCCCACCTTCACCACCATATTGTCTCAGCTTAGAGGGCACCTCTTGAATTTCGGGTGCTGGTGAAGCTGCTGCAGGCTCCATCTCAGCCTTCGTTCTGCATAGGACAATAACTTCTTACCATCACACACTAATTTTACTTTGTTGACTACAATATATTTAATATTAAAAAATTTCAACAGGAGGATTGTTGGAAGAGGAGTCCGAAGTCACGAGAGTTTATGCTCAAAGTGGATAATATCATACCATTATGGAGGTCGTAATTTCTAACATAATTAACTTCGATAATGAACCATAATTCAAATATACTTCTAAACTAATTTGTCATATTTGAAAAGAATGAGATTAGAAGGTAGAAAAGAAACAAATCATGAGATCCATTTGAAAAACCACACCCTGCATTATTTTAAGTTTTCTAACTGTATATGATCCCACGTGACCATGTCTGAGAATTTAATTCATTAAAGATCTTATCGTGTTGGAGAGTACTCGCATTATCTATATATATGTGTGGGTGAAAAACGACAAACGACCCATAAATTCTTCTATTAGTTTGAAAAACGACACACACAACAACAGGATGAAATGATAACGAGCAAAAAAGTAAGCATATTATGCATGTTTATATCATAGAAATAGAAGACGATATTCAGAAAATGAAAAGAATAAAGATGGGCTGCCTACTTTTGAGTTGTTCCTAAGTAGAGTCCGATCGCATCAAGGTACCAACCAGATCTGCCATTGACACCAACGATATTTGTCCCCATAATTGGAAATGAAAATCTGGTTCCATCTTCAGCTCCAAACGGCCCATAAGTTCTTCGATTAGTTGCAAATGTCAGCGATCGAATCACAGTGGCAGGATCTCCCATAGCACGTATGTGGCTGTAGTAGCCATGAATAGAAACAAAATGCTCATCTGGAGATTCTAGCACCACCTAGAAACAAATGCCCAAGTTAGGAATTTCAACAAACAGGTTATGGTCAGAGTAATTCATCAGAGGATTTTGGGGTATAACCTCTGATTTGGAACTTCCATCTCTGTCACCATGCTTCTTGGACCATACCAACTTTCCATTCTTATCCTCATACTCAAATTGAATGGAGTGGATCCATTGTTCATGATTAACTACAAACCGTAGGATCGACCGAAAAACGTACTCCCATGGATGCCCACCTTTGCCTCCAAAAGGTCCCAGGCTGTAGTTCTTGAGTTGGATTCTGCATAGCAGAATCAAAATGGAATTAATTCATTCCTGTTCATATGTTTGCAGCATACAAGTAGACGATCGTATGTACGACCTTGGAATTGGCTGTATGTAGAGTCCAATTGCATCGAGGAACCAACCACATCTGCCATGTAAACCAACAATCTTGGCCCCCATAATTGGGAATGAAAATTTGGTTCCCTCTTCCATACCAAATGGTCCATAAGTTTTTCTATTTGTTTGGAGAATCAAGGAACGAATCACATCTGCTGCAATTCTATAATGGCCTATGTTGCCGAAGTAACCACTAATTGAAATTAGATACTCATATGGGTAATCTAACATAACCTGCAATCATCAACGGTTCGAGAAAAATCAATAGAATGAAACAATTATTCAGGCAATGACGATTCAAACTAGGGCTTGGGAGTACCTCAGAAAGGGAACCTTCGTTCCCGCCATGCTTGGAACCCCAAATTGAATGGCCATTCTTATCATACTCAACATGAAGAGAACAGATCCACTGTCCGTGATAAATTAGAAGCCGTCTGATGGTGGAATAAGCCCCATCATCCCAAGGTCCACCACCTTCCTTGCATCCAAGAATTTCAATCTTCACCGTCGTATCCGGGGAACCCTCTACGTCTTTCTGCAGCAAGAAAATGGCAAATCATAAATTGTTTGCAATCTTTTCGTCAGCTTAGCTAAAAGTTAATACTTACCATCCTCTGTAGAGTAGCGAGGCACTGCAAAATTCAGGATTGCGAGAAGGATAAGAAAGAAGAACTTGGAGCGAGAGAGGACTTGGGATTATTAACTTGGATTAGTAATAAATGTCAACGAACACAGTACAGAAGGAGTGCAAAGATGGGTTTGGACGGGACAGAGAGAAGCTAGAGGCCCCACATTACCTACCCACCAAACAAATTTCAATGTTTCTACTTTCCGGGGTTCGATTCCTTTCTTCTTGTTCTTCTTTCTTGGCTAAGAAATGGAAGAATTCCATAGGTCATTACAGAACTATTAATTTAACTAGATAAAAAAAACTATTAAATGACTTTTAAATAGCGATTAAATTGTTGCAAATTAACTTACCGTAACTTTCAAGTCGGAAGCAAGAGCTGCAATTGTGGGAAAGATAATAAAGAATAATGCTGACACAGCGATAAAATTGATCACTTGAGCTTGAAACTTAGTTTTCGTTTGATTATCTGGTCGTGGTAACAGCGCCCAATAGCGTGGACGTTGAACTTGCAGCGGCGACATTCATAGGCCAAGTTACCGGCACAAGGTTTCCCACAGTGCTCACAATCAGAGTAATCCCTCTTCCGCTCTGCCACAAGACTCAACAAATGCTTGTGAGTTTCATATGATCCATACTTGAGCCATGGATACTCCCCAAGGATGCATTCAGGGTGGGCAGCTAAACGGCACGTCTTGCAGTAATAAAAACACACCTTTGGGTTCCTCTCTTCTTCGCATACATCACAGTAATATTCCCCTGTTTCATCTTCCACGGAGAAACTCAGATCCATCAAACCACCATCGAATCGGCATCTTGCTTTCTGTGGAAGAGTTGCGCATCTGTAGTCCAAGGAGAAGTTGTTGCAGCCATCGTCACATTCGAACACCGCCTGGTTGCTCTCGCCACAGCCACTACATATTTTATCCTCGTGGTTTTGTGCAAGAGACAGCAAATGCTGGTGGCTCGGATGCTTGAGTTTCCTGGTTTCAATCAGAACACAGCGAATGTCGAGCGTGTACAGACATTCTTCACAGTGGTAGGCATGACCATGGCAGAACTGCAGGCAAGCATGGCACTGGAATGCCACATCTTGGGTAGTGATGAGAGTTAAAGGATGTTTATGGAGCGGGTGCCTCTTTGTAACTGGCAAATCAGCGCAGTCTTTGTGAAGAAAGAAACCACACTTAACACAACTGTAAGAGTGTGATGGTTTAGCGACCGAGAAGCGTTGCATACATCTGCGGCATTGTTTATCAATGTCACCCTCTTCTTTGCAGAGGATTAAGTCCTGTTCACAATTTGAATGCAGAATCTCAACCGAACCCACTTCTTCAAACGTTTTCTTTGAAGAATTATTCGATGCTGGCGCTTCATCCCCTAAAGGATTGATTTTTAGACTGTCCCTTTTAGTCTGTCCCCGCATGTACTTTTTCCCAGCACAATTCAAATGAACGACATAGCTGCATTCGGAGCAGCTGTATGCTGCGAACTGTGGTTCAACCTTCTTTCTGCAGATTGCACAAGCTAACTTACTGTGATCCTCAAAAGGGTGAGAGTATGTGAAAGTGAGAGGACAGTCGTGTCCAACAACCAAGAGAGATGGGGGCAATTCAGCGCAATTCTCATGAGCCAAAAGATGGCAGATGCTACAAAACCATGGAAAACCATGTCCCCACCAACCACATAGCAGGCATTTGAAGTTAATTATAGTCCGAAATATGATGAAGTTGTGCTTGCGATGTGAAGATGCTAGACACATTACATGGAGATTGAAATCACACTCAACACAGCTGTAAACGAACCGCGAGCATTGATTTTTGCAGGTATTGCAGAAAGGTTGAAGCGGGGCATGGGGATAAAGGAAGAGTGGGTGATGATGGCGGTCGGGTTTCAATATCTCTTGTGGCAGCTCGGCGCAGGCTTTGTGAAAGCGGATACTGCATTTTGAGCAAAAGTAAGTTGGGCCAGAAACAAGCAGCAGTCCACAAATATGGCAAGCAACCAGCTTGCTGGTAGTGATCTCGCTGTGGAGGATCAAGGGATGTTAATGGCTGAAATGTTTGCCTAACAAGTTCAAGCCAGGACGTTTTGTATCAGCGAGAATGCATTTGATGTCAACTATGAATTGGCAATGGGTGCAGATGTAGAAGCAATCGCGTGGCATCTGCCAGCAGCAATGGCAATGGTCGGAATTGGTTTCAGTGAGGAAAAGGGGATGGTGGGGATGGAAGCGGGAGAGGATTTGAGGAGGGAGGTGGATGCAGGATTAATGAATGTAGAATTTGCAGAGGGAGCAAATGAAAGCTGGTGGAAACAGCTCTTTTTTGCAGACACAGCAGAACATGTCTTCTCGGCTGTCTGTTCTTTCTTCAATGAAGCACAGCGGGTGCGGGTGTGGCTTCTCCAAAAGCTGCATCTTCTCCATCTCTGATCCCTCTGCCTCTTGCTCCTCCTCCTCCTCCTCCTCCTCCACGTCCACCCAGCTTTCATACTCAACCTGAAACCAAATGGTTTTGTTCAATTTAAATGGTCGATGTAATAAACACAACAAACTGTTTATTATTTTGTTTACAGCCAAGAACATGATCTCTCCACCAATCCTTTTCTTCTCATTTATTACTATTTCTAAAGAAAGGAAAATCAATCGAGGAACTTCTTTCTTTGAAGGTCTGATAATGCAGGGGATCAGATCTCAATGTGAATACTAGATTATTTTATATTGAAAAATCCAAAAAATAATAATGAATTACTAGATTGTTTATTTTTTCCTTCACATGATAACAGAGTCAACCTTGAGCATGAATTTTGCTATTAAATATGGTTAAATTATACATATATATACACATATATAAAAGGTTACATAAATGTTTTTTCTTCTTAAAATGGAGTGATATTACATTAAGGACTTTATAGTAATTAGGTTCCTACAAATTGATACATGAAGACAATTGAAAACTTTGAGCAAACCTGATGATTGATGAATGGGTCCATAGATTGACCCATTTGTGTAGTTAAATTGAAGGGAGCCCAAATGTGAGGAGAAAACCCTGAGGACAGATAGGCTTATCAAGATGCTTTAACGATCGGGTACATCCAACCGCTGTTCAGCCCGTCATGTGAGGCCCAGATTTTTTCTGCACGAACCATTATCAGGGTACTCCCTCATCCAACCATGAGGTATATGACATTCTGGTGTGGTATCTCTGTCTTTAATGAAACCGGGCAAAATTTTCAGAGAATCCTAAAAGAGCGCAAACTTGACTTTTCATAGTTTTCAAACAATCGACCATTTTCGCTTTTCACGACACCCTTTCCTAGTTTGAAATCCAATTACCTTTGTTGTCATTTCTCCTGTCTGTCACTGAATCGTGGGGCAAACCAAATAATAGTTGCTTTGCATCACTAACACCCACGGTTCATACTCTGGGTTAAGCTGAGGAAGTTGTTTAAGTTCAACTTGAAGCCATCATTAAGGCCTTGATTTGCGCATCTGTCAGGCTCATCTGAGCATGCCTTGAATTTGAAGCCATCTCTCCAGCATACCTCGAGAGTGCCCCTTGGCATTGCCTTGCGCTTGACATACAGCCCTAATGTTGAGGATTTCCTCTGTTACTCACATTGGATTGATTACAAAGAATTTTCCAGAAAATAGAAATCATACGCAGTAAGCCAGCCAAAGTGAATGTTACTCATAAACACAATAATACAACAAGAAGGTATCCCCTAACTGCGATGATGACGATTGAGATAATCATCACCAATAACTAGTGTATAACTAAGTTATACAGATAGTACCCTCAACAGCTGGATTTTGCCATCAACGTTAGTGACTTCAATATTTATTTGGAACCACAGCATTTGCTGCAACTCTGATATAAGAGACCCATGACTTTAGCCTAACTGGTGGGAATGAAAATTCGGTTCCTAAGTCAATACTAAATTGTCAACAAATTCCTCGTTTCCCTTCGAAGGCATTGATCAAATACAATGCAGCTATTTGGGGTTCATCCAAGTTTCTGTAGAACCTAACAACCATATTTAAAAGACTGCTATTTTGGAATCTAGATTCTCTGTAGGGCTTGTACAGAGATCGGAATATATTTAGTCGCCAAAGGCTTCTTTTTCCTTGAAGGCATTGATCGAATAACAATGGCCACACGTCAAAGTTCATCCAACTCGCTTAGAACCTAACTACATATTTAGGAGACTGTTATTTTGGGATCTACATTCCCTATGGGGCTGTACGGAGATGATTTTCCACTCGGGCTGAACACAAACCCCATAGAAATTTTCTGAAAGAAAAGTTAAGTATGTTACAGTACGTTGTGTGCTGATCCTTGCAGCATAATCCACTGAATAGAAATGAAAACTTTATTTATTACAAGACTACCATTCCAACATCAAAAGAAAGAACCAAAAAAGTTCCACACATTCACGCTTCTTCTAAAAGCAACCAACAGTTGGTAAGATCTCCAGATTCAATTCGAGTGGTAGGCTGCCTAAGATCTTCGGCCTTTCAACCATGCTGTTCAAAATATGATATAGCTGCAACCCTCCAAACCGTATTCAACAAGACCAACTTCGTAAAATACAGGAAGCATGGATGCTAATTTCGAACGCACAACCAGGAACCTCAAAACTCAAAGATCATTTTACTAATAAACACAAACGATGAATTTGAGTCACGAAATTCACAAATGGTACTCAGGTAGTATAGTTCTCAAATTCACAAATCCATCGATATAGTGAGTTTTGATGCATAAAATCAAACATGAAACATCACTCATAATTTAATTTTTTTAAAAGTTCAACAATAAGTGGGAGTGGGATCCAAACTTTCAAATATTTTAGTTTTTTTCAATTTTATTAACTTTTATTTTGATTCTCAGACTTTTAAACTTTAACTAAAATTTTATAGAAAACTGAAGAACTTTAACTAAAATTTTAAAACTGAAAGATCAAAATGAAAATGAATATGAATTGGAAGAATAAAATCAGAATTTAAAATTTTTGGAGATCGTAATAAAAGAAAGGATAGATGTTTAGGCACTAAAACATATTTAAATTTGTGCCAGTATGCTCACAGAAAGATGGATCTTTTGCATCAAAGCACTTGTCATGTCCATGAAACTGTAGCTAAAGTCATTTTGTAGTAGTTGAGTATCTATTTTCGAGAGGGAAGGAATAATCATACTGGAGATGGAATATGTATGGTATATTATAGCATGCAGCTGAATAAGAAAAATAAAGAAAGAACCAACCATAAATAGGAAAGGTATGTTTCACTAGCTTTTTTTACACGTTCAAAGGTGGGTTGAAACTTTTTTCATGGGCGCATCTATGTGTCAAGAGATAGGCTAAGAATTGGATCTAATCCTCCACCAGGCTGTAAATTCTCGAGAAAATTCTACTTGCTGATGATATTTAAATGAAAGAAAAAGAGAGACTTTTTAAAGGATTTCACTACAGCCAGTCCCCTCGACACTCTTTCTAGCGTCTGCTCAACAAAACGAATCATATCTTTTAGCCTTAAATATATATTCGTCAACTTGCACCGATCCCACTACACAAACACTCCACCTCCAGTATATAAGGAGCAAAGGAAAATCATGCTCTTACCATCCCCAACTTCTTCCTTCCCTGCTTACTCAGACATACTTTTCCCCAAGCTTCTCCGTCATATCCCAACTTCCATTCCCCTTTTTCAGTGCCAGCCTAACTGAAAGTAATGGCATCAAGCTCTGTCACGTCGGCGGCACGTGGGTTTTACTCATCCTGGACAAAAAAAGAAAACAAGAAATTTGAGGAGGCATTAGCCTACTATGACCAGGACACACCAGACCGTTTTGAGAAGGTAGCGAGGGCTGTTGGTGGTGGGAAAACAGCTGAGGAAGCAAGAAGACTCTATGAGCTACTCGTGCGAGATGTCAAGAAAATAGAAGCTGGTCAAGTCCAAATACCCCTCTACAAGAACGTGGGTTGTAATGGCAGAGGGTATGCTGACCAGAAGAGGTAATATCCTACTTGCTGATATTTTCTCTCCGAAATTATTCCAAGCCTGAAGCCTATCCTCAGTAATCTTCTCCTTTCTACTGGTACATGAGAATAAATGTCCTAACAAGAAACTTGTGCCCTACAATTCCTGGAGAAATATATTGAGACGATTCTATAACCGGCCCATTGTTAAAATATCGTTTGATGTGTAGTAAAATGTTCACGAAGTCGGTTTAAGCTACGAAGCTTATTCATGCGTGATAAAATCCAAGACCGCTTGAAGAGAAATGTATTCGCCGACGACTAACTTTTCAATTCAACAATCTATATAACCACGCACTTAAAACTTTAATATCCTTTGAAGTAGGTCAAGCAAAGAATCTGAAAATTACCTCAAATCCAAGTTAAAAAGGGAGACGTGGTTTGAAATACTAATACCGTGGGCAGTATGATTAGGAACGAGTACGTTAATGGTCCATAGTAGCCCTGCCTGTACGGGATATTGCAAATCTTAAGGCAGCATTTATCGTAAATAACGATCCAGAATAGACTTTGAAGGTTCACAACTTATCCACGTATCCCTCAAATGCAACCCTTCTTTTTCTAGTGGCTGCCACTTGACTAAAATGGCGGGCACTCTCCTGGGTCCAATGCAGATCTATCTTGTGAGTCTGTGACTGCGTAATTTTCTAACATTTTTCCATTATCCATTCGTATATTCAACTTTCTACGCAACCCACATGATATCCAATCTCAAATGCACATGATCTCATAATCTGGAATCCATGATTATCATCTCTAGCGCTCCCATCTTACCCTTAATTTAAAAGCAGTAAAATAAGAACACAGTAGAGTCAAATAGTCAGGATCAGTTCAATAAAAAAAAAGTAACTAGTATATTAAGGATCCCACGTTGGAAAGACGTTCAGGTATTGCAATCTTTATAAGTTACATGGATTACTACTCTCATTACCGATTGGTTTCAAGATGAAACCTTTTATTTATCTAATATGGTATTAGAGCTCATAAACCCTACAGAGGTATTCGGTTAAAAAAAAAAATTGGGTTCTAACTCAATATCTTTATAAAATATGGGATTCCTTTTGTTGCCAATTAGTTTGAGATGAAACTCATTTTTATCTAATAGACGCCCTCACCAAGCTCCTTGCCAGGTGATAACTCATAACAAAAGGGGCATTTGTTCAACAAAATCAGGAAAAAAAAAAAAAAAAAAAACACGTAAAAAAAGAATCGCCTAATATCAGCCTTCAATTAGACCGCGCAGAGTACCAACTCAACAGTAGAGCAGATATAAAATGTATAATGCGATAGACAAAAGAACATGAAGGAATCGGAGATGGGCGATTCATCTATTAGAAGAAGTGTTACTGAATACTGACCTTTGCAACGCTGTGTAACAGTAGGAATTACAAGATAGAGATAGCTGATTCGATTTCATAATGAGTTGAACATTCGATCTGAATTAAGAACCGCGCGAACAAAGAATTGGAACGATGTTCCCGGAGAGCGCAATCACATAAGTTTCCGGTTAAGGGAGATATTGAAATTTGAGTCCGCCTTTTGAGAAATAAATAACGCGGGAATATCCGTAAAATGGGATCTGGGTACGGACTCCGCAACGATCCAAATAATCTGATTTTTTTTTTTTTAATATATATATATATTATTAACCGTTGGACATAAATTAAAAAAAAAAAAAAAAAACTAAATTAACAAAAATATTTTTTAATTTGCAATTTATCTTTAAAATACCTTTAAACTAAATAAATAAATATATATATATATATATAAATAAATGCACCCGATAACACTTCATTTTACAAACGACTTTCAATAATACTCTTTTAACAATTGATGATGGTAACTCTTTTAACTATTGATGATAAGAATTTTCCTCAATATATTGATGGTAAAAATATTTTATTTTTTGTTATAAAGGTAAATAGTGTTAATACTAAATTAACACTGAACATACTTCAATTACTTCTAACATATTCTATCAATCACATTGAATCGAAAAAGAAAGAAAAAGTAATCATACATAAAAGAAAGAAAAAATAATCATACGTAAAAGAAAGTAAAAGTAATCATACGTAGGTTATTAAATATGTAACCAATTAATAAATGGTGCAAATAAATTCAGAAAAAATAGATTAAAAGCAAGAGTGCATTCAATTCGCTTGGTTACATTTAGAAACTTCAAACCAATGTAATTTCTTTCATTCAACTTTGATTGATTCTAAAGTTCATTTCAACAAGTAGTCGGCCCAAATCTTGTCACTTTCAGATATTCAAAGCCATTTGATTCGAAGTGACAAGTTTACAAATCCAACTGCAGCGTTTCTCCAGCTAAAATCATCAGAATTCATGCTTCATAGTCCCTATAAATCAAGTTCTCAAAGGTAAATTATACGATGAATGAGGCTACTGAGCAATAATGCATTTTCTCCCATGTGGAATAGATGAGGCAAGATGAGATAGGATTACGAGTCCGAATAGCAGACGTCACAGCCAGCCATCGATTATCCGCATGAATGATTATTTTCTATGTACAAACTAAGATCGATGTTTCAGAAAAATTGAAGTAGAGAAAAGGGTAAAAGATGGATCATAAAGTCATTACAGATTGTTCTGTCATTGAATATGCGCAAGAAAACAAGTGGGTTTCTCGAAGTCGAACTCGCGCTAAATCACATTGAAAGCACAGACATTCAAGAGGAACATTCTATCAATATCCCTTGCCACATGATACATGTTGACGGCCTTAAAAGTGACATCAACCTACCTAGAAAAGGAAACTAGCACATGTCATTTCATTATTTAATATTGAAGTCTAGAGTATCCAACCTCAAGGAGCCAAATATTCATTGCTGAGTCTTCTACTCCCACATAATTGGCATATTTATCATTCAGTGGATGAACTGATTGGGCTATCTGCAAAGATGTACTCTTTTCGATCCGAGTCACTGCCCCCAAGCACAGGCCCTAAACATAAACAACATGATCCACATGAGCAACACGAATCACATGAAGAGTAGCAAATAAAGGAATTGAACGATACACCAATTAAAGAACAGAGAAAAGTTTGTTACTGCTTCCCAATGATCCAAAATATAGGAAAAGAGACGAGAGAGCAATCATTCAAGAACCAACGGCCAAGACAGAACAGATGCCTAAGATGATCCTGGGGCAGCAACAATAAGTTTTTGTCAAGTGCTCCACAGATTGTTCTCTCTTTATTCCAGAAAAGGGGCCTATCTTGCTGCCTCATCGTTTTCAATTATAAAAAAAAAAAAAAGCATTAACAAGCAAGATTTGTGTTCATGACCATAAACCTTAGCGATACAAATTAAATTTTCTGGATCCAACAGAGAAATTGCATGGCTTCTCCAAACCTCAACTATAGAATCAACATAAGTGGCAAGTGTTTTTCAAAGTGCAGCACACTAAAACACAGTACTCTCTTCTAGGACTTCTGCAAAGCGTGCAGATAAAAAAAAAATGATGGCTTTTTTGGGAGCACTCAAATACAAAAATGCAAATAACTTTTTGATAAATGGAAAATATAGGTTTACAACTAATAAGATAATGAGAAGTTTAAGAAATTAGAACTTTTATAAAAGAATCTGGTGAAAAACGAACTTTTTAAGAACACTTCTGAATCTCTTCCTAAAAAATTAGAAATTAAAAAAAAAAAAAAGGTTTCTTCAAGCACAGAGACGGGGCCTCAAGTGTGCTTCATAGGAGCACCTTACCTTTGTCTTTTCTGAAAAGCGCACCTTTTTTGCGCTTTTCAAATCATTGATAGTGGTAAGCTATGGCTTCATAAAAAATTGAATATAAAATCGAAATCTGAGAGTTCTAGACTTCTAATATTAGCAAATCAAAACAAGGACAAATTCCAAACATGTGTCTGTCAATCTATCAAGTTCAGACTACAAACTTTCAAGACTTCCAAGAAAATAAAGAAAAAGAAACAAAAACGGCATAAGGGGGAGAAAAACAGTATGCATTCACCACGTGAAAGCACCAAAGAAGAGGAGAAGAAGAAGAGGAGGAGGATATGAATAATCGATGCCCCTTAAAGAGTTATCCTCACTTCCATATTCATCTTCCACATTCCTTGCCACTCCAAGAAGATCAATGATCCAACTACACCCAAGGTATACTCAAGTTACCATCTTAAACTTCGAACATGATATACCTTTCTAATATTCTGAAGAACTACTTTTCACTACAGATGACTGACTTGAATAAATATTCCACAAATGCAGAAATCTGCTCCTATATTATCAAATTTAGCATGTGGCTTTGTTTCAATGATATTGGCCTATGCTATGTTCGCCTACCATAAGAAGCCTTCAGAAACCGAAGACGAAAATAATGTGGCTAACAAGCATGAACGGTGCTCATTTTCACTAAGCATCTAAACAATAAAGGGAACAAGTATTTAATATAGCCCATAGGTTGTGGCTTTGTATAGTTCATTATATCGATGAAACTTTCTGCTTATTTCATAAGTAAAAGGATTGCAAGAAAATTAGTATCTGAGAAAACAATGCAGATAATTGGAAGCACGTTATAGAGTTAAAAGAGTACAGACAAGAAAAAGAAGCATAAAGATGCTAGAAAAAAGGTCGAAATATACCACGCAAAGCTTACTTTCATATATCACAAGAAACATGCAAATAAGTATCGTCAATTTAGATATTCAGACATCTTTCGTTAGAAGCTAGATGCAATTAAAAGAAGAAGAAAAAAAAAAAACTTCACTCTAAACACCATGTATAAGTATGGTATGCCGCATTGATAAACAATGGATGCAAGAAACACAATTTGGGACTACAAATAATGGAAGCTCCAACACAAAAAAGAAAAACTATTTTAGTTTCTACATCGATAGAGGAAGATGAGATTTTTCAACTTAAACAACATGCAATACGTGGAAAAATATAAACAAGAGAAGATAACAAAGCCATAAAGGTTTTACCCAAGATTGAGAATGCTATTAAGTGGGTCAAGAAGCTGCGGCTGCTGTTGATGCTGGTGCTCTGGCTGGTGCTCTTGTTGCTGCAGTTGTAAACTAGCACCAGCAGCTATTGCTGCTGCGCTTGAAGAAGCCCCCTTTGCCTCAGCAAACCTCCACATATACCACGACCCAACTGATCGATACGGCCTCCACTTCTCACATAAGTGATCCATCTGCGATGGTCGAGGCAACTCTTCAAGATTGTAGAGAAGTTGAACACCTTTGCGAACATTAAGATCATTGATAGGAAGCACGTCTGGTCTGTGCAGCGAGAAAATCATGAACATATGAACAGACCAAGACCCAATTCCATTGACCATTGTAAGCATCGTGAAAAGCGATTTATCATCCATATTCACAATTGCGGGGTCTGAAAGAATCCCATTTTGATACTTCCTCGCAAGATCATGAAGGTAACTAGATTTACGACCCGAAATTCCAATTTGCCTGAGCTGTTGAGGGCTCAAGGCAAGTACAGTTTCAGGAAGAACGCCAGCCTCGCCGCCACAGAGAGCGATGAAACGAGTGTAGATTGAGGTGCCAGCTTTATAAGCCAGCTGCTGATAAAGGATACTTCTAGTAAGGGCAAGGAATGGGGTTTGAAAACTGTCGAAGGTAGGACGTTGATGAAGGTCGATCAAAGGTGCAAGGAGCGGATCGGCATTCCGGAGATGTCGAAGCGCGACTTCCACCTCGCCTTCACAGGAAAGTGATCGGGCAAGCATTACCGGGGCAGACGCGAATGCGGCGCGTTGCTGGGCCGTCTTGCTCTTGTTAGATTTGCTGGTGGCTATAGGTTTCGGCCCATCCGGAATGGCAACAACCTGAGAGGAATTTGGATCCGATTCATCAGGCGAGAGCTTCCGGATCTTCCGCGGACGCAAGGGCATTTTGGATGGCGGAGAAGAGGTTTGCGATGGCGCATTCATCACCTCGCTTAATGACACAGTAGCTTGGGCGATAGTGGTTGTGGAGTTAGAGGATTCATGAAACGTGTTCTGAGCTTGCGATTGCGCTTGAGATTGGCTTTGGGTCTGAGTCTGAACCTGCACTTGCGTGTGCTCTCCCATATGTAAAGGATTCAATCTGCGCTATCTCCTTACACCCAGGCAATTCAGTTGAAAGAAACACTGTACACAACCATGATCAGCGGCGTTGGAGAATCGGAAGAAGGGCAAAACTCGATGCCCCAGGTGAAAGAACAAGAACTGGATTGAGACTAACAGAGAAATTGAAAAGTAAATGCGAAATTGAAAAGATTAGGGATTTTGAATTAGGTTAAAGAATAGACAAGTAGTTTGTGAATGGTATAACCAGCGACTGAGGAGAATGAAATCCCGGTGACGTTCTTCTTTCAGTCTCTTTCTCTTCTCTATCTCTGTCTCTGGCCGCTCGCTCCTCAGTTCTCTAACCCAACTGGCTTTCGATTTCCCCTCCAGTCTGGGAAATCAACTCTCCGCTTCTTCACGCTCCTTTGTTGGCGTGTGACGTACGGTCGGCCCATGGGCTCAGATTTCTTGGGCTGGCCCGTATTTAAAGAAGAAGAAGCCTGGATCGCGTTATTGGGCCCAAATCGAGTAAATGGGACCTTTGTGGCGCGTGACGTACAGTCGGCCCATGGGCTCGGTTTTCTTGGGCTGGCCCGTAGTTAAAGAAGAAGAGGCCTGGATCGCGTTATTGGGCCCCCAGTCGAGTCAATGGAATACTTGGGGAGAAAACTGCGGGACGACCCACCATGGCTGGAAGTATATAAATTTAGCCGACAACGGGAGACTGATCTCTCCCGCCCTCTCTCATCTCTGTTCTGTCGTTCATTTTCCTGTACCAACGAGAAATAACGTGCGTTTCTTTCATTGGCAATTAACAGATTGGCGTGCGTTTCTTTCTTTGCCAATCAGGCAAACAGATTGGCATTTGATTACGGAACCTATTTTTATTCCAATCTCTTGTTCTTATTGGTAATCGGAAAGTGACGTAATAGATCGTTGTTGATTTCGGAACAGAGCGGGAAGAGATGAGTTTCAGGGACGAGAATGAGGAAGGGAGGGATCTCAGGAAGCCCTTTCTGCACACCGGAAGTTGGTATCGTATGGGATCGAGGCAATCGAGTATGATGGGCTCATCGCAGGCCATTCGCGATAGCTCTGTTTCCGTTCTTGCCTGCGTATTGATAGTCGCCCTTGGTCCAATCCAGTTTGGTTTTACCGTAATCATCATTTCTTGATCTTCTATATTTTATTTTATCGTGCCAGAAAAAAAATAGGAGAGAATTTTCTGGTTGAGAATTGATTGAGTTAATCTGATTATTCTGGTGTTTGATTTGATCTGATCTGTTGCCAAGACTGCGTTTCTGATCTCACAGCTACTGCCGGATTAAATTTTAATATAATTTTGCATCACTTGGTGTAGTGTGGATATTCATCTCCCACCCAATCTTCGATAATGAAGGATCTACGACTCACAGTCCCGGAGGTGAGGATTCATAATGTATTCCTTTCTTTTTCCAACACCATTCGAACATCATCACATTGGCTTTTTGATATCTGATTTTTTGTTCAGTACTCTATATTTGGTTCTTTATCCAATGTTGGCGCTATGGTTGGCGCCATATCCAGTGGTCAGATAGCCGAATACATTGGTCGAAAAGGAGTAAGTTTCCTTCATGAATCATTTTCAATTTAGCTCACTATATCTTGTTTTAGTTTCTATTGGTTTCCATTATTCATTTGTCTTGCTTTATTTCAGTCTTTGATGATTGCAGCCATTCCAAATATTATAGGTTGGCTTGCTATATCATTTGCAAAAGTAAGTTGGATGATCATCCTAACGTATTACTTATAAATGGATTTAGAGTAAATGGCAATACAATAAGTCTCAATTCTCACTCTTCCTACTAACTTAATGCTTTGTAGGATTCTTCTTTCCTTTACATGGGGAGGTTGTTGGAAGGTTTTGGTGTGGGAATAATCTCATATACGGTTAGACATTGAGTATCTATTTTGTTAAAATTTTACCTCTTAATAGAATCTGGAGATTACAACATTTTTGTATGATTTAGGTACCCGTTTATATTGCTGAGATAGCTCCTCAAAACTTGAGAGGGGGCCTTGGTTCAGTTAACCAGGTTGGTTAGAACTATTGATTTCTTTTGATTTCACCATTATTTTCTGTTGTCGTCATGCTTTTCCAAGTTAATACTGTGGTTTCTTGTTGCTAGCTCTCTGTCACCATTGGAATAATGCTCGCTTATCTTCTTGGACTTTTCGTGCCGTGGCGACTGCTTGCAGTTCTGGGTAATTCTCTTGAGAGACGTGCTTCTATTGGTTATAGAGGAACGAATCATTTCTTATAAGGGTGTTGAAACCTCTCCTTAGTAGACACATTTTAAAATCATGAGGCTGACGACGATATGTAACGAGCTAAAGCAGATATTGGCGGTGGGTTTGAGCTGTAGCATAACAATTCCAAGCCTTCCTTGGCAACTGATTATGAAATGCATTCTAAAGTTTATTGGCTTAGTTATGATAAAGATTCCTTTCTAAGAATTCTTGTGTTTCACAGGAATTTTGCCTTGTACGATTCTGATACCTGGATTGTTTTTTATCCCAGAATCTCCTCGGTGGCTGGTGAGTTTCTCAAATCGATTTCGTTGTGATTTTTTTAGGCTTACATCACCCTGTTTATGAGTTTTTTTCAAACCGAGTCCAGGCGAAAATGGGTATGACGGAAGAATTTGAAACATCCTTGCAAGTTCTTCGTGGATTTGATGCTGATATCTCTATTGAAGTGAATGAAATCAAGGTAAATCAGCATAATTTGCAAGTTAGTTATTAATTATTGTCCTCATTCCTCAAAAACTCTTTGCAATACAGACATGAATAGTTTGTCCAATCCTCTCATCTCTCTTTGATGATGCATACGGTGCAGAGGTCCGTAGTATCCACAGGCAAAAGAACAACAATTCGGTTTGCAGACCTCAAGCGGAGAAGATACTGGCTTCCTTTGATGGTATAGCTACTCAACCATTGACTGCAAGTTTTCTTTCAGTTTTCCAACTTGACAGTCTAATTGATCTTTGCTATCATCCAAATTGCAGATTGGTATTGGGCTACTAATGTTGCAGCAGCTTACTGGAATTAATGCAGTTTTGTTCTATTCAAGTACCATATTTGCAGCTGCTGGTAAGGAAGAAATTCGTTAGTACTCCGTGGTTGTTGTTGTCGTCGTCGTTTATTTAAGCAGTGTGGAAGAGATCATTTGTTCTTTAATCTGTTTGTTGCTGCTTTAAACCCTAAACCTGAATCACATTAACTTCTAACACTTCATTGATATGTAGTATTCAATTGATATTTGTATGAAACAGGCGTTAAATCAAGTAATGCTGCCACATGTGGGATCGGAGCAGTCCAGGTTCAGCTTTAAGGATTGCCTGATACAAATTATTATATCCATCCATTGTTGCCAATTTGGCTTTGACATGGAATTTCATGCCTTATTAGGTTATTGCCACTGCAATGACGACATGGTTGGTTGACAGAGCAGGCCGTCGAATTCTTCTTATCGTAAGTTTTTTTTTCCTCTCTTAACGTAGTTCTCAAGTTATTATTTGTGAAGTCTCACGTCAGTTGAAAGAACATTTCTTATAAGAGTGTGGAAACCTCTCCTTAACACACGTGTTTTAAAACCTTAGAAACTTGGAAAGGAAACTTAAAGAAGACAATATCTACTAACAGTGGGCTTGAGCTGATACATTATGAATGGTAAATGGAAATTGATTTTTTTTTTTTTCTCTTTTTTGTTCAGGTGTCCACAGCTGGAATGACGTTTAGCCTTTTAATTGTTTCCGTAGTCTTCTTTTTGAAGGTAAGAGTTCTTGAGGGGTTGTATTTTATAATTTTAAGATTGTTGATTACCTTCTCTAACACGTCTTCCCTCTGATATAAAATAAGGATCATACCCCCGAGACGTCCAATTTATATGGTATTCTGAGCATTCTATCAGTTGTTGGAGTTGTGGTATGTTTATTTCTAAGCAGCACTAAATACAATTTGATTTCTGAAGTAATTTTCCCATAGAAATGTTCATCTGCCTATTTCTTTTCTTCAGGCCTTGGTGGCTTTCTTCTCTCTGGGTCTTGGGGCTATTCCATGGGTTATAATGTCTGAGGTATCTTCACTTCCATCCATGTAAAATTGCAAGTAATGTAGGCTTATATGCTGCCTGCATCTTTCTTTCGACCCGTATGAAGTTTGGTAATCATAGTGAGTAGAGTGCAAATCGAACTGTTGCTTGTGTCCTAGTCTAAGAAAGAACAACTTTTACCTGTATTTGGTTGCGAACATTCTGATTTGCATAGCTGGTCGGAATTATGCTTATAGTTGTCTAAGGGAAAAAAAACTGCTGCAGATTCTTCCCATTAATATCAAGGGTCTCGCTGGAAGCATAGCAACGCTAGCTAACTGGTTCATTGCTTGGTTGGTAACAATGACTGCAAACTTGCTCCTGGAATGGAGCAATGGAGGTTTGCTCCCTCTCTCTATGTCTCTCTCAATATTTGAATCTCGTTATAGATCCAAATTTCATGTCGTTGCTGCTGCGCTATTGGTTGCAGGAACGTTCGCCATCTACATGTTGGTGAGTGCTTTCACATTGACATTCATTATATTCTGGGTCCCCGAAACCAAAGGAAGAACACTGGAAGAAATTCAGTTCTCCTTCAGATAAGAAGGTTGTTTTTTCTGTTTATCTTGGTACTGCCTGTTGGAAAGAAAAGCCTATTTTGCGGCTCTAACTTTTATGTATTTTCCCCTCTAAATATAAAAACGGCCGTGCCTTAATGAAGACAGTATTCTCTTGAATCTCCTTATTGTTTTTACAAGATTCTTGAAGCGGTTACCTAGTTATTTGATTGGTTCATCCATTCAAGTTTTTTTTGACCAAAGTCTGCAATGATTACACCAGTAGAGTACAATCGAGTTATTGGTAGTGTGATTAAGTTATGGGTGTAAGTAGAGTACAATCGAGTTATTGGTAGTGTGATTAAGTTATGGGTCTCGCGTAGGTGGAGGTAGATAGGTATTTGTGTGGGAGAAAAGTAGAATTTCTTTCCATCTATTTCAAATAATTTGAAGGCTTAAAAGAACCTTAATATCATCGATGTTTATGGCTATTTACATAAGTTGAATAATAATCATCGCTAATCACAACTCATCACAACTCATTATAGAGGATCGAAAGATAGAATTGAAGGTGGACTAAAAATTGCGTGAAGAAAATATTCAACTAATGTGTTTCATAATACTTGTACGACCAATTAGCTTTTCTGTGTGGAAATGAACGTCCCTACAACCAGAATAACAATGCTAATTCAAATAATAGCCGATTGTTACCCAAGTCCAACGAATGCGAGAATAATTTATTCAAAATAAGTTAAGGGTCAAATGCGATATTGTCCATAGCGCACCTAAATGGCTTCCTTCAAGAGTCTCTCAGTCAGAGCCTTGGGAAGGCCCATCACACTATCTGTCGTCCCGACCTGCAGAGATCCAAAGCCCGTAAGTATCTACAAGAAATCAAGAACGATGGGCATATTTGTGGATCTCCTCTGTTAAAAAGAGTCTTAATCTTCTTGAAAAAACAAAATTTAAAAACTAAAATTCATGTTTAAAAAGTAAAATGGAATAAAAAATAGGAAAAATCACGACACTAGCCGGTGAGGCTGACTCTTTGTTTTTTTTCACAATAAGCAGTATGCAGCCGTTTCAGATACCCTTTTTCCAGTCCCTAGATACCCATTTCAACAATCATATCAATCGTCATTTGTATTTGTATCATATGAACTCTCATTATCACGTACATGCATGCCACGTACACAATATATTCATGGAATTCAAAACACAAAGGAAAATCTATACTGCTATTGGATGCTTCTTTCAAAATGATGGGAAAAGGAAAGGAAGAACGGAAGCTAACCACTTTTTTCACATAGGGTAAAATGAAAGGATGCTCGATAATCAGCCCTCCGGCAACATTGAGCACATTCCCCTCCTCGACCTGAAATGTATAGAAAAAAGGAAAAACAAGATGACAAAAGATACAACATTTCCTTTTCCTAAAGAAAGCACAACCAACAACCAGTGAAAGTGAAATCTCTACCAGCTTGTCGATGACTTCATCAGGTATTTCGTGGAAGAAGATCTGTAAGAGCACTCGTCAATGTCGGATAGCATAAGAAAACAAAAAAACATGAGATATTGTAAAACAGAACCAAAATCTTCTAGAAGTCATCTACCAGTTGCTAGGAATTAGAAAATCAATATTGGATAAGCAGAACAGGAAGCTCCTTCCCTCGATGTAAAATAACAGTATCTAGCATCTATTTGGCTGGTCCCACAGCAGAGCACATACCAAGAAAAGTTGTTTGATTGAAGAAGTTTATAGTAAGTCTATGAAAGTAGGATATCATTCCATTTGTTTTGTTGAATCAATTAGAAGGTAACAGTCTCCATAACGCGAGTGTCTTTTCATTAAAATACTATATGGGGATAATATCGAGAGAAATAAGATCATCAATAAAAGAACATGTATATCTATACCTCTACACGATCCCATTCTCCTTTCCTAAATCCTGTTTTAAGATTTGTAACAAATACAGATCCAAGTGTCGCTGCATGCCCTCCTGAATAATCTGCAAAATATTTTTTAATCGAACCAAAACATTCAAGAAATAGTAAAAACATAGAAATGCAGTACTATTAGTATTATGTGAACAAACCTTTCATAAATTGTCGTGCTTCCTCCTTACCAGCTGGTTTTTCTCTGATGACACCTTCATAGATCACCACCTCCACATCAATTACCAATAGAAGTAAGAAAGTATGTCTTAGAGGAACTTTGCAAACAGAACAAGAAAGGGTCGTAATGGCACAAGTTATCACGAAAAGACCATTTATATTTTGAGGATACAATATGCAACGGGTCTAAGAATACATATATAACAAGAGAACTGTTCCATAAACTTCTATCTCAAGGTGAATGAGTACAACAGGGGCACAATATGTGGCGGGAGGTCATTCACATGGGATTGGCCATATATTTAATCTGGTTATTGGTTAAGGGAACAGACTGAGGAAAGACCATTAAGCATCAACTTGCCATTATCGGCTGCATGATTCAAGAAAGAAAGAAAGAATGTCAGAATGAAAATCAAACTAATCAACTTTTTATTATTATCTTTAAAAAAAGTTTTAGAGATGCAAATAATAAAAACATTAGAAATGACTACAATTCCGATGTCAATTTTGAAAATACGAAGACAATTCAACAAGACAATTTAGAAGGCAACAAAACTCTTATTATCTTTACTGAGTCGGGTAGATAAAGGCGTGCAATGAACATCGCACAAAAAAATTATCTATATGGTTCAAGTTGAAAATTAAGAAAACATATAAAAAATATATAAAAATGGACGGACGTCAAAGGACTTGATATAATAAACAATTATCTATATGGCTGTGTGTCCGTAAAATCATTGATGGAGAGTCTTCCTAAGATGGCTTCTGCCTGACAATAAATATCCATCATCTAAGAAATAAGCCAAAGCCACCTACTACCACAACCGAACCCCGTACTATAATTGTGAAAGATAGTGGAAGAACCTTTGACATGAAACAGTCAAGTCAGCTAAGACTTCAAAGAGCAACGAAAAATTGCACATGGAAAAGATTAACTCCAAGCCACCATGCATCATATTGTTTAACAGAGAGAATAACGACTAACACTAACAGAGGAAAACATACTGTGTCAGCAGCAATCAAAATTGTGGGATCTGCTTCCTCTTCATGTGTATGATTCTTTTGTAAGTTGGATATGATGGCCTCAGCCTGAGATGAAACTCTACCTAATTAATACAAGATGCTTGCACAAAAATAATCGCATGCCAATTTACGTTATAGATGGAGATTTCAAAAGGTTATAGATAGAGATTTTAAAAGGGAAATGAAAAAAACATAAAAAGATGCAAAAGAGATGAACGTGACCACATTTTTCCTGGCTCATTAGAATTTGGAATCCACGAACTTAGCTTGAAGAGTTATACAAATCTTGCATTTACGTAATTTAATCATTCTTCACCGTCGAAGCATAACATCCAAAGTATGCAAATCACTGTATCCACTCTAGGATGGTTTTAGAAATATTATGTAGCTACTAGAAGCTTCTAAATCCTAGCCTGTCATGATAGCATGGAACCAAAGACAATCATAAATCCAAGATTATCTTTTCGCGACAGTGCTCATATAGCACAAGCAATTTACTTAAAAAGGGAACCAATAACATACGCATTAATATTTCAGTTGCAGAATATGGCGGAGCACAAATGAATCACAAGATGATACCTAACCTTTGCCTCTGCAAGAGCCACAACCAACTCTTCCGGCTTTTCTTTGCGTATGGCTTTCTCATCAATATCTGCAGACTTCATTTTGAGAGAGAGAGAGAGAGAGATAGAAAGAAAAGGTAACCATTCTGAGAAGAGAGAGCTGTCAGGTCATGTAAGTATATGTAGGTAGACAATACCATAACTGTGAATTCATAACCCATCTCAGATAATATTTTCCTACGCGCCACTGAAGATGATCCCAAAATTATCTGCCAAACAGCACATTCGTTGAGAGTGTTTTCATTAAATTTGATATGATTCTCAAAGTTGTTTAAGACTGTAATACTAAGGTTATATTTAAAAATGGAGTAAAAAATTGGACATCGAGGAAAAACTCTTTTTCTCCAAAATCCGATGGAGACCTCAATGAAATGTGGAAAAGATCATCAATAAGTAGTGGAAATTAACAATAATATGAATATAAGTACTATCGACGATTAAATGCTAAATAATTGTTGTTACTACGAACAGTTCTTAAAAACTTTTAGGAACTCTGTGATATTTATAAAAATATCCGCAACATTTCCAATCCGATGGATCGGCACTGACAATTGACACTCACAATACCCAAATAAAAACTTCCTTCAGTTTGGATTATGCAATTGCAACATTATTTTGTCTTCAACAATTGTAATCAGTATCTAGATAAATACTAAGCAAACGACTATCTGCATTTTCTACTAAACGCATTGGTCGACCATTTCAAGCCTCAGTAGTATTCCACAGTTGTTCAATAGTGGAAGTCATTGCAAATTTCAAAATCAAAACAAAACAAAAACAAGAAAACTCAGCTCAACATGGAGCACTAGAAAATAATCAAATATCTACAAGCAACAAACGTAATTTCTTCTGAAAGGTAAGTAAATATCTGATATATATCAGTGTCCGCAATCGACATATCGATTCCACAAAAGCAGACTCGAAGAATCTTGTCAAATGCACAGCCATAAAAACGAACAAACCATTTGAAAAAGAGTTCCTTGACCTTGACGCGCAACCGTGCTAGCAGGAAATAGTGAAAACGGTCCGTACCTTAAACGAAGATGAATTAGCTTCCATGACTCCCCGCTTCGCCAATCAGTTGAAAGTTGAAACTCGCAACTGACGAATAGCGTAATCCCTCCACTACCTTCTATCGGCGGGACGAGACTTTATATTCCACTCTTTCGGGTCTCTAAAACTTGAACAAATTCGTTTGGGCTCTTATTAGACGGGCTTCAATACAAAATGGGCTTTTCCCAATCCCGGCCCAAATTCAATTTCACGTGCTTAAAATACTTTGAATTTTAAATTATACAAATAGGTTCAATTAAATTAACGATTTTTTAAACTCAAAATAACAATAATAGATTACATTGGTTTTTGGATAATTAAAATTTAACTTTAAAATATCTATTTTCCAGCGAACTTAATAAATAATTTACAATGATAACTCTTATTAATAGAGTATTTATTCATTATATAACAAATTGGGACTACAGATATAAAACTAGGAATTACAATAAAGATGGGTGACGAAAACTAGCTACATGTAGCCTTCATATTTCAATGCAAGCGTAGGCTCCTCATCCTGCATTTATCACAAGAAATTCTTGTTTTATATATATATTTTTATAATATATGAGAATATAAATAAATTTTATAATCGTCCTTAATTACCGTTATTCGTCGTCAACAAAGCGAAATCCTCGGCCTGCGGGTCCGGGTTTTCTGTAATTAGGGAAAGGAACTTGGCCGGTCTCGATCCTGTTGACATCTTCGACGAGCCTGTCGTAGTGGCGTTTCACTTCCTCCGCCGTCTTCGAGCCGACGGCTTTGGCGAGGATGTGCCACCGCCCCGGCGTGTTTTTGTCGTAGATGGCTAAAGCATTCTCGAACGCTTTGTTCTGCTGCGCCGTCCAATTCGGACCAGACCCCATCGCCATATCTATTAATTTCAGATCAGTGCTTGGTTTTTCTTTTTTATCACAAATTTGGCTCCCAGTTCTAACGTATAAATACTAGAAAAACATGGACCCAATGTGGGCCAATGGGTCCAAGTGGGTTGGACCTTGCTTACCTTTTACCCGTTGCTTTCCACTGGAAACACGGTCAGATACTCAGATTTTTTAGAAAAAAATAATAATAATAATTAATTTTAGAAAAAATATTAAAAATTTATGACCATTGTTATAATTTGATGTCTTGCAAATGTGGGAACTGCCAGTTGTCCATTACGTAGCAGTCAAATTTGGTATGAACTTGGGGCTCCGTGCCTGCTGCTTGCTGTATTCTGGACTTCTGGTTTAATTAAGCAACACTATTTAGCCGTTGGGTTTGTCGGCTCCGTACACTGTACAATCAGACTCCAGTCACCGTGACTCTGCCTCGCTTTCCACGTTGCTCCACGTTGGCCTGACTCCTCTCCGCGCCATTTGGTCCAACACCATCTTCAAATTTTAGTTTATATCATTAAAAAAATGAATATGAAATATTTTCATAAACAAATTCATTTTAATAAAATAAAGTTTTAAACAAAAAATAAATTTAACTTAACATGCTGTCTATCCAGAGGGGTTTCACCGTTTATAAAAAAATGTTTCATTCTTCTACGTTATTGCTGGCGCACTATCCGATGTCTAATTTTAATACTATTTATAACAGTCTAAGTCCACCGCTAATTGATATTGTCATCTTTGAATTTTCCCTTATGAACTTTCTCTCAAAGTTTTAAAACGTGTCTACTATGGATAGATTTTTACACATTTGTAAGAAATGTTTTGTTCCACTCTTCAACTGATGTGGGGTTTCACATTATACATCATCGTAACATTATTAAACATATTTGAAACTTTTAAATCGTCATCTTATTTAGAGACCAAATAAATATCGGGGTTACTTTTTTCGTGGCTGAGTGGGCATATTGTGTCAAATGAAGATGAGATGAGAATAAAAAAGAAAAGGAGGAGTCAATCTTGTGGCATTTGCGTCATAGAAAAAACATAAGGAACATATGCCATTTTGGATGGATATTAATTAGGAAGATAATGTTATCCTAACCTATGCAATTTGCTATCTAAGTGGGTGGGCATATGCGTGAATACACCATTTTCAGGAGTATTTTGGTTCCTTCCACGGGGAAAACAAATCTTATTTCTTTTCTTAAATGACCCAAAAGATTTTAAGCCATTAAATTAGTGCAAGTTTAATTATTCCATTCCTTCCCAACATGTTTTACCGTCCAAAAAGTTGAGTCTTAAATTTTTTATGTCCACTTGAGGAAATTCGAAATATATAATTAATATTTGGTGACATAATAAATTGTTTAAATATTCCATTGATATTATATGGTGTGGTATCTTATCCGACATAATGTATTGCAATAAAATATAAATATAGGATATAGAGCTTTAAATTTTAAATGACATACCTATATTGGTAATTCTGATATAATGTATTGTGGGGTTTGTATTTCAAGTCAAAATGTAATAATTAAGAACCATCCCATTGAGATGTAATTTAAATCATTTTAGTGCCAATATCTTCATGTTTTTTCAATATATTTTATTCGCATGAGATCTACTTTGAGATTAGGAATGAAGAAAGAGCGAAGAACATTTTTTCACCGTCATATAAATAGAGTCAGAGATCAGATTATATTTCCTGTCTTTGTCCTCACTCAATTTTACACCCAAATGAGTAAGATTATATTTTAGAATAATCTATAATATTTAAATCTAGAACAATATATATTCTTTTAATTATTAAATACTATATTATAATATTAAAATTTAAAATTTTAATAATGAATGAATGAATCCCTTCTGCTTCAACAAAATTCCCTGTTCAGAATCCTCATCGCCAACGTCCAATCTGGAAACAAGAATCTATATCTCTGCTCATCGCCTTTTTTCCGTCACTTTCAATACCGATTTCCGGTGCAAGTTGGGACTGCCAATGGCGAGGCCGCCGCCTGTGTCTGTGCTTGATCCCGATGCGGCGGAATAATCGCGGACTTTTTGGCCGACAGATTCAGTTTCCGGTGCTTCGATAATAACAGCTTTCTCCATTAACATTTGTTCTGACGCCGTTAGTTACTCTAATATTCCTTCTTTTCATTTTCTTTTGCCGCTCAGGTTCAATGGCTTCGCTGTGCGGGATTTGACTGCAATTTGACGAAGATCCATCACCCGTCGTTTCATATATGAACGTGAAATGCGAATCTTTATCGTTTATCGCAAACCAAACGTGATTCTGATTCAACTTGTCTATTTATGACAAATTTTGAAGCTTTAATATTTTTAGTAATAAATTTGTTTTTTTTAATTATGTAGAATAAATCAATAAAATTATGGCCAATCAATTTACTTTTGAAAAAAATTTGATACCCACTAACTAGTTAAATTGACTAAGCATTTGTTTTACTTGTGAGAAAATAGTCAATAAGGAATAATACAAGGTGAAATTGGAAGTTTAATTTGTGAAATATTACATTTGTATCATATAGCCTCTTAATTTGCAAAAAATAAAAATAAAAGTCCTCCAAACCTTAACTCTATATTAAAATTTTCAATTTCATATTTAATAATAGATAAAAATAAATAAATAAAACTAAAACAAATATTTAATCAAACAACAAATTAAAAAAAAAAAAAAATAGAGCTTATTCCGTACTCGCATCATCATTGAGAGGATAAATTGGGCCGGGCTTCAATTTACATCAAGCCCAACAATTATGGTAACAACTGAGAGCCCAAATATTATATATACTCGAGTATTAAAATGTCCCCGCACAGGCCCAGAGTGGTAATTTAAATAATTATTAAATAAATGTGGAACTTACATTAATTACAGATGTTATTTACCAAATTCAGGAAGGGTTAAATGACGAAGTTGCTTTGTAGCTACCTGTTGAGGAGAAAAATGTAATTTAAATGCTTTTTGAATGCAATGATTCAACGTTGACGTCCACGTCGATGTCTTGTGGATAAAAATAAAAATTAGGTATTGCTCACATGTCACTTAGGCTATGCATGGAATCGAATGAAGAAGTCAATTGTGCTTTTTATTTTTTTCGTTTGATTGGGTGCGACAGCCGTGGACCACTTGAATTCTATGCATACCCAATATATTTCATTAATTTAAATATCAAGCTTGTATATTAATTTGTACCGAACGGTTAAGTTTTCATTTCAATTATTTTTAAAAAGATTATTCGTTTACATCTATAGTTACGTGTTTCTTTATCATAGTATGAAAATTTTCATTTCAATTATCTTTAAATTATACATTATTTCATTCCAGCTTCAAATAAAACAAACAAAATTAGTATGAAATTTTTTATTTTAATTTTTTATATTATCGTAGTATTATAAATCAATGGCTGACATGTATTATTGTAAGAGTAGGCCACGTTGGACACACATGATGATCGAAACAATTACAACAAGACAATATGTTACACGTAGGAATGTCGACTCGCTAGACTAAGTTGTAGGTGGTAGGGTAATTGACTAAGCGTGAGCTAATCAAGTCATTTCAATTTTTCAACCACTAACCCACAAAAATAAAAAAATAAAAAAAGGACATTTTAATCCTAAAATTTAGAAAATATTGGCAATTTGATTAAAAAGACCCTCTACCTTCATCATTGATGTCTCTCCAATCATAGCAATTTTTTATTATAAAAAGTTTGTTAGTCAACTAACATTAACGTCTTCAATGTAATTAATTGGATAAGCCCTACCAATAATTAAAACAGTTATTCTTCAGAAAAAAAGAAAACATTTAATACACGTTATAATTATAATTTTAAATTCACTCTTAAATATTATTAATTTAATCTATTTAATCGTTAAATCAATTTAATTATTTGTGGAGATTTAGATCAATGATTGAGCGTACATGTGAAAGAGATTATGATTAATATGGTAAACGTAATTAAAGATTATGTATAATCCAGGGGCTATTTTGATATAAAATTAAAATAACAGCTGTTTTCTCCCTCGTCTATTATACAAAAGCAAAAAGAATAATGAAGAATTGTCGGTTCTTGAAGAGTTTGGGTATTAACATGGATACGATATTTCCATGAATAATTTCTGACGCAACAAAAGTAAATGTTAGACTAACCCAATTCTCTCCAATCGTATGATATTGTCCACTTTTAACATAAGGTTTTATGGATTTACTTTTGGGCTTCCCCAAAAAGTCTCCTACTAATGAAGTTAGTATTCCTCACTTATAAACTCATCATCATTCCTTAAATTAGTGGATATAAGACTTTTATCATCCACCAGTAAATTACGGTCGGTAAATGCTATGGAGATGATCCAATGGTGTCCAAAGTCTGTTTGGATTCTTCCTTCGCGGAGTTTCTTTCTGTCCACTTCTGGAAAAGGGGAAATCAAGTAAAGTTTAAAGGTGAGGTTTGAATTGATTGGAGCTTCTTCAATTGTTTAACAATGGCGTTCTGGCCATCTTTATTAGAGTTACTGTGTGCTCAGTCTGTTGCGAAGAGATAATGAATCCTTTTCCTTTATGACTGAAAAATCTTTACCAGAAAGTTTTTGGGGCGAAGATCACATAATCAGCTGAAATCAACTATCTGTTCTTTAATCTCATAGCTATATTGATAATCGGAGCCTGTGCTTCCTCTTTCTCTCTCTCTCTCCGTCTGTGTGCGTGTGTTTATTGGGCAAGATTTACGAGTAGAGTTGTGAATCTGAATAGAATACACCTAGCGAAAGTGAAGTATATTATTGTTGCATTATTATCTGTAGGTGACTCTGGGATGGCATTTATGGTGGTTCAGAGTAAGAGGTAGAATCATCGCTCGTGATTGGCGGTGAGATTTAATTGAGCGTTAAATTGGCGAACTCTGTTGATTTGAGGTTTTACTGGAAGTTGCTCAACTTTGATCTCTTGTGGTGGTTGTGGATCGTTGAAGACGATGGAGTTGCAAATGTAACTTCAAAATCCACGGTCAGTTTCGTTTGTTTCCACATTATCAGGCGATGATGGAAGTTCAATCTCACCGGCGGTATCTGCTAGTTGTAGCTTTGTTGTTGTTATTAATTCAGTGCGGTTTAGGTCAGGGGGAATCGTTGAACTCCAGTACGGAGTGGACGGCGTTACTCGATCTCCGATCATCGTTAGGGCTAAGAGGCAAAGATTGGCCAATAAAAGCCAATCCCTGTTCCGCTTGGATCGGAATTAAGTGCAAAGCCGGTCGAGTTGTTGGGATCACTGTGTCAGGTCTGCGGCGAACTCAGAGTGGGCAGCTCAGCCCTCGTTTCGCCGTCGATGCGCTTGCTAATTTTACCTCCTTGGTTTCGTTCAATGCGTCTGGTTTTTTGCTTCCTGGCTCCATTCCGGACTGGTTTGGTCAGTCGCTCGTTGCGCTCCAAGTGCTTGATCTGCGCTCTTCTTCGATCGTTGGCCCAATACCTACCTCTATTGGCGATTTAAGTGAGCTCACTGATCTTTATTTATCTGGAAATAGTCTTACTGGTTCTATGCCTTCGGCAATAGGACAGTTATCTCAGCTATCTGTTCTTGATCTCTCGAGAAATCTGCTTACTGGCTCAATACCTCCCATTCTTTCATCTCTTCACAATCTTATACGCCTTGAACTTGCCTCGAATTTTTTAAGTGGACCTATCCCACCCAGTTTAGGCACTCTTGCTAAACTGCAATTGTTGGATCTTTCGGACAATAGTTTAACGTCCTTTGTACCAAGTGGATTAGGTAACCTTTCAGAACTACTGGTGCTTGATCTCGGCAAGAATTCACTGACGGGTGCACTACCCGTGAATTTGAGGGGGCTAAGGAATTTGAAAAAGATGTATTTTGGAGACAATGGCTTGGAGGGCCCTTTGCCAGATGATTTGTTTCGAAGCCTTTCTCAGTTGGAAATTTTGGTTTTGAGAGGTAATAAACTTGATGGTCGTCTGCATCATGGCTTGCTATCTCACCCCAAATTGAGGTTTTTTGACGCATCCAACAACAACTTTACGGGTAGCTTGCCAAGTTTTGTTCCAAACAGTATGGCTGTGTTCAACTTTTCAAATAATTTTCTGTATGGTCATCTAAATCTACCACTGGAATTGCATGGATCAATCGATTTATCTGGGAATTATTTCCAGGGTGTTGTACTCAACAAGAGTCATAATGCTATCCTCAGTGGAAACTGCCTAGATATGGAGCCAGATCAAAGAGATTTCGAGGCTTGTAGCCTCTTCTACTCTGAGAGAACCTTAACTTTTGAAGGTTTTGGAAAGGGAAATTCAGACAAACTAGACCTTCTTCATGATGAAAACAATCGCTTGAAGTTCATAATGGTGGGACTATTTGGTGGATTGGGCTTTGTTGTTATGTTTGTGATTATCCTCGTAGTTCTCTTGAAATTTTCTGGTGAAGGGAAAGTAAATAAAAGAGGAAAAGCGAATGTAGGCCCTGTCCCAGATGGACACGGCCCTTCACTTCCAAAGGCTCCAGTCTACTTTGATGGTCTGGGAGATTCATTTACTTATGAGCAGATGCTCCACAGTACTGGGAATTTCAGCAAAGACAATCTTATAAAACAGGGTCACTCTGGAGATCTCTACAAGGGGTTCCTGGAGGGTGGCCTTCCTGTAGTGATTAAAAAGGTAAATATGCAGTATTTGAAGAATGAAAGGTACTCTGTGGAACTAGACTTTTTCAGCAAAGTATCGCATATGAGGTTTGTTCCATTCTTGGGGCACTGCTTTGAGCGCGAGGATGAGAAGCTTTTGGTGTACAAGTGTATGCCAAATGGGGACTTGGGTAATTGCTTGCAGAGTGTTTCCAGTTCAGAAAATGACAATGTGCAGTCCCTGGATTGGATTATCAGATTGAAAATAGCAATAGGAGCTGCCGAGGCCCTGTCTTACCTGCATCATGAGTGTAGCCCTCCTCTCGTCCACAGGTATCATAATATTCTTTTTGGTATCATAATATTCAAATCTTAAGTGGAAGCATCCGCTTGTAAAATATCAGCTTCTTTATTAGACATTTTGGCCAATTATCTCAAGAGCAGCCACCTATAGTAAGAAGATTCACTTTTAACATGACACAAGCACCATATATGTGATCCCACATCGATTGAAGAAGAAGATTGAAAGGAAAAGTCCAAAGTCTAAAAAGGACAATATAATATTTACTAGTAGTAGTATACTTTGGCTGTTATAATATGATCTCAGTTTGTACTGTATACCAAAAAAAATGTATTGACCTTGATTTTCTTAAATGTATACAGAAAAAATGTATTGACTTTTCTTTTCTTAAATGTTGAAGAGATATTCAAGCAAGCAGTATCCTCCTTGATGACAAATTCGAAGTGCGTCTTGGAAGCTTGAGTGAGGCCTGTGTTGTAGATGGGGATCAGCACCAAAATGCCTTCACGAGATTGCGGAGAAAGCCACAGTATGTATCTTAAGAAACAGTATTTTCTCAATTATATTTGTTTCTTTGTTATTTAATCAAAATTCTAATGGCTTCTTCTTGATTCTCTTGTGCAGAAGCTCCGAACAATGCTCTTCTGGTGCGTATTCCTTCTAAGATCCCTCTTCTTTTAAGCATACGTTCATACCAAATAGCCAAGGACTTTTGGTGGCCTATAACTTCTTAGTATTAGAACAGTAGACAAAATGAACTGATTTTTTCCCCCTCTGTTGGGCTCTGTTAAGTATGACTTACCAATTTGTTGTGCATACAGGCTCCTCACCAGCATCCTGTTCGCAGGACGTTCACTGGTTTGGTAAAGTATTGTTAGAACTTGTGACGGGAAAACTTAGTATCAGCAAAGCAGAAGAAGATGCTACAACAAAGGAGTGGTTGGAACACACCTTATCTAACATAAGTATCCATGATAAGGAACTCGTAACTCAGATAGTCGATCCATCGTTGATGATAGACGACGATCTATTGGAAGAGGTATGGGCAATGGCGATCATTGCCAAGTCATGCCTGAACCCCAAACCATCTAGACGACCCCTCATGAGATACATCCTTAAGGCATTGGAAAATCCTTTGAAAGTAGTCAGGGAAGAACTCTCTAGCTCCGGCAGGTTGCGCACAACTTCATCAAGAAGATCTTGGAGTTCTGCTTTTCATGGTAGCTGGAGGCGCAGCTCATCAGATGTAAATAGAGAAAACGGCAGTGGCTCTAAACAACCAGGAAGATTAAGCTCCCATGGTAGCTGTGGATATGATTTCTCATCTTCAAATAAAAGGATATCCAATGAAATTGTCCCCGAACCAGAAGAGTTTGGAGACATCGAGAGGCAAGATTGAACATTTGCACTGAGTTTCAAGTTCCCGATCAAGACTGCTGTAACTTGTGTATCAATGCCGAGTCGAGAACAGGCTCTTATTCTCGGATCGTTTTTAACTTGATTGCTGCGAATCAGATTGAAGATAATATTGGCAATCATTCCTAGAGGAGAATGCTGCTGCTCCAAGAGAAACCTCTTTGGTTGAGAATGTGAAAGCTCGAGTTCTCCTATAATGGAACTCTTGAGTTACACTTTTTTTTTTTTTTTAATAAATTCTTAAATGCCCATTGAACTTCTTGAGTTACAGGTTGAGATGTTCGTCTTGTGTACATATAGGTGATTGGAACCGTAGATGTGAAGTGTCATGGTCTATCGATTGAGATGTATTTGTAAGAACATATTTTTCACATGAAGCCACCTCTAATAGTAAGGTATATAAAAAGTTTTAGTTTTTATTGTCAATCTGAATTTTAATATTTAATTATTTTACCCCAAATTAGTTCACAAATTTATATTTTTTTCCTTCAAACTTCTTGGGTCACACATGAATCAGTGGGTGGGCTTTAGGTTTTAAAACCATGAAGTTCAATATGGTTTGCAGGGTGAGGTTGACCTATACCCGTGTTAGTCCTCAACCACCTATGATCTAATCTCCAAATACCCTTTTCAACAAGGAAATTCATTCAAGGAAAAGGAGGTAGGTTCGTTACTCCTGACTTTTTGTGTATCGTCCTCTACGTAGTCTATGTCTGTGGGAGCATACTTGACAGGAGATAGACACAGGTGGTAGAGAGGATGTACGAAAAAAATGATTAAAGAAACATTCTCAAAATGAAATTCTATAGAACAAACAATGACAATCTACCACTGCATAAGAATTGTAGCAGTTCGAGATATGTGAAAAAGTAATTACGACGTAAATATTTGATATAGTGATATAAGAGGAACAAACTCATTCTTCCATACTCTGATTTTGCTCTGCTTGTGATGGTTCCACACTGACTTTGATCTTTGGAAGGGTGAGGGAAGGATCCTCCTTGAGAGCAAGAGGAGCTTTGACCAAACTGATGCTCTGATCCAATTCCTTCTTTGCCTCTCTGAGTTCCTTTGCTTTCTTTCCTTGCATTCTGCAAACGCGAACGATCCCAAGTTACACCAGAAGAAGCAGTGTTCACAAAATATATAGGCATACACAAACGGCAATGGAAGAAATTTAAAACCTGCGTGCAATGTGCCTCGACTCCCTTTCTGCTCTGACTTTATCAATCTTCTTAATAGCCCTCAATGTCTCTTCCGTGAGATTCCTGTCATATCTCTCCGGCCTATTGCGCTTCCTCTCAAACTCAAAAGTTGAGTCCTGTGTCATATCCTTTCCATGCAACCTTCTATAGGCCTTGGTCCATTTTACTTTGCGGGGATTTCTCTTCATCTTAAAGTTCTTGTGGCATTTTGACCGACAAAATCTAAAAATCTGCAGAAAAATCATATTAGGAAATAGAAACATAGGGCTCCCTGTCCATCATCACTAGTTTAACAAGAACAATTATCAACTTCAACAGCCTAATATGCATCACAAACAACAAATCACAAAAGGTCGGTTAATCTTACCTTCGCATCATTGCGAACAAACTGAATACCATGTCCTGGATATATAGTGGAGGAACAGAACCAACACTTCTCTAACCTCATTCTTTTCTTGATCAAATAACAAGCCTAAATTTCCTGCAACAAAAGAAAATCAAAGAACTGCAACTTATATATTCAGAAGATCGACTGAAACGGAGAAACAATCTCTCTAAAAAGCTAAATAGTTCAGAAATTTAACATACTCCCACCCCCTGCGAAAACGCTCGGCTTACTTGGATTATAACTTTAAACGCAAATTTACCACTCTTTGGAACCCCAGAGTTTGGATGAAAAAAAAAAAAAAAAAAAACAAGGAATCTGAAATCTAAGGTATACATTCTTGTTTTAATTTCAAATCTAAGGAATTTGAAATCTAGGTGAACATTGGTTGAAGAAGAAATCAACAAGAAAGGAAAGGTTCTCGAGTTTCTTCTCCGTGGGTGAAGAGAATAAGCCAACATAACCAAGCGAAACAAAATATATAACCTTGGGGAACTGGCAAATGAGTGGCGGCGATGCGATCGCACCAACGGCGCAGGATTGGTGCTGAACCACCGACGGCAATTTCGAGGGAAGGCTGACAGCAGCCGAGAATGCAGCGTGCGGCGGTAGCCGCTGAGACTGTGTCGGGCAGGAACCCCGAGCGTCAGGCGGGGTGCAGTGGCGGGTAATGGGTGGAGGGGGTAGCTGAAGTGAAATAGGGTTTTAAACAGCAAGTCTTTTTTTTTTTTTTCCCCCGTTTTTTGCCATTCGTTTTTCTTTATTACTTCTATTTTATTTATTATACGGAAAGAAAGATTGAAACAGAAATAATAAAAAAATCAAAGGGAAAGGAAAATATATTTTATTTATTACAGAAGGACCTCCCATCACCGAGACAATCCCTAAGATCCCAAAAGAAATGAAAGAGAGCAAATCCCTAAGCTCCATTGAGATCGGGAAAATCCATGGAAGAGGCGGCCTAGATAGGAACCACGAGATACTGTTAGATGAACACGACTCTTTGTAATGGTGTTGTCCACTCTAAACATAAGTTTTCATGGCTTTGTTCTGGACTTCCAATAGACCTCACTTCACTAGAGAGAATATTATTTGATTATAAACCTACCATTGTTCCTTAAATTAGCTAAGCTATGGTGGGACTTTCATCCAACCACCTCACATCTTCTTCCTATTAAAGAGATATTGAAATTGAACTGAATTCTAAGAACTCACTCGAAGGGTCTTGATTTTGGCATGAATGGTTGAAGGGAGCCATGGATTTGGAGGAGTCTATGTGGATGCTTGTGAACTTGCACGAGGCTTCAGAGCACATGATCAGCCCACAATAGAAGAACAGAATTGTACTTCTACAAAACCAAGTTATACCAGTGTAGGAATGTTCGTACTTCTTTGTGAGACCCTACATTGGTTAGAGAGGGAAACGAACCCTTCACAATAAAGGTGTCTTGGAGGCAGATTGTGAGGTCTCACATCGGTTGTGGACAAAAACGAAACATTTTTTATAAGAGTATGAAAACCTCTTTTAGTAGACGTATTTTAAAATCGTGAGCCTGTCGGCTATACGTAACGAGTTAAAGTAGACAAGATTGGCTAGGGGTGGACTTGAGCGGTTACTAACGGGCGAGGCTGAGAGGAGACGGCTGAGATTCAAAGTCTATGGAGCAGATTGAAGTTGCTTCGTCACCAATCAATCCCACCATCGTAAAGCTCGCCCTCCTTGACGTTCATCATAAAGTGGTCACCATTATTTAACAAGTCATCAAGAATCCAAGCTTTTTCCAACCGCGCGCTTTCATCCAAATGCTTTGCTCTCCCGCTGCTCAAAGCACCTTTGTACGTTGCAAAAATGGGGCCTGTGGGTCACGTTTGCCTAATTAGATCAGTAATATTTCTTAATAGCTAAGTAAAAGCGTAAAGATTTTTATATGATTTAATATATTGTTTTATTATATGATTTTAATATAAAAAGATGTTTATTTTATTTTCCGCTCACAGAATTCAATTGCCAACGGAAGTTGGGCAACGGTCAAGATAGAGGGGTACTTGGGTCATTTCAAAAAAATGCACATAACAGTAGCTTTATTAACATATCCACGTTACCGGCGCAAACACCTCCACGACTCCGCCATCTTCCACTTCCAATTCTCTAACGGCGGAGATCATTCACGGCACTTGTCGGGCATCCCGCTTTTGAAAAAGATAGGGGGGCCCACTGAATATTCATTTTACAATATTACCCTTGTCATCTTCCTCTTCCCTGCTCAGTCATCTATTTAATCTCTCGTTCCTCTGCAACCCATCTCCAACATGTCTGCTTTGAACTCAACAGCCATGGCTTCCACTCTTCTTCGCTCTACTGTCTTCTTCTTCTTCTTTACCTTTCTGCTAGTCACTGACATCGCCTGTAAGTTTCTGGTTTCTTAACTTGTCGTTATCTGTGAATCTTTTATCCACTTTGATCGCTTGAATTTTTCTTTCAAAAGAAAGGAGATGGAAAATCTGTTCATTAACAAGAATCGAAAGAACTGTTCCGGCTTTCGAATTTTTAATTGAACATGCTCTGTTTTGCAGATTCGCAATCGTTCATCGGAATCAACTACGGTCAAGTCGCCGATAACCTTCCTCCGCCGTCGTCGACGGCTAAGCTACTTCAATCTACTTCGATCGAGAAAGTTCGACTCTATGGCGCTGATCCGGCCATCATCAAAGCTTTAGCAAACACAGGGATCGGAATTGTGATAGGCGCTGCGAACGGTGACATTCCAGCCCTAGCGTCCGACCCGAATTTTGCTAAAAATTGGGTTAACGCTAATGTTGCCCCCTTCTATCCGGCGAGCAAAATCATTCTCATCACGGTAGGCAACGAGGTGATAACATCCAACGATCAAAATTTAATGAACCAGCTTGTGCCGGCGATTCAGAATCTTCAAAACGCGCTCGATTCGATGTCTCTGGGGAATGATATTAAGATTTCCACTGTCCATTCCATGGCAGTGCTTCGCCAATCGGAGCCGCCGTCGTCCGGGCTCTTCCACCCAGACTATATGAGCGTGTTGAAGGGGCTATTGGAGTTCAACAACGCCACTGGATCGCCATTCACCATTAACCCATATCCATACTTCGCTTACCAGAGCGATCCACGACCGGATACTTTGGCCTTCTGTCTTTTTGAGCCCAACGCCGGCCGGATCGACACGAACACCAATATCAAGTACATGAACATGTTCGACGCTCAGGTGGACGCCATAAGATCTGCATTGAACGCAATGGGTTTCAAGAACGTAGAGATTGTGGTGGCGGAGACCGGTTGGCCGTACAAAGGAGACGGCGACGAGGTGGGCCCAAGTCTGGAAAACGCCAAGGCATTCAACGGGAATCTGATTGCGCACCTTCGTTCCATGGTCGGAACGCCATTGATGCCGGGGAAATCAGTTGATACGTATCTGTTTGCACTGTACGACGAAGATTTGAAGCCTGGGCCTGGTTCTGAGAGAGCTTTCGGATTGTTCAAGCCTGATCTTACAATGGCGTACGACGTTGGTCTTTCGAAAAATGGGCAGAGCACTCCGATTTCATCGGCCCCAGCAAATCCATCGACGAAAGCACCAACAAGCCCAAAGCCGAAGGCAGGAGGAGGAGGGTCATGGTGCGTGCCGAAGGGCGGCGTATCAGACGACCAACTTCAGGCCAATTTGGACTACGCCTGCGGAGGAGGGCTGGATTGCAGCGCCATTCAACCCGCCGGCGCGTGTTTCGAGCCAAACACCTTGGCCTCACACGCCGCCTACGCCATGAACCTGTTCTTCCAAACCGCCGGCGGGGATCCATCGACGTGTGACTTCTCACAGTCCGCCACACTTTCTTCCAACAACCCAAGTGAGAGCCCCATTTCATTTCACTCAATAACCCTAATCGAATCTAAATTCACCATTAATATTAGTCTCTGTTTGTTAATGTAGGCTACAATGGCTGCAATTATCCTGGAGGAGGGCGCACGTGATGAGAAGGCAGCTCAATGGAAATCACGAAGATCCATATTCGAGTTTCCATCTCCATTAATATGTATACTTCCTGATGGTTTTGAATTTATATATATATTATCGTCGTCAAGCTATGGATGCGTGCCGTTGTAAATCATAATTATGCGTAGTTAAATCGGTGTTTTTTGGCTCTTAATTATTAATTGGACTATTCAATTCAATTATGCGTAGTTAAAACTATGGACTTGATATTCAATTCAATAGATAGTTCTGAAAATTGAAATGAAAATCAGTTGAAAGTTCCGAATAGTTCGTTAAGGTTCGCGAGGAGGGAAATTGGATGTAAAAAAAAAAAAAAAAAAAAAA